GTCGGCTAAATTTGGGCTACCGATATCACATGCTGAAAATTGCATACTTGTACCAATAATATGGTGTGGAATCAACGTATAATCAGAAAATAAAAAAATAACAATGACTGATTGTATAACCTGTTAATGAATGAAGGTGATATGATTTAATAATATAAGATAGTTGGAGAAAATCGGCAGGAAGCCTAGGACCTAGGTTTCGTGCTAGTTAGCACTCTTCAGCAAGGCGTATCTGCAACATTGAAGGAACTCATATCCCTGACAGAATTCAGTCTTCACCAAAGAAAGGACTAGACACGTCACACTAGTTATTAGTGTCCAATTAAAATGAAATGATTTAGTCTCCATGTCACTAATCTTCATTCATTATAGACTAATTAGACTACTCATATTGTGTTGCCATACCTTACTCGATGTCACAGTCTGTTTTATGTATCTCTTTCCATATAAGTAAATATCAATGTATATATTCTTTCATTCGATAGCAGTACATAAGATTTGAAGAGTCCTAATGAAATATATAAATTTAAGAAATCCTCTGGTAATATACTCTTTTTTTCACTTTCTTAGCAACATTATGTGTGGTAATAAATAATTTTCAAAACAAAATAATATAATTTACAAAATACCTCGCAATAACTGTGAGTTAAGTCAACTACATGGGTCAAACTAGTAGACCACGAGTAGCAAGATTATCAGAACATAAGAATTTAGCGAAGGTTAGAATGATTGATCCCATGAAGGTAAGTAATTTGGAGAAAAACTCAGCTATAGTACTACACGCATTAACACATAACCACACAATAGAGTGGTACAGAGTCAAAACTCTAAAAAGTAATATAGGTAAGTGGAGAGAGAGAGAGATTGATTACTGAATCCCGCCTGGTTCATCGAGTCTACACACCCCACACAACACATGCAACAGAAGAGACTCAACGCAAATACCAGAGATATGGAAGATATTATTACCACCAGTCAGTCAAATCAGAGGAGGATAATAAATCATCTTAAAATGTATTCAATTCACACTATAACATTCTAACAAGTTACTTATTTTTAGTATATTATTATTGCTTCCTTGGGTTCCTAGTGGAACATAGGGCTTCAACTGCACGTCTCCATTTGCTTCTGTCTTCTGCTGTACTTTTCGCCTGCATCCATGTTAGTCCATATTCTTTCAACTCCTCTTCACACGATCTCCTCCATGTCACCCTTGGACGTCCCACACGCCGCTTCCCTTTCGGGTTCCACTCGAGGGCTTGACGCGCGATGTCACCCAGCGGTCTCCTCAGCGAGTGTCCGATCCATCTCCACTTTCTCCTGCATATTTGTTGGGCGATTGGTTCTTGCTTTGTTTGTTCCCATAATTCCTTGTTGGTGATTCTTTCCGGCCATCTGATCTTCAGTATAGAGCGAAGACAGTTGTTAATAAAGGTCTGCAACCTTTTGGAAATATTCTTTGTGACCCGCCAAGTTTCTGATCCGTATAGAAGAACTGACTTTACGTTTGTATTGAAAATCCGAATTTTGTTGGTGATGCTGAGTGACGAAGATTTCCAGATTGATTTCAGGCTGATGAATGTGTTTCTCGCCTTCCCGATTCTCGATTTGACATCCTCGTCCGCTCCTCCTGTAGTTGAGACAATGCTCCCTAGATAAGTGAATGAAGTAACCTCTTTCAAATCCCTCCCGTTGATGGTGATTGACGTTGGATGTTGCTGCTGTTGTTGGTTGGTTATTTTCATAACCTCCGTCTTGTCTATGTTTACCTGGAGTCCTGTCTTTGCTGCTTCTTCGACCAGTTTGTCGGTTTTCGCTTGTAAGTCTTCGATTGTGTGTGACATCAAACATAAGTCATCCGCGAAATCCAGGTCTTCTAGGTTCTTCACGTCGGTCCAGGATATTCCTGTCTTCTCGTTTCCCACTGTCTGACGCATAATCCAGTCCACCACAATTAGGAATATCATTGGTGATAGTAAGCACCCTTGTCTGACTCCTGTGTTTACTCCAAACGCCTCGCTGAGTCTTCCGTTGTGGATCACTTGGCAGGTGCCGTTGTCGTACAGCTGTTGAATAAGGTTGATGAATATTTGGGGTACGCCATAGTACTCGAGTAATTTCCAAATTACTTCACGATCAACGCTGTCGAAGGCCTTCTCAAAGTCTATAAAGTTGAGGTAGAGGTTTGATTGCCATTCCATGCTTTGTTCGATGATGATGCGTAGAGTTGCAATTTGGTCAGTACATGATTTGCCTTTCCTGAATCCAGCTTGTTCTGGTCGGAGTTCTGTCTCCAGTGCGTCCTTTAATCTCTCCAGGATGATGCGACTCAGGATTTTACTTGGCGTCGATAGGAGCATGATTCCTCGCCAGTTCTTGCAGAGTCCTAAGTCGCCCTTCTTTGGTAGTTTCACGAGGTAACCTTTCCTCCAGTCAGTAGGCACCTTTCCCTCCTTCCAGACCTTTTGCAATAATGGAGTCAGCATGTCTGCTGTCGTCTCTGGGTCTGCTTTCAGTGCTTCAGGGGGTATTCCATCTGGTCCGGCTGTTTTTCCAGCTTTCAGAAGTTTGATTGCGTTCAAGACTTCAGCTCTCGTTGGAGGATTGGTGTCAACTTGCAGTTGTGTGCGCGCTGTTGTTGGTATTTCTGGACGGGTTGCAGGTGATGGTCGGTTCAAGAGTCCTTTGAAGTGATCCGCCCATTGTTTAATCTGTTTTTCTTCCTTGGTAATGGGCTTCCCTTGGCTGTCTTTTATAGGTTTCGCTTGTGTTGGTCTCTTCCCGGATAGAGATTTGGTTATCTGATATAGTGTCCTCAGGTCCCTTTTGCCTGCTGCCTTTTCAGCTTCAGTGGCTAGATTGTCGTAGAATCGTCTTTTGTCCTTCCTAGCACTTTTCTTCACTTCTTTGTCCAATGCTTTGTAAGTTGAGCTCATCGTCTCCTTCTCCTGTCCGTCCTTGCATTGAATCATTTTCTCTTTCACCATTCTCCTCTCTTCTATTAATTTCCAAGTGTCCGTTGAGAGCCATTCCTTGTCTTGTCTCTTCTTTCTTCCTAGAACCGTTGAACACGTTTCGTTGAGAATCGCCTTCAGAGACTTCCAATGTTCTTCCACGCATGATTCTTCAGTGATGTCGCGTAGTGTTTCCTGCTTTGCTCTGACAGTTGCAGTGAAGGTGTCTTTTGTGGTTGTGTCCTTCAGTAATTGAGTGTTGAACTTGCATTGTGGCCTATCCCCAGCTATCCTCGAGGCTTTTAGTTTCACCTTGAAAGTCCCTTCTACTAGATAGTGGTCTGAACCCACATCTGCTCCTCTCCTTGACCTTGTGTCCAGTAGGCTCCGTCTCCACTTTCTTGAAATTGAGATGAAGTCTATTTGATTCTTGGTGTTTCCATCTGGTGAAATCCATGTCGTCTTGTGTATATCCTTGTGTTTGAACACACTACCGCCAATCACCAAATCATTGAAGGCGCAGAAGTCTGAGAAGAGTTCACCATTGTCGTTCATTTCACCGAGGGCCTCACGACCCATGGTGAGTTCTCTTCCTGTGTTGTCTCCTCCCAGCTTCGCATTCATGTCGCCCATCAGGATTTTGATATCGCCATTTGGGACGTTGTCCATTATTGCTTGTAGTTGTCTGTAGAACGCCTCCTTCTTCTCTTGTTCTGAGACGTTTGTAGGCGCATAGCATTGAATGACTGTAACTTTCCTTCCTTTTGAGTTGAACCTGGCTGTCATTATCCTGGAGGAGATTGGTTCCCACTGCATGAGAGCTTTGGTTGCTGTTGGTGACATCATGATGGCCACTCCCTCGGTGTGCTCATGGTTGTCCTCTAGGTGGCCGGAATAGATTACTGTCTCTCCAGTAGGTAGTTGGCACCTTCCAGTTCCGTTCCATCTGCTCTCGCAGATTCCCAACACTTCTATTCTGTACCTTCTCATTTCAGCGGCTATCTGGGCAGCCTTTCCAGTTTCGTACATTGTGCGAACATTCCAGGTACCCATCCTTACTTTTGCTTTCATCGAAAGAAGGCACATCGGCTGACTGGCTTCCCGAAGGCTTTCACCAGCCTGCGTCATTTCACTTCCCCGATTCCAGCGAAAAGTAAGGCTATTGCTTATGTTTTTAGAATTTTTAATATATTTATTCGTTGAAGTTTCTGTAGCGATTTGGTTGTTTTACAGGGGTGGAGTTGCTAGCACCACGCCCCAACCCTCCCTCTTTACCCGGGCTTGGGACCGGCGAGAAAACTAGTAAGCTAGTAGCCTAGCAAGCTAGTATCAGAAGATTATGTCTAAACTTGTACGGGGAAGTGAGGCACATTTTTGGAACTGTGAATTTATCTGTATACATGTTCACTTGGTCGACGGAATTCGTAGAGTTACTGCGTAAGATATTTTCAACAAGTTGCAATAATGTTCATGGTAGAACTTGTTGTCATCAGTCTCTGAGTAATTAAATATTTAGGAACAGCATTATTTTCTCACCACCGGACACCAAGAAGTCAGTTTGTTGGTGAAATGTCTTTTTACGAATGTCAAATGTTTGTTAATGTTGACCAACAACGGAATATTATATGTTGTCATTCTCACCATCAGAGGTGAAGAATTTCGAAGCCCCGAAAGCTGATATTTCTGTGTGGTGTTTGATAGCAAAAGACACCTCAGGCTTTCGGTTATCTCACCAGATATAAATGTATATACATATTTATTGTTTTGACGCATCCAAACAATTTCAACAGCTTCAAGGAAGACGTTTATCTGATAAACTTCACTTTCCTAGCATTGGAATTCCTGTACATTCCTCTGAAATGATCATAGCACAGCACCATCAGACAATTACCATTTACTGACAATCTAAAACAAGTTGACCACTGACATACTGCAGTGAAAAAAACTAACATTTCATGGCTCCATTCGTAAACAGCATAAATGGAATTAAAATGTAGATCATGAAAGACGAGAAAAGTAATAAAATAAACACCGATCATGTAGTACACATTCATCCGAATGTCTGTGTTGATAAGAGATGACCAATGGTAGATTTACGTTAGAAAACGTAGAGTGTACTCCTCACTTATTTTGTGAAGGTATTTTGATAAGGTTGAGTGAAAGCAGAAAGAGCAAGTGCCTTTGATTAGCAATCTCCACAATTAACTTAGGAGATATTAATTTATAATCAAAGTATGAATATTATTATTTCTAGAGTATTACAAAGCAAAAGTCTATGCCATATGTGTAAATTTGTTAAATCACAAATCGGAAGCGATGGTTGTCTGAACTGCTTCACAATTTATGTTTATGTGAAAATCTGCAGGTAAACTAAGTGGAAAACTATCACTTGATCGATAACGCGCTAATTAACCAACCTCTCACGTGATCACTTTTTGATTCTGACACTGTCAACGCTTCATCAAAATGTCGTTTGTTAAATTCTCGAATATTGTCAAAACTGTGTGCTCTTTCCTTGTTGAAATTCAATGCGCTCTGGTCTCTTTTGATCAGTTTGTATTGACAAGTTTGTTCCAGCTCCAACAAATCATCTCTAGACCATACTGGTTTACACTGCTTTGCTCCGAATATACTCAGATAAATTCTCAGAGTATCATTACTCAGCAATAGAAAACTTCCTCTAATAGTAATGGGATGTTTTAATTCACCCGAATCCCAATAATACTAGTAATGACAACTATTCAGTGGTGTTCCGAAGACAGTGTTGTAGTTGATGATGACGATGATGATGAGGATGATGATGAAAAGACAAAGTCTGACGTCAAGTAAACTGAACATTTTGATACATGTTCAGTGTTGAATAAGGCCTTATGTTTCTCGCTTTCGTGGTGTTGACCACAACGACTGTCATATTTATTTCTTCTTAAAATAACACTAATTTGAAACCGAGAGGAAGTTGTCCGAAACCATATTTCACCATTTTCAGGCTGCTTTTTATCGTCTGTCTTAATCCATTGTTCATTGTCGTTTTTATTTAAATTTTCTAACGGTATCATAACGGCATCAGTCATAACGCAGACTGACTAAAGCCATTAAGACATCGGATCAATCTGAGTCGAAATACTTTCTTGTCACCCTCAGAGTAGTATCACTAATAATGAGGCATCCGGTCATTGTTAGAGATATGTGAATTCATTTGATCTAATGATCAGAACACTCCAAGTAATCGGTAGAAGTATATCACTCCCTAGACTGATGAAGCTAATTCATGCACAAAATGCAGCAACACTATTCTCTTACACAGTGTGAAACATACACTGATCAATTCACACAATGTCTAAAATTCTGTCTCTCTCTCTCTCTCTCCTTCTCTGTGGTCAACTGACATCTGAACTCCACACATAATATAAAAAATGTAGGTAGCCTATTGAACAAATCATAACTATCTCCAATACAACCAAGTAAAATTTGTGTAGGCATCTGTAAGCTTAACTGAGCTGTAGATTTGTTACAAGATGGCAGACTAGTTGCATGTCTAATCAACAATCATCATAAAGTACACTGGTATTCGGTTGTTATACAAGTTAAAGAAGTAACGTTTCGTGTTCACACATCAAGTGTGCTGTTTTGGTAATAGAGTATTATTCATTGGCGTGTTAATCACAAAGATTGGCAACCACTCACGTGTGTCCGAGTGGTAGGAAAAATTTCTAGTTATCATAAAATGGATCGTCTAGTGTTACACTGTCTAAATCATTCATTGGTGAGCTGACGATGACGATGATGATGATGAAGGCGGTAGTCTTCAAAAGTCAATTTATCGAGAGCCCACATGGAAAGGACAATACTTGCAGTTTAATAGCTTTTGTCCAAATAGCTTTAAACGTGGTCTAGTCAAGACTCTCTACTATAGAGCGAGGAGAATATGCTCTATAGAGAAACTAGAGGAGGAGTTTGAGTTCCTTGAAAAGATATTGAAGAGAAATGGGTATCCTCAAAATTTCATCAACAAGTATGGAAGATCTGAAGTCACAAATGTAAAAAAATCACAGTGGGTAAAAAGCCAGTCTACGTTCAGCTTGACTACAAAGGGGAAAACATTGCAGCGATGATCAACAGAAGGCTGAGTACATCACTAGCCATAGCCTATCCTGCAGCTAAGCTCGTTCCCGTCTATCGAACAACTTGCTATTTGGTGCAATCAAAAATCTATAGATATCCTGAGAAGACTTGAGGTACTTTGTCTGTTAATTATTTTGAATGATTCCAGTACATCTACTCGGTGTCCCGTGTCAACCAGGTGTTTCGCGACTGAAGAGAATAAACAATTCGGTCCATTTAACCGGAGGCTCCTTGGTAAATGTTCACGGGAATTTTAAAGTTTTGATTTTCTCTTATCTAATTACCTAACTTTTACTAATTTTCTCTTGTTACCTCCCCGTCATCACAACTGTTCATTAATTTTCCTCAAGAAATGTTTCTCCAACAAGATATATAAATACACACCTCGTAAAACGCCTTATTTTACTATGACGCTCTGACAATGTGCTTGCTAATGGACAAATGTTTGTCAAAATTGTACACTTTTTAGTTTTATTTATTAAAGAATTCAGGTTATAGGCATCTGATGAGAACCAACGAAATAAAATGGATCCAGATTATTCTCAGCCAATGTTTCTTCTTTCTTTGTTTAAATTTATAAAAGGGAATGTTAGTTAGCACTCATTCCAACTTGGACCCTCGCTCCACTAGTGTGATATCAAGAACGCCGAGTGAAAAAATATGAGAAATACTTTGAGTTTACTTAGAATTCACCGTCAGTGTCACAATGACATTCCGAAAGATAAAAATACGCCTAATATATACTAAAAATCCACTGTTTTCATGATATTCATTGAGTCAGAGTGACCTGTTTCTATTGAAATACTGCCTTGTTTGACATTATGACATGTTTTGAAGTAGTTGGATGACAAGACACAGGACTCACTAACCTAGCTGATAATCCTTTAAATTGTCAGCTGGAAATTCAAGGGGATTATTGTTAGTAGTAGAAAATTGTGGGAGTTTTGTGTTCTGATTTGATTGACAGGACTGATACTAAATCGATGAAAATAAACGTATACATTCGTACCTGACTACTCACAGTATTATTGTAAAAACAGAATGCAAGGTTCAGGCAACAGATCGTTTTACTATGGAAATCAACGAATATTTATAGATTTTCATGTACATATTATAGATTGTTGTTTGGAGAAAAACACAGTCGTCTGATTAGTTGTTTCACGCACACAGTTAACCTTGTATCTCTTTGTGGCTCTTTCTTGAATGTCAGATCATCTATATGTTAACTGTATCCGCCTACGCAAAGCCTTAGTTATCATTTTTGTCACGACCAATATTAAGGACATAAATATTGACGTAAATTACTGTCAACAAATATTGACTAACAGCCAGCACACACAAAAGTATGACGTTCTCACAAATTATTTTCACTTCAGGAGAGTTGACTTGCATTAATTCCTCAAATGTTTGTTAATGTTGACCAACAACGGAATATTATATGTTGTCATTCTCACCATCAGAGGTGAAGAATTTCGAAGCCCCGAAAGCTGATATTTCTGTGTGGTGTTTGATAGCAAAAGACACCTCAGGCTTTCGGTTATCTCACCAGATATAAATGTATATACATATTTATTGTTTTGACGCATCCAAACAATTTCAACAGCTTCAAGGAAGACGTTTATCTGATAAACTTCACTTTCCTAGCATTGGAATTCCTGTACATTCCTCTGAAATGATCATAGCACAGCACCATCAGACAATTACCATTTACTGACAATCTAAAACAAGTTGACCACTGACATACTGCAGTGAAAAAAACTAACATTTCATGGCTCCATTCGTAAACAGCATAAATGGAATTAAAATGTAGATCATGAAAGACGAGAAAAGTAATAAAATAAACACCGATCATGTAGTACACATTCATCCGAATGTCTGTGTTGATAAGAGATGACCAATGGTAGATTTACGTTAGAAAACGTAGAGTGTACTCCTCACTTATTTTGTGAAGGTATTTTGATAAGGTTGAGTGAAAGCAGAAAGAGCAAGTGTCTTTGATTAGCAATCTCCACAATTAACTTAGGAGATATTAATTTATAATCAAAGTATGAAGGTAAGCTGTTAACTTCCAGAAGATTGACTTGGTGAATAGTATTTGTCTTGTCTATAGCCTAAATCGAATCCATTAGACCAGTCATGTTTGCAGTCCAGTTTATTTGTAATCTTATATATATTAAAAAAACCTAAAGACATTCTAGGGTCTAATATTCATTACCATCAGTTACAAAAAGATTGTTGTAGTAGTAGGTGATACAAATTTAAAGCAAGTAGTGAAAGTTATTTGAATCCATAAGTTTTAACAAGACTTATTAACATTTCACTCTATATGTGTGAGTCGGTGGCACAGCAGTTAGGACTCTCGCCGACCATGCATATGGTACGGGGTTCTATCCCCAGCTGACGCACACCTGATATCAGTTGGTAAGTCGGCTAAATTTGGGCTACCGATATCACATGCTGAAAATTGCATACTTGTACCAATAATATGGTGTGGAATCAACGTATAATCAGAAAATAAAAAAATAACAATGACTGATTGTATAACCTGTTAATGAATGAAGGTGATATGATTTAATAATATAAGATAGTTGGAGAAAATCGGCAGGAAGCCTAGGACCTAGGTTTCGTGCTAGTTAGCACTCTTCAGCAAGGCGTATCTGCAACATTGAAGGAACTCATATCCCTGACAGAATTCAGTCTTCACCAAAGAAAGGACTAGACACGTCACACTAGTTATTAGTGTCCAATTAAAATGAAATGATTTAGTCTCCATGTCACTAATCTTCATTCATTATAGACTAATTAGACTACTCATATTGTGTTGCCATACCTTACTCGATGTCACAGTCTGTTTTATGTATCTCTTTCCATATAAGTAAATATCAATGTATATATTCTTTCATTCGATAGCAGTACATAAGATTTGAAGAGTCCTAATGAAATATATAAATTTAAGAAATCCTCTGGTAATATACTCTTTTTTTCACTTTCTTAGCAACATTATGTGTGGTAATAAATAATTTTCAAAACAAAATAATATAATTTACAAAATACCTCGCAATAACTGTGAGTTAAGTCAACTACATGGGTCAAACTAGTAGACCACGAGTAGCAAGATTATCAGAACATAAGAATTTAGCGAAGGTTAGAATGATTGATCCCATGAAGGTAAGTAATTTGGAGAAAAACTCAGCTATAGTACTACACGCATTAACACATAACCACACAATAGAGTGGTACAGAGTCAAAACTCTAAAAAGTAATATAGGTAAGTGGAGAGAGAGAGAGATTGATTACTGAATCCCGCCTGGTTCATCGAGTCTACACACCCCACACAACACATGCAACAGAAGAGACTCAACGCAAATACCAGAGATATGGAAGATATTATTACCACCAGTCAGTCAAATCAGAGGAGGATAATAAATCATCTTAAAATGTATTCAATTCACACTATAACATTCTAACAAGTTACTTATTTTTAGTATATTATTATTGCTTCCTTGGGTTCCTAGTGGAACATAGGGCTTCAACTGCACGTCTCCATTTGCTTCTGTCTTCTGCTGTACTTTTCGCCTGCATCCATGTTAGTCCATATTCTTTCAACTCCTCTTCACACGATCTCCTCCATGTCACCCTTGGACGTCCCACACACCGCTTCCCTTTCGGGTTCCACTCGAGGGCTTGACGCGCGATGTCACCCAGCGGTCTCCTCAGCGAGTGTCCGATCCATCTCCACTTTCTCCTGCATATTTGTTGGGCGATTGGTTCTTGCTTTGTTTGTTCCCATAATTCCTTGTTGGTGATTCTTTCCGGCCATCTGATCTTCAGTATAGAGCGAAGACAGTTGTTAATAAAGGTCTGCAACCTTTTGGAAATATTCTTTGTGACCCGCCAAGTTTCTGATCCGTATAGAAGAACTGACTTTACGTTTGTATTGAAAATCCGAATTTTGTTGGTGATGCTGAGTGACGAAGATTTCCAGATTGATTTCAGGCTGATGAATGTGTTTCTCGCCTTCCCGATTCTCGATTTGACATCCTCGTCCGCTCCTCCTGTAGTTGAGACAATGCTCCCTAGATAAGTGAATGAAGTAACCTCTTTCAAATCCCTCCCGTTGATGGTGATTGACGTTGGATGTTGCTGATGTTGTTGGTTGGTTATTTTCATAACCTCCGTCTTGTCTATGTTTACCTGGAGTCCTGTCTTTGCTGCTTCTTCGACCAGTTTGTCGGTTTTCGCTTGTAAGTCTTCGATTGTGTGTGACATCAAACATAAGTCATCCGCGAAATCCAGGTCTTCTAGGTTCTTCACGTCGGTCCAGGATATTCCTGTCTTCTCGTTTCCCACTGTCTGACGCATAATCCAGTCCACCACAATTAGGAATATCATTGGTGATAGTAAGCACCCTTGTCTGACTCCTGTGTTTACTCCAAACGCCTCGCTGAGTCTTCCGTTGTGGATCACTTGGCAGGTGCCGTTGTCGTACAGCTGTTGAATAAGGTTGATGAATATTTGGGGTACGCCATAGTACTCGAGTAATTTCCAAATTACTTCACGATCAACGCTGTCGAAGGCCTTCTCAAAGTCTATAAAGTTGAGGTAGAGGTTTGATTGCCATTCCATGCTTTGTTCGATGATGATGCGTAGAGTTGCAATTTGGTCAGTACATGATTTGCCTTTCCTGAATCCAGCTTGTTCTGGTCGGAGTTCTGTCTCCAGTGCGTCCTTTAATCTCTCCAGGATGATGCGACTCAGGATTTTACTTGGCGTCGATAGGAGCATGATTCCTCGCCAGTTCTTGCAGAGTCCTAAGTCGCCCTTCTTTGGTAGTTTCACGAGGTAACCTTTCCTCCAGTCAGTAGGCACCTTTCCCTCCTTCCAGACCTTTTGCAATAATGGAGTCAGCATGTCTGCTGTCGTCTCTGGGTCTGCTTTCAGTGCTTCAGGGGGTATTCCATCTGGTCCGGCTGTTTTTCCAGCTTTCAGAAGTTTGATTGCGTTCAAGACTTCAGCTCTCGTTGGAGGATTGGTGTCAACTTGCAGTTGTGTGCGCGCTGTTGTTGGTATTTCTGGACGGGTTGCAGGTGATGGTCGGTTCAAGAGTCCTTTGAAGTGATCCGCCCATTGTTTAATCTGTTTTTCTTCCTTGGTAATGGGCTTCCCTTGGCTGTCTTTTATAGGTTTCGCTTGTGTTGGTCTCTTCCCGGATAGAGATTTGGTTATCTGATATAGTGTCCTCAGGTCCCTTTTGCCTGCTGCCTTTTCAGCTTCAGTGGCTAGATTGTCGTAGAATCGTCTTTTGTCCTTCCTAGCACTTTTCTTCACTTCTTTGTCCAATGCTTTGTAAGTTGAGCTCATCGTCTCCTTCTCCTGTCCGTCCTTGCATTGAATCATTTTCTCTTTCACCATTCTCCTCTCTTCTATTAATTTCCAAGTGTCCGTTGAGAGCCATTCCTTGTCTTGTCTCTTCTTTCTTCCTAGAACCGTTGAACACGTTTCGTTGAGAATCGCCTTCAGAGACTTCCAATGTTCTTCCACGCATGATTCTTCAGTGATGTCGCGTAGTGTTTCCTGCTTTGCTCTGACAGTTGCAGTGAAGGTGTCTTTTGTGGTTGTGTCCTTCAGTAATTGAGTGTTGAACTTGCATTGTGGCCTATCCCCAGCTATCCTCGAGGCTTTTAGTTTCACCTTGAAAGTCCCTTCTACTAGATAGTGGTCTGAACCCACATCTGCTCCTCTCCTTGACCTTGTGTCCAGTAGGCTCCGTCTCCACTTTCTTGAAATTGAGATGAAGTCTATTTGATTCTTGGTGTTTCCATCTGGTGAAATCCATGTCGTCTTGTGTATATCCTTGTGTTTGAACACACTACCGCCAATCACCAAATCATTGAAGGCGCAGAAGTCTGAGAAGAGTTCACCATTGTCGTTCATTTCACCGAGGGCCTCACGACCCATGGTGAGTTCTCTTCCTGTGTTGTCTCCTCCCAGCTTCGCATTCATGTCGCCCATCAGGATTTTGATATCGCCATTTGGGACGTTGTCCATTATTGCTTGTAGTTGTCTGTAGAACGCCTCCTTCTTCTCTTGTTCTGAGACGTTTGTAGGCGCATAGCATTGAATGACTGTAACTTTCCTTCCTTTTGAGTTGAACCTGGCTGTCATTATCCTGGAGGAGATTGGTTCCCACTGCATGAGAGCTTTGGTTGCTGTTGGTGACATCATGATGGCCACTCCCTCGGTGTGCTCATGGTTGTCCTCTAGGTGGCCGGAATAGATTACTGTCTCTCCAGTAGGTAGTTGGCACCTTCCAGTTCCGTTCCATCTGCTCTCGCAGATTCCCAACACTTCTATTCTGTACCTTCTCATTTCAGCGGCTATCTGGGCAGCCTTTCCAGTTTCGTACATTGTGCGAACATTCCAGGTACCCATCCTTACTTTTGCTTTCATCGAAAGAAGGCACATCGGCTGACTGGCTTCCCGAAGGCTTTCACCAGCCTGCGTCATTTCACTTCCCCGATTCCAGCGAAAAGTAAGGCTATTGCTTATGTTTTTAGAATTTTTAATATATTTATTCGTTGAAGTTTCTGTAGCGATTTGGTTGTTTTACAGGGGTGGAGTTGCTAGCACCACGCCCCAACCCTCCCTCTTTACCCGGGCTTGGGACCGGCGAGAAAACTAGTAAGCTAGTAGCCTAGCAAGCTAGTATCAGAAGATTATGTCTAAACTTGTACGGTGAAGTGAGGCACATTTTTGGAACTGTGAATTTATCTGTATACATGTTCACTTGGTCGACGGAATTCGTAGAGTTACTGCGTAAGATATTTTTCAACAACTTGCAATAATGTTCATGGTAGAACTTGTTGTCATCAGTCTCTGAGTAATTAAATATTTAGGAACAGCATTATTTTCTCACCACCGGACACCAAGAAGTCAGTTTGTTGGTGAAATGTCTTTTTACGAATGTCAAATGTTTGTTAATGTTGACCAACAACGGAATATTATATGTTGTCATTCTCACCATCAGAGGTGAAGAATTTCGAAGCCCCGAAAGCTGATATTTCTGTGTGGTGTTTGATAGCAAAAGACACCTCAGGCTTTCGGTTATCTCACCAGATATAAATGTATATACATATTTATTGTTTTGACGCATCCAAACAATTTCAACAGCTTCAAGGAAGACGTTTATCTGATAAACTTCACTTTCCTAGCATTGGAATTCCTGTACATTCCTCTGAAATGATCATAGCACAGCACCATCAGACAATTACCATTTACTGACAATCTAAAACAAGTTGACCACTGACATACTGCAGTGAAAAAAACTAACATTTCATGGCTCCATTCGTAAACAGCATAAATGGAATTAAAATGTAGATCATGAAAGACGAGAAAAGTAATAAAATAAACACCGATCATGTAGTACACATTCATCCGAATGTCTGTGTTGATAAGAGATGACCAATGGTAGATTTACGTTAGAAAACGTAGAGTGTACTCCTCACTTATTTTGTGAAGGTATTTTGATAAGGTTGAGTGAAAGCAGAAAGAGCAAGTGCCTTTGATTAGCAATCTCCACAATTAACTTAGGAGATATTAATTTATAATCAAAGTATAAATATTATTATTTCTAGAGTATTACAAAACAAAAGTCTATGCCATATGTGTAAATTTGTAAAATCACAAATCGAAAGCGATGGTTGTCTGAACTGCTTCACAATTTATGTTTATGTGAAAATCTGCAGGTAAACTAAGTGGAAAACTATCACTTGATCGATAACGCGCTAATTAACCAACCTCTCACGTGATCACTTTTTGATTCTGACACTGTCAACGCTTCATCAAAATGTCGTTTGTTAAATTCTCGAATATTGTCAAAACTGTGTGCTCTTTCCTTGTTGAAATTCAATGCGCTCTGGTCTCTTTTGATCAGTTTGTATTGACAAGTTTGTTCCAGCTCCAACAAATCATCTCTAGACCATACTGGTTTACACTGCTTTGCTCCGAATATACTCAGATAAATTCTCAGAGTATCATTACTCAGCAATAGAAAACTTCCTCTAATAGTAATGGGATGTTTTAATTCACCCGAATCCCAATAATACTAGTAATGACAACTATTCAGTGGTGTTCCGAAGACAGTGTTGTAGTTGATGATGACGATGATGATGAGGATGATGATGAAAAGACAAAGTCTGACGTCAAGTAAACTGAACATTTTGATACATGTTCAGTGTTGAATAAGGCCCTATGTTTCTCGCCTTCGTGGTGTTGACCACGACGACTGTCACATTTATTTCTTCTTAAAATAACACTAATTTGAAACCGAGAGGAAGTTGTCCGAAACCATATTTCACCATTTTCAGGCTGCTTTTTATCGTCTGTCTTAATCCATTGTTCATTGTCGTTTTTATTTAAATTTTCTAACGGTATCATAACGGTATCAGTCATAACGCAGACTGACTAAAGCCATTAAGACATCGGATCAATCTGAGTCGAAATACTTTCTTGTCACCCTCAGAGTAGTATCACTAATAATGAGGCATCCGGTCATTGTTAGAGATATGTGAATTCATTTGATCTAATGATCAGAACACTCCAAGTAATCGGTAGAAGTATATCACTCCCTAGACTGATGAAGCTAATTCATGCACAAAATGCAGCAACACTATTCTCTTACACAGTGTGAAACATACACTGATCAATTCACACAATGTCTAAAATTCTGTCTCTCTCTCTCTCTCTCCTTCTCTGTGGTCAACTGACATCTGAACTCCACACATAATATAAAAAATGTAGGTAGCCTATTGAACAAATCATAACTATCTCCAATACAACCAAGTAAAATTTGTGTAGGCATCTGTAAGCTTAACTGAGCTGTAGATTTGTTACAAGATGGCAGACTAGTTGCATGTCTAATCAACAATCATCATAAAGTACACTGGTATTCGGTTGTTATACAAGTTAAAGAAGTAACGTTTCGTGTTCACACATCAAGTGTGCTGTTTTGGTAATAGAGTATTATTCATTGGCGTGTTAATCACAAAGATTGGCAACCACTCACGTGTGTCCGAGTGGTAGGAAAAATTTCTAGTTATCATAAAATGGATCGTCTAGTGTTACACTGTCTAAATCATTCATTGGTGAGCTGACGATGACGATGATGATGATGAAGGCGGTAGTCTTCAAAAGTCAATTTATCGAGAGCCCACATGGAAAGGACAATACTTGCAGTTTAATAGCTTTTGTCCAAATAGCTTTAAACGTGGTCTAGTCAAGACTCTCTGCTATAGAGCGAGGAGAATATGCTCTATAGAGAAACTAGAGGAGGAGTTTGAGTTCCTTGAAAAGATATTGAAGAGAAATGGGTATCCTCAAAATTTCATCAACAAGTATGGAAGATCTGAAGTCACAAATGTAAAAAAATCACAGTGGGTAAAAAGCCAGTCTACGTTCAGCTTGACTACAAAGGGGAAAACATTGCAGCGATGATCAACAGAAGGCTGAGTACATCACTAGCCATAGCCTATCCTGCAGCTAAGCTCGTTCCCGTCTATCGAACAACTTGCTATTTGGTGCAATCAAAAATCTATAGATATCCTGAGAAGACTTGAGGTACTTTGTCTGTTAATTATTTTGAATGATTCCAGTACATCTACTCGGTGTCCCGTGTCAACCAGGTGTTTCGCGACTGAAGAGAATAAACAATTCGGTCCATTTAACCGGAGGCTCCTTGGTAAATGTTCACGGGAATTTTAAAGTTTTGATTTTCTCTTATCTAATTACCTAACTTTTACTAATTTTCTCTTGTTACCTCCCCGTCATCACAACTGTTCATTAATTTTCCTCAAGAAATGTTTCTCCAACAAGATATATAAATACACACCTCGTAAAACGCCTTATTTTACTATGACGCTCTGACAATGTGCTTGCTAATGGACAAATGTTTGTCAAAATTGTACACTTTTTAGTTTTATTTATTAAAGAATTCAGGTTATAGGCATCTGATGAGAACCAACGAAATAAAATGGATCCAGATTATTCTCAGCCAATGTTTCTTCTTTCTTTGTTTAAATTTATAAAAGGGAATGTTAGTTAGCACTCATTCCAACTTGGACCCTCGCTCCACTAGTGTGATATCAAGAACGCCGAGTGAAAAAATATGAGAAATACTTTGAGTTTACTTAGAATTCACCGTCAGTGTCACAATGACATTCCGAAAGATAAAAATACGCCTAATATATACTAAAAATCCACTGTTTTCATGATATTCATTGAGTCAGAGTGACCTGTTTCTATTGAAATACTGCCTTGTTTGACATTATGACATGTTTTGAAGTAGTTGGATGACAAGACACAGGACTCACTAACCTAGCTGATAATCCTTTAAATTGTCAGCTGGAAATTCAAGGGGATTATTGTTAGTAGTAGAAAATTGTGGGAGTTTTGTGTTCTGATTTGATTGACAGGACTGATACTAAACCGATGAAAATAAACGTATACATTCGTACCTGACTACTCACAGTATTATTGTAAAAACAGAATGCAAGGTTCAGGCAACAGATCGTTTACTATGGAAATCAACGAATATTTATAGATTTTCATGTACATATTATAGATTGTTGTTTGGAGAAAAACACAGTCGTCTGATTAGTTGTTTCACGCACACAGTTAACCTTGTATCTCTTTGTGGCTCTTTCTTGAATGTCAGATCATCTATATGTTAACTGTATCCGCCTACGCAAAGCCTTAGTTATCATTTTTGTCACGACCAATATTAAGGACATAAATATTGACGTAAATTACTGTCAACAAATATTGACTAACAGCCAGCACACACAAAAGTATGACGTTCTCACAAATTATTTTCACTTCAGGAGAGTTGACTTGCATTAATTCCTCAAATGTTTGTTAATGTTGACCAACAACGGAATATTATATGTTGTCATTCTCACCATCAGAGGTGAAGAATTTCGAAGCCCCGAAAGCTGATATTTCTGTGTGGTGTTTGATAGCAAAAGACACCTCAGGCTTTCGGTTATCTCACCAGATATATATGTATATACATATTTATTGTTTTGACGCATCCAAACAATTTCAACAGCTTCAAGGAAGACGTTTATCTGATAAACTTCACTTTCCTAGCATTGGAATTCCTGTACATTCCTCTGAAATGATCATAGCACAGCACCATCAGACAATTACCATTTACTGACAATCTAAAACAAGTTGACCACTGACATACTGCAGTGAAAAAACTAACATTTCATGGCTCCATTCGTAAACAGCATAAATGGAATTAAAATGTAGATCATGAAAGACGAGAAAAGTAATAAAATAAACACCGATCATGTAGTACACATTCATCCGAATGTCTGTGTTGATAAGAGATGACCAATGGTAGATTTACGTTAGAAAACGTAGAGTGTACTCCTCACTTATTTTGTGAAGGTATTTTGATAAGGTTGAGTGAAAGCAGAAAGAGCAAGTGCCTTTGATTAGCAATCTCCACAATTAACTTAGGAGATATTAATTTATAATCAAAGTATGAATATTATTATTTCTAGAGTATTACAAAGCAAAAGTCTATGCCATATGTGTAAATTTGTTAAATCACAAATCGGAAGCGATGGTTGTCTGAACTGCTTCACAATTTATGTTTATGTGAAAATCTGCAGGTAAACTAAGTGGAAAACTATCACTTGATCGATAACGCGCTAATTAACCAACCTCTCACGTGATCACTTTTTGATTCTGACACTGTCAACGCTTCATCAAAATGTCGTTTGTTAAATTCTCGAATATTGTCAAAACTGTGTGCTCTTTCCTTGTTGAAATTCAATGCGCTCTGGTCTCTTTTGATCAGTTTGTATTGACAAGTTTGTTCCAGCTCCAACAAATCATCTCTAGACCATACTGGTTTACACTGCTTTGCTCCGAATATACTCAGATAAATTCTCAGAGTATCATTACTCAGCAATAGAAAACTTCCTCTAATAGTAATGGGATGTTTTAATTCACCCGAATCCCAATAATACTAGTAATGACAACTATTCAGTGGTGTTCCGAAGACAGTGTTGTAGTTGATGATGACGATGATGATGAGGATGATGATGAAAAGACAATGTCTGACGTCAAGTAAACTGAACATTTTGATACATGTTCAGTGTTGAATAAGGCCTTATGTTTCTCGCCTTCGTGGTGTTGACCACGACGACTGTCACATTTATTTCTTCTTAAAATAACACTAATTTGAAACCGAGAGGAAGTTGTCCGAAACCATATTTCACCATTTTCAGGCTGCTTTTTATCGTCTGTCTTAATCCATTGTTCATTGTCGTTTTTATTTAAATTTTCTAACGGTATCATAATGCTTCCGTCAACTTCAAATTTAAGGTTACTATCTAATAAGTGTGTTTTTTTAATGCCTTCTTGAACGAGTCGATTGAGGGAGTGGGCAACACTTCTTCTGGAAGCTGGTTCCTGGACAGAACTAGTACTCCATAGTAATTTACTTCCTTTTTGGCTGTCTGGCTCTGTTGCTTTTTCCTCTAGGATGATCTGACCTAGTGGAATGGAAAAGATAAGATAGATAAGGATCGTAAACACTTCTTAGGAACTTGAATATCATAGTGAGATTTCTACGTTTACCATATGATAGGGAGAAGGGTGTGAACCTGTTTAGTTTCTTCTTTTATAGTGAACTGGAAATACTAGGAATCATATGTGTGCCCTCCCTTTGATCTGTTTCTAGTATATGAATCTTCCTTAAAGCAAGGGCTGGTTACATGGATGTGGTCTTCTAGTTTCGACCTCACTAGAGATATATATAAAGTAGAAATTTGATAGGGGATTCTGGAAAAGGCCCCACGTATTGCTCAAAAGTATCTAAAACTATGAGCTGCTACAGAGTGGTATCACTTATTATGACATCTGTGACAGACAGGAATAGTGTTCCACATATATCATATGCGCTGACACTTGCGTACCCAATCCGCATGGTTTCGCACTTCGCTACGTTGATTAGGGCTGTCGATTCATAGGATCATTCCAATAGCTTATTCAAATGTCCCTGCAACGTAAGCATGTCACTATCATCCTTAGGGTGTCTCTAGACTTTCAGGTCATCTACGTAGAGAATTAGGGGAGATCCGATGAGTAAAGATAATTCACTTTTCAGGAAGGATGTTTGCAGTTGATCTAAAATCTGTCACCTACCTACAATGAATCCCTTGATCCACCTTAGCAAGCTGCGCTTAATTCCAAAACTTTCCAGTTTCTCAGGCATATTTATGTCGAAAGCTTTGTTGGAATACATGAAGATAACGTTGATGCCTTTCTTGTTGTCTGTGGACTTTATATATCTTTCTCTTGCTGTAAAGTGTTCCCAGGAACTATGTGTTCTGAATGAAAAGTAGCTTATTTCCGAATGTACCATGCTAGCTTTTTAAATTATTCTTGACGAAAGCGCTGGTATGACTAATAAGTCTGTAGTTAGAAGGATAATATTTAGATATTCCTTTGCTGATGGGGATTACTAGTGCATCCTTGCAGTCACACGGTGACACTACATTCGAGAGAAATAGCTTAAGTATCGTGGTCAATGTGTCAGCTATCTCAGCTGTCAGCTTCATGAGAAGCGTGGAGGTGAGAGTCACCAGTTTCCATTGATTACTCTGTGCCTGATTTTTTAAGGACTCCAATACAGTAACTTGGTCACTGCCAACAGAATCTATCCCGTCTTCTTGTGGTTCAGCCGTAGGTGATGATATAGGAAATGACGACTCCTGTATGAAGACTCTCGAGAAGCAGTTTGACATCGCTTTCGCGTTTTCCTCATTCTCTTCAGTTGTAGTGCATAACTCCGAAAAAACTGGATTTAAGCAAGATTATGTACAAATTGAGTCGCTTTTCCTCCAAGACTCATTCACAGTGAAATCCATCAGAGAATAACCTAGCATATTTGACAGACAGAATATTGCTGAAGATCTCTTTTCAACAGCTATTGTATCAAGCTTAATGAAATATGAACGTGGGAAAGCAACATTTTATTTCATGAACGCATAACTCAGCGACCTATTGATGAACTATTTCAGGAGTCTACGTTTTTTTTGCCACCCACTTATAAATGAAGTACTGACTATACAAGGATGTTTCATGGAGCTCTTTCTTCTTTTTATTAGCCTTAAATTTATAGCATTCCATCTAGTTAATTTTAAAGTGCTGAAATTTGTCAGTGAGTAGAAATACTGAAGTGTGTGATAATACTGATGTAATTTACCACACACCACACACACACACACACACACAATAAAAATACTTATTATTGTCTATTGTTATGCATATTATATATGAATGCGATGGTACGGTTGTGCACACGAGATAGTCGGAAAGAGAATTTGCTTCGCTGAATTCTTTGTTTTATGCCTCAATAAGGATTATTCGTTTAATTTTAAGGTGTTACTGTCTTCAAGGAACTCACAAATTTGTTGGTAACACCTGATCCGTTTCAAATATGGCGAGATCAATTTCTTCAATAACTGTTTAGGTATTTCATCCACTTCAAACTATGTTGTACACACTTATCGTTATCATTTTACTGATACTGACTGCATTTACACTAGATCTAAGTTAGACTTTATTTTTTGATGATTTTTATTATTCTTCAGAAAAAGTGTAATGAATGAAAAATTAAAAAAAAAACCTCTGATCAATTCACCTACAAACAACTAATATTTATCACCATTGATAATAGAAATAAATTAGCTGACAAACTTAATACACCAAGTGGAAGCTAATAAGTTTGTTTTTCTCGGAACCATCAATTTTCTTTCACCATAGAATTCTTAATGCAATTTTTATGCTCTACATAGTAATTGAATTATAAATCATTTACGTGTTACTTAGTATATCATTTAAAGTACATTAAATGCATGTAGGAATAAAAGTGTATGGGGCAAACTTAAACTATCATAGCCACAACCAAAATGACCTTGAACAACCAATCAGAATTCAGATGCAAAAAAGTCGCATAATCGTTGAAAAAAAGACTGCCAACATGATTTTACACTGTAGCGTTGTAGCTTATGTGTTGTAAGAATGTCTCCCAGTCACAACACAGATGATCTATAGAGAAATTGTTCCATGCACGATGTACCCATCCATCCAAGTGACTATAGGGGTCATGGTACTTTGAGATCCGCTGGTATTTCTGACGCTATACTCCTACCTACTCCTACCTCTAACCATAATCCTAACTTTGACCCTAACCTAAACCTTAACCACAAAAGCCATAACCCTACATAACAGTATAGATTTGCAGGAAAAGTAACTAGCAAATAAGTAGAACACTGTATTTATCCTCTCCTAGCCCAAAAATGCGGGCATAATTTGATTTGGACTTATACTTCATAGCATTCCCTATGTCTGATCGGTTCTTGAAGGTCAACTTTTGAAAGACCTTGACTTTGGCTACGAAACTTTATTTTCGCTGTTTATGCCAATGATAGTGAAATTAGCCTAGTGAAATTCCCACTTTTCTGACTAAGTCCAGCTATAACTAGCATAGGATAAAAATGAACTACTTAAATTACAGAATTTCATCATGAGCTGACATTAGTTAGATAGCCATTGGAAAACCTGGGAGTACTGGACAGCTGTCATCAAGTAAGACAGAGTCGACTATTAAAAGAAAAATGAAAATTTTTTAATAGTATTTTTTTATTGACTTATAAAAAGAAAACGATATTATATAAGTGGAACTGAATCCAAAACATGAAAAAGAGAAAAAGAACACAAAACACCTTCATTGTCACAAATGAAGATGAAGGACAAAGAGGACCGTTTCCAAAAGTGTAACAGTCGGAATAAAGTTATAATACTATATACTACTAGTAATAACAATAATCATAATATTGAGAGGACAAAGCAGGAATAAGATTCACACACACACACACACAAATATATACTGTTATTACTGAATCAAACAAATATTAGGAATTAGATTAACAATTAGTCACTCCATTTATCATTATTACGTCATACATCATATGCACTTCTGTATGCAACAAAAATGCCTACATACATCACGCTAATACATTCATTACACACACCTGGAAAAGCCGGTGCAAAAAAGAAGAGAAAGTAAACATGCACGACGAAACAAAAAGAAGAGATTTCATGGAGAGCGAGAGAAAAAAGAAAAACAAATAAGCAGAGAAAGTTGAACAAATGAAGAACAGGGGAGAAACAGTTATTCTGATAATGAAATATATATACTAAAAAAGTATTTTTGCTATAATTCCTCCCCACCCTGTCGCTTTTGGTGTATACACAAAACAATGTGTGGAAAGAAAAGTTTTTTTTTAACCAGTTCAGTATCCATATATGTTTTAACTAAATTTCGGTTGTGCAATAATAATAAATTGTCCGGAGGATGTGAGTTGACTTTTTTCAAATACTCAACAGAAAAGAAGAACACCACAGTATAACGATAATGAAGAAGTATAATTGTGTAAGGTTTGTTGTAGAAAGCGAAGAAGAAGAAGAAAAGGAGAGAGGATCATAGAACAACAATAAAAGTACACAAACACACAAAACACCAGTAGTCCTTTGATATTCATCCACATACAGATAAGAACAGATGTGCACATTAATCGAAAAAAAAGAAATGAGAATGAGAACCAACTTCCACCGAACAAGAATAAAAATTCAGTAAGATGGATCATAAAGAAAGTCCCTTCAAGACAATGGTGGAAAAGAAACCGCATACATAAATCAATTCAGAAGTACACAATGCAAGTGAACCTTTCTCCCCGCATGTATTCGTCGTCGTCGTCGGCGGCGATGGATTATGAATTAAGTATGCAACGTCACTTCTCTCTTTACTATTTATAACTACTACTCTTTTTTTAAATTACCTTTATTCCGTAAAAGGAAGGAAACACGAATACGAATCTATGTATAATATGTGTATATTCAGTTATTGTTAATGCAAGAAAAAGAAGTTTACCGATAAGAGGTAATTCCTTTTTCGCAAAATGATGAAGAGATAACACTCAGAGGAAGAAAACAAAACATAAAAAACTTCAATCGAAATAAAAACCGAAACAAAAGCGTGAATACGACTGGATTGATACTGGTTATTTTCAAATTGCTACTAAGGTGTAGTATAATACCATTGTTACTTCAATAAACTTTTTCACTATTCACAGAATATTATAATCAAAACAAAAAAACAATAACAACAAAAGAAAGAAAGAAAGAGCAATTGAAAGCGACAATTAATAATACACGATCAAACACAATTAACAGTATATTTTAGATATATGAACATTAAACGTGTATTGTTTGAACTCGTTCACCACCATCATCACCACCACCACTACCACGACCACCAGCAACAGCCGATCAATCACTTATTCATCGCCTAGATGTAAAAATACCGACAACAAAAATAATCGAGTGTATTAGTGAATAAGTAAATAAATAATACTTTATTGGTTTAAAAATTCCCATTATAAATGAAAACAACGATTGGTGAACAAGCAAACAGAAAACATTTTTTTTCGATAAACTTTCCCCTTTGGGTGTTATACAAATTAGTTAACAAGAAGAACAACTATAGCGTCTTCACAGCACAGAATATTACTCGGAACAAAGAATGAGAGTTTTATACCGGAGAAGGTGTATCTGAGATACAGATAGTTCCAACACAAGTGAATATATATGACACTATGCAGTAATGTAACACTAAAAAGACAGTCGAATATATCATGAGGTGTGTTTTGCGCACAGGAAATGACAATTAACGTCTAAAGCAGATGACTGCTTACCCTATATATATATATATATATATATATATATATATATACTCCCTCATGATTTTAGTAGCCATTGACAAAAGATATTATTAACAACTCATATACACTTTTCAGGTGTAAAACTCTCACATTTTGAATATATTACTTTTGTCAATAGATCCAAACTTAAAGAAGACTTTATCAAAAAAAGGCTCCATGTTCAGTAATCATCACTGTTTTAAAAGCAAATTTTAAGTGATCAAAACAAAGATGGAAGAATGAATATAGTGAAATAAATACAGTGTAATGGCTGAAAACACGATTAGTCAACAAATAAAAGTGAATCTCCTTATTCAATACTCATTGGATTTCGACCGGTCACTTTATTCCCTACGAACACCATATTTTATAATGTCTGGTGTTAGTTGTTTCCAGTAGGCCAAGACAAGATCACGGGCCAACAGATGCTGCATTCGGGTACAGGATTTCATCATGAGTTGATATCAGCAGGAGAACCTGTCTGGGAGTACTGGACAGTTCTGTTTCGCTGTGGTTTAGGACTCCTCATCAGTACGCACTCCCCAGGGTTCGAACCCAGGACCTTCCGGGTACAAGGCAAGCTCGTACACCATAAGGCCACTGGGACCCGATACAACGGTCCATGAATTCTAATTTCTGCCGATTCACTGGCAGGATGCTGACTACTTTGTTAAATGACACACCCAGATGTCACTAGATAACAAAGGAAAAAGTGGTTCTAGGAGAGTTTTGCTTCAGAAAGTCAGCAATATATATATATATATATATATACATATATATATAGTAGTGGATTCCGAACACATTAAGTACCAGTGGCAACTGCCAAAGATAACTATTTTTTCCGTTAACAGAACGAAAGTACAAGCGAAACAACCAAGAGAATTTGCGAAATGACATATTTCCTTTAATGATAATCGTAGTGGTTGGTTGTACGTACGTTGTATGCTCTCCTTATATATCTGAATAAAATTCAACAAGAGTCACTAAGCAAACTGCGACTCATTGGAGTAAGCAAATATATATATACTACTTTGCATTTTTTTTAAACAAAAAGACATTTCAGTGGCACCTTTTTTACTACACGAAGTTAGATAATGTTGACTAAGGACGAACAACACAAGGCTGGACAATATTCAATAGATCCTTCTTTTCCTCTAAATATCGAAATTTCCGAAAGATTACACATACTTCAGTCTACTCAGAATACCTAAAATAAGGCAATAATTCTGAAGGCAATCAACTATGCTGCAATAAGTCGAGAGTGATAACACTGGACAAATAACTACATCTGCTTGTTTACTTTGTAAGTATTAAATAACTGTATTTAAGTGTAGTGACATGGGGCAGAGTTTACCAAGAAACTTATATTATTCTAAAATTGTATCCACAAATGATTTATAGTACGAAACAATGATGAATAAGTTTAGAATAGGAGCTAAAATAACTGTTTTTCAAAGTAGTAGTTAACCAAATGACAGCAACTAATCCAGTTAACGTCAAAATCATCAATCATAACAATCACAATAGGAATTGTGGTTGTTAAACCTGAAATGCTAGTTGACAAAAAGTATACATATATATATGAAACGCGTGTACACATAAGTACAATTTCACTTACATGAAAAAGGGAAATAAACCTCATGACAAAAAATAAAGCATTTCAGTTAGTTAGCTTGATGGCAGATGACGTTGGTTAGCATGATTTGCAGAATGGACAGAGGCAGAATTATCCGAGACACTTGTCGAATGAGCAGACGACCTACTACTACTACTTAATGAAGGTGGTAAACGAGAGTTTAAACTAGTATTACTCATACAAACCCTATCTTTTTCTCCATTAACTGTGGTATTTCTGGGATGCGGTAGTGCTGCTGATACTAATGGAACCGATGATGACAATGATAAATCCTTTTCACCTAGATTTCCAGTTGTTTCAACACCGTGAGAGTCGGCATCATTAGATCCCATGGCTATGTGACTACTAGAACTACCATCTGCACTAGCTAATGTAGCCAAACCACCACGACCACTGACACCATCATCACCACTAGTGGTTTCATCTAAATGTTTTCTTTGTAGATCTTGGATACTTTGAATAAGTTCTTGTAAAGCTAAATCATGCTGACTGAGTATGAGTTGTCGTTCTTCTTCATAGCACAGATCACCACGACTACCATCACATGATGTTTCTAAACGTAAAAATTCCGCTAAAGATGAACGACTGCTATGTGTGCGTAGAGAGCCTGTCAAGTCTGCATTACCGTCGTGACCATCAGATGAATGACTTTCATAGGAACGTCGAGCACGATCAGATTCTGTATGATTAGAAGGTATATTGCGTACAGACATAACTGGATTTTTTAAAGACTTTTCAGGACCACCAAACGATTCATGTGATGAACGATTTGGCTGAATGTATGGATATAGTAATCGACGTGATAGTCCAGAACGATTTTCAAATGATTCTGATGGACTTAAATCACTACTTTGCCAACTTTTAAATGGATTTACACTGGCTATTGATGATCTTGTTGAATATTCTGATGTCTCTGGGATTGGTGTCAGTGGTTGTAGTAATGGTCGGCAGTGTAATACATTATCATTAAGTGCATTATAAAATGTATCATAATCACCATACGGTGGTTCTGTGCTTTCAGATGTTTCACGATATTCACCGCTTGGTATGATAATAACTCTATCAGGGAATTCATAGTCGTCTATTCCCTCCTCCTCTTCCTGCACCTCTTCTTCCTCTTGCTCTTGTCTATCTTTAGTAGAACGATTAACCGGATAGTTATTAGCATCACCAGTATCCTTAACAATACTGTCATGAGACTTTAGGAAGTTATATACACTAAACTGAGGCATATTTGCGTCTAATTTGAGAGACCGATGAGGGGTAATAAATGATATTGTTAAAGCGTTATACATTTATCATGAGAACAGATTTTTCAACATTTAATTAGTGTTGATTTCAAGACGATATGATGACAGGTAAACAATTTTTATAAGATATCACATTAGTTAGGGAATATATATATATATATATATTTATATAGCAGAGATTGCAGATTATTATTATTTTTTTCCCCAAACAGTGGCGTAAAAACAAACGACATAATATTAAACATGATTAAGGTTATTAACAGACAGACATACACGCGAATGAGTGAACGCAACATCAACAACAACGACAACGAAAAAAAGGCGAACCGATACGCGTGCATCCGCATCCACACACACAAACACAAATACACACACACATACATACATACATACATCATGTTTTTGCACACGCACATAAAATAATATTAACAAAAGAGGTTAAGATTAGACGGAATATTTCATACGGGCATATTAGCAACAGTTATGGTATGTTGTTTTATTACAATGTTTTGATGTTGAACATTTTTTTTTAAACAACGCCAAATAGGAAGCAGTAAAAGTGAACGAGAAAAAAAACCATAAACGGAGTTTTTTTTGTTTATTTGTTGTTGTTGATGATGATGACGATGTTGATGATTTGTTTAATTTTAGCAACAACAAAACAAAACAGCCGACAAACGTATAAGGAGTGAGAGTGTGGAAAGAAAAGAAAAGAAAAACTAGTTTAGACAACGGAAATTAAAAAAGAAGTATAGTTTGTTTGACACTAAATAATACCTATGCATAAATAAGTAAATATATAAATGCGCAAATCCCTTTCCCCTATCCCTTCACTTTTGTGGAAAGAAAAACCAAATGCACCTTAAATACTTGATACAATAGATCATAATAGCTTAGATGTCATCAATTCTTATCGTCATGCCTCTGGATAACTCTCTCTCTCTCTCTTTCTCTGTCATCCACTCACATTACTCCATTGTTATCTTACTGAGTTTATTCTCTCTACATTTCTGTGTTTCTCCAGAGTGTGTAAACAATCTCTACCAATGAACCATCAACACACTGCAGACAGAATAAAAACCTTAAATAAATCTGATCTTAAACATATGAAGTATGTGTGACACATGCATGAAACATTCTTTATTATAAAACATGAATTGTTTTAAAAACAAAAAAGATATCGACAACCTTCTTATTTCATTTATCTGCGATTTATAGTAATCTACTTTCCACTGTCTATTAGTAAATAATGTAAATTAGCAGGGTGGGGTAGTACATACGTAGATGAAACAGTCGCTTATTATCATTAATTTGTTCCCTTGGGTTCCGAGTGGAACATAGGGCTTTAACAGCACATGTTCACTTTGTCCTATTCTCCTCTGTAGTCTTCTTAAAATGGCCCAACGATTGACTATAGTCTCTCGTCTCCTCCTCCTCCTCCTCCATGCCACTCTCGGGTCAACGCCCAACTCGTCGTTTCCAATTCACGGTAACAATCGAGCGAAGGTCAGGTCTGCAGAGTGTCACCCGGAGCTTGTGACCAATCCATCATCTCAATTTTCTTCAGCGTATTTGTTGACCGATAGATCCCTTGATTAGTTTGTTCCCGGGGGTTCTTCTTCTTAATTGTTTCTGGCAGGCATTTAATCGTCAGGATGAAGCCAGGAAAGGCATCTGAAACTGGCTGTCAGTAATGCTTTCCGAGATGCACAGGCCAAGTTTCTGGAGTATATGGAAGAACTGACTGACTTAACATTGGTGTCGAAAATCCGTATCTTGTTCTTCATGCTGCTGAATGCAAAAGACTTCTAAACTGATTTCAGAGTAGGGAACGTCTGTGCTGAGTTTCTGATTCTGGTATTGACATTCTCATCCGTGCCGTGTGCCAGCTAGTTGAAACGATGCAGTTCACCGTCAATTCGGTCACAGTAAATCCTCTGGACTCAGTGTTAGGACACTTGACAGTGTAAATGTGGCTCATTGACCCGGGCACCTAACTTTTAGCCGGTGCGTTCCAGGTTCGAATTCCACTGTAACTGCTACTTCAACTTGGGTAATCAGCTGTCTCCCACAATACACATGACTAATATAGCCTAGTACATGAAAAATTCCTTGTGGTTAACTCAATTTAAATCAGACAGTCGACTGCTTATGATAATAAATTCTACATCTCCAGGTTTGTTTCTGTGGTCATAAATAATGAAACTGTCAAAATATGTAGAACTTATCAAGCATACACAAAAAAGAAAGAAAGCCATTCATTCATTCAACATACAAAAAAGTCATGCCTGAAAATGTAAGGTACTAACTACTCTATTATTATTATTATCACTATTATTGTTATTATTACTAGTGAATTGGCAACTACGAGCAAGCTGCGAGTAATTTACAGTACTGTATAATATTGCCAAACCATTAAGGGGATATACTGTAGTAAAAGTGTTGATTGGATCATGAACAGTATATTATACAAGAGCATAGCACAGATCCTTCTTCTTAGTACTATGATCAATGAGTGCTATTTTGCGTATCCACAGCAAGACGTAGTATTTGAAATATATACATAATTAAACTAAATAAGATAAAATGGCTAAGATCAAACAACTCGTCAGAAATACAAGATTAACTACTACCAAAAACAAACTACGCTTAGTAAACGAAGATTCAAGCAGTCACAATGCATGAATACTATGATACAACTGTGGTGATAGAGCATAATTTCTCTTTTATTTCATCACCTTCATTTGGTTTTTGGTGTTTGGAGATAACTGAAGTTGACGAAGATGCCGGTTGTATTGTTTTTTCCTGAGTAGATATGGTACTTGAATTATCAGATTTACTCGAAGTAATTCCAGTCTGATCAACTGCTTGATGATGCATTGTATGCGCTAATTGTTCAGATGATATGGCTACTGTAACTGGAGGGATTTCTTCAGGCTTTTCATCAATTCTCCCTGGACTGGTACCTCGTGGTACATCCCGATCTGCTCCTCTACCCCAAGTAGCCTCAAGTTCACCGCATCTTGGATGGTGATGTGCACAGATTTCTTGTTCACATGGTGAATCACTTGATGGTGTTTTACACACTTCTCTATCTCCCTCATCAACATGCATTTTATCAGTGTCATGCAATGGTATATCACGATCTGCACCTCTACCCCATGTAGCTTCAAGTTCTCCACATCTCGGATAATGACGTGCAAAAATCTGTTCACATGGTGTACCATCTTTTAATGTTTTACAAACCAGTTCACTTGTTTTATCTTCATGTAAAGTACCACCACTACCATGTGAAGGTAAAACATTCACATCAACTTCAGCACTTTTATTAGTCATTGTTTCACTTAATAGCGGTTTGTACTTCTCATTAGTGATGACTGTTTCCGTATCAGATGACTGAGATGATTCCATGTGGCCAGAAACTGAAAAATAAAATGAAATGTGATAAACAATTAAGGGCATTATCATAATTATTACATGTTATTATCAATTTCTACAATGATTTGTATAAAATGCACCTTGTTAGATGGAAATTACTTCTACCAAAACAAATATTACATTTAGTGTGAAAGTAATCTAAATGCAATGGAGAGAAGACAGTCGAAAGTCTGAAGGAAACCTGGATCTCGTGAGAACCACAGGTCTTTTCTATATATTATCACAGTGTGCGTCGGTGGAACAGTGGTTAGGACTCCCGCCGACCATGCACATGGTCCGCGATTCGATCCCTTGCCGATGCACACCTGATATCTATGGTTGGCCTGCAAAATTTGGGCTACCGATTTCACATGCTGAAAATTCCATACCTGTATCCAAAATACGTTGTGCAGTCAAGCTGTAGTCAGATACTACTGAAGTCAATCTAGCAATCAGACAATAAATAAGAATAGAACTATTCAGACAGCTATTGAGCTTTAATTATTTGTAAAGCGATATTATTCATTGTCCTTTTTAGTACATGAGCACATGTCTACCCGCAGTGCTTAAAACCAGTTAACTCTGGCAGAATGAACAGACAAATTGTCAGTTTCGAAATCAATGCAATGGACACCACGCTTATATATAAGCAATTGATGGAAGTCTGAGGTCTTTAAATATAACTTTACAATAGACGTAAAAACCTTCAAAGACTTCTTCCAGCATAACAACAGAAATCATCTGACAAAAAAGTCATTAATATAAGAACAAAAAGTTCAGCGAACATCCTATTTCATGTTACGCAACCCTTTCCGCTATGCACCAATCTTCACTCTCATAGTTACAGTTTGATTGTTCGTCACATTTTTGAAACATCTCGATGATGTAAACAATAGTCCTAACTAATTTTTTACTATTTTTTCGGCAATCCTAATGTGCACACATACACATACAAATGCTTATATCTAAATGCGATTGTACAGCTAAGTGAATGAATTCGCCAAAAAGAGACTCTTCGCTGAACTTTTTGTTCTTATATTCATGTCTGGACTGGTATTTTTCGTCAATTAAAAAAAAGAAGTCATTCATGCAATCTGTTGACACCGCTAATGATACAATTTCATTCAAAATTTCTTAATTAAAATATTTCCCTTCAATCCACTTATCCTCATTTTATGTTTCATTCAATGCCTAAGAAACCATGCCCGGAGGCAGTTGGTGTTGTGACTCAAAATCATTCTCTCTATGGCATAGATACATTCACGTTTTACAATCTACCAGATTCAATAATTCGTTATGTTTTTCCATGTTAGTGTATATGAAGAAGAGTTGTCAGAGTTAATAATACACCAGTATGCAAATTAATAAACGCTCATGAGTTATGCGTAAATAAAAGTTATTTCAATGTACATATTCATTTTCAGTTATTATTAGTTTATTATAATTATTAGTTTTAATTTTAAGTAGTTAGTTTTAAGGACTAAAACCAAGTAAAAAGGTGTCAAGAATTTAGAATTACTGGATATTTGTTTTATGTCAAGTTTGGAATTCACTAAAACTGAGAATTCTGGAAGCACGTCAAATCGCACTCACAATGTGTTAGGTGTCAAAGTGAGAATGACTAATGCCAACCACTTAGGCTATCTAACTTACATTTGTTCTGACCACTAATTAAGAACACCATTTTTTTTACCATTAGTAAGAACACATATACAGTACTCATAGTTGATTGGTGAAGCGTATTTTGCTTTGTTTAGAGTTCCCTACTCTCAAGTTATTTTCTTAATGAAAACTTTTCTTATGTGCTACGTACTCTCCAACAAATGCTTCATTCTTTGACGGTAATTAAAGTCTAGTAGAAGGTCGTGATCAGTGGGGTCTAACAGGTCGGGAGTGAGAACAAATATCGTCGATGACATTGGTTAGTGATAGAGCTAAAATCACGAATCAGTAGGAGTTGGAATTCATGCACCACTGATTCGGGTCTCAGTGGATAAATGGTCTACGAGCTTGTCTTGTAACCGGAAAATCCTGAGTTCGATCCTCGATGGTAAGTACTCATGAAGAGTCCCAAACTAGAATGAAACAACTGCCCATTACTCCCTGGTTTTCACTGGTTCTTTGACTGATATCCACCCATGATCGAACTACTTCCGTTCTTTTACAGGTCAAAAGTGGTAAACACTGACTACACACCCCTTGACAGTTTCATAACAGAAAAAATATCGTAAACAGACGGCAACTTTTCTTGTTGGACAACAAATGTCCTATGGAATTCATTTCTGAAAACGGCTTAACAAGAATAAATAAGAGATGCTTTAAAGCAACAGTATAATACCTCCAGGCTCCGAAAACAAACTAAGTGAATTAGGTCATCTACACTGATGTAAGGTAGGTGTTTCCATATTCACACAACTATATATATATATATATATATATATATATATATATACATGCAAAAACTGAAGTGACCAAAAACTTCTTTACACCTTCGTATAAGTTGATTCAGACAAAGAACAACAAATAATGAGTTATAATTTTACAAACTGATATACAAAAAAGCTATAGCGAATAAATCACAACAGGTATATATATAATGTACAGAGTTAAGACAAAAAATTATAAACTGTGAACTTGCCTAGTATAACTGGCCAGCAGTAGTAGCGGTAGGCGTTAGCGGGGATATATATAATATGTATGTGAAACTTTATGAATGAGTGCAGTTTGATCAAAGTTGAACTGAGTACGCGTATATCCATAGCATACTTGACAGAGCATCACCACCAGGAGATATATAATTAATATGTGCGGACAAAATTATACATTTGTATATGCGAACTAAGCGAATACAAAACAGATTACCAGTAGAATTATACCCCATAAAAACGTACACACCGAGTTGTATACACACACACACACACACACAAACATGTAGCTTTAAATGTATAGTCCTTCTTCATTATCACCTGTTGAACAACATAGTAGCACAAACGTGACGATGACAACAATAAGATTTTGAAACACTGATGGAAAAGTGATATCATTTCAAACCACCCAGCAGTCACCATCAATATATGGGGAAATTATTTTTGTGAGTGGAATAACAACAACTATAAAGAACACACTGACACACACACACAAACAAACAAACACTGAGATATTTGTATGTAACCCAATAGTGTAATGATTAACTGCAAAAAAACTCTAGCATACTGAACAGAAAATGAAAACTGATAAAATCAAAATTGGTTATAGTGTTAACAAATCCATGTACATACATATATACATGTAATGCAAATATGTGAACAACCTTTGGTATGTTACTACACTACTACTTATAAACTCAAAAACAGTAACCAACGTAGAGAAAATCAAAATCAACACACTGAAGATATAAATTTATCAGAGAAAAATAAAGAAACAAAAAAGTTTTATTATGTTAGTGTAACTCACCTAACCATGTGAAAAGAAAGGGAAAAGGGGGAAAATGCAAATTTTAACACAGCGAAATGAGGTGTTATATGCAGAAGAGACAGGAATTTCCTTAAAGGCTATTAGAGTTCGAAAATTAATTTGTTGCTCGCTTGTGACTGTGCGTCGGTGGCACAGAGGTAGAATAGTCGTCAACCACGCAGGTGGTTCGGGGTTCGACCCCCGGCCACCGACTCACTTCTTTACCTCACTAGGCCAGTAATAAGGCTGGCGAAACTTCAAAACTCTAGGTTGAAGCCCTATGCTCCACTGGGATCGTGAAGGAATAAAATAGGATATTGCTTACCATGAGGATATGATCGTGATGTATCGAATTCTTGTTTCCCTGATTCGTCAAGATGACTTGCAACACGCGTATTCTGCATGGGGACGACCACTTCTTCATCAACTGCAGCTACAGACGGATGGAGGGATAAAAGAAATAAGTTTGAGAGAATTTAGCGTTTCTTTCACTTATGAACTTGTTATTTTGATCTACATATCCAGAAAACAAATGATAATTCAGATAACTTCTCTAAATAACCCGTTTTTTCCCTACATTGATTTCAAAATCAATCTTGAACTAGTTAGATATTTCAACACAGATTCCGTCACGAACCGAAATCAGTCAGGGGATAATGGTCGGCTGTTTCTGCGTCGTTTGAGACTCTTCATCACCCTAAACCTTTGGATTACAATGACAACTCGCTCATTATCTAGTCACTAGGTCTGAGTTCAAACACCCATAAATTCTAATTTTTGTCAATTTGTGACATTTATACATTTACCAAACAAAAGTGGTGTAATACTATCTACAAAGGAATTTTAAAAATGAAGCCCATCTTACTTATTGATGACATGTTAATTCACAAGACAGAGTGAATATCACTAATATGTATATGGATATAAAAATAAAACGTTTTCTTCAAACTTTGAACCTATTTCAAACGCATATGATCATTACTTTCTTTAGACTATTTTCTAACAAATGCTTTAGGAACAGAGTATAGCTAAACAAATAGATGTTGTAAACGAGATAACTGCAATGGAAATGTGTATTTGAGATATTAAATAAAAAAAAGAGTGATGTATTTGTACAACAACAAACGAGCTTCTTCTGTTAATCAAATGAACACAACACAAATTATTATTATGCAGAGATCTAATAAATAGTCGATGACAAACTGATAGCTGAATTTACTCTATCCTATTAATGTAAATAAACTTGTGTTCATTTGTAAAAAGCTAATTCAATGAAATACACAACGGTTGAATTCCTACGTCTTCAAATGACTTTTTCTAAAGTGATTTCTAACAGACAGACGGACGGATTGACAGGCAATGAACACTAAATTTACTCCAAATCGACTAATGCAATATATATATAATATAATTGAAGTGAATGTACCACACTTTCGTTGAATAATGCATTAATTTAAGAATAATAATGAAAATTTTGGGCAGTAAAAAGGAGGATAAAGTAACAAAAAATTTTTAAAAAAGTAACTTACGTCCAGTATACATAGAACTTTTATCTTCTTCAAGTAATGATGAACTCGGACTGTCTGAGAGTACACTTTCAACTTTTTTTAAAACTTCATACTTCTCATCTTGCCGATCATTAGACTTATTCTCTACTGGTTCTAATATTTTGTCAGAATAGAATACACGACCAGTTTTTACTGTAACCGGTTGTATTATTTCTTGTTCAACTTCATGTAAATTAGAATTATTCACATTGTCCGAAGTGGATAGTGTATCACCTGTTGGTGATATTGGTTTTGTGATTACAGGTGTTGTTGCTGGTGCCGATGTTGTTGTAGTCGCTAAATTAGTTGAACCAGACTGCGTACCGTATCCTGTATCAACGGATTCACTTAAACCATCTCCTTGCTTAGAATGAGAACGTTGTTCACGATGCATGCTTAAGTTCGGGGACATAGCTGAAAAAAGGGGACGTAGATACAGGACAATGGCGATAGATAATCATGTCAATAAATGCATAAATTAATCATATACTGATACACAAAGCCTTGGACCTAGGTTTCGTGTTAGTTGGCACTCACCAGTCAGCAAGGCGTATCTGCAACCTTGAAGGAACTCATGTCCCTTCTGTGATTCAAACCCGCGTCACCCAGTGAGTACTGCAGTCAGAGACGTTACCACTGAGCTATTCAGGCTCGCAATTGACCTCTTGTAGGACTGTAGTGTATATTTTGATTTGACACTAGTAACTAGTGTGATGTGTTTAGTCCCGCCTTCGGTGCAGACTGAATTCTAAGATCATCAAATCAGTCTGTACCGTGATGGCGAGCTACCTAGAATGGTGGCCACATTACAACCTGACTGATAGAATTCAGTCTGCACCAAAGAAGGTACTAGACACATCACGCTAGTTATCAGTGTCAAATCAAAATACTGATGTATTATATTATAGGAAAACTTCCATTATGAAAGCGAAAGGATTGAGCGAAGAAATATTTACTTTTCAACTACATCCTCATCTGCGGCTCTACTCTAATATGAATATATATATATATATATATATATATATAGAGAGAGAGAGAGAGGGAGGGAGGGAGAGAGCCACAGATTGAGATCTAATTGAAGAGTAAGTGTTTTCTCGATCATTTGTTTTTCCGTCTAAATCCCTATTATGAGCATACGTGTTCAACTCATATGTAATGCTGAAGTTTTAGCCATTGAAACGGAAAAACCAGAACTTTGTAAAGAGAAGAAAGTTTGTGTAACCACTCTTTCTGTCATGGTCATATTATAATCCTCATACACACTTTGACCCTATTGTATTTGTTCTTTTTGTTCATTTACTCTGTATTATTACTCCCTTGAATTCCGAATGGAACATAGAGCTTCAACGACACATCCCCAATTCCGTCTATTTATTACCGTCCTCTTCACGGTTGCCCACAATCGCTCATCTCCCCCTCGCACAATCTCCTCCATGTCATCCTAGGACAACCCTCCCATCGTTTCACGTTGGGACTACCCTCAAACGCCTGGCGCACGATGTCATCCGATGGTCTCATTAGTGTATGCCAAACTAAATCTCCCTTTTCTCCTACAAATTTGTTGGGCGATCGACTCTTGGTTGGTTTGTTCCCACAGCTGCTGGTTACTTATTCTCCTTGGCCATTTGAAATTCAGTACGGAGCCAGAGAAGTCAGCTGTTGATAGAAGTCTGTAGTCGCCTGTTGGAAATCTTTTTCGTTACTCTGTATATCCATATTTTATTATTTCGATTGTCATTCCTATTTTGCATTTTGAACAATTTCTTGTATGTATGTATGTATGTATGTCAATTATTACCCTATATTCGTTCAATTCAATATAATTTCAAAGATTTATACACTCTACGAAATTTTTTTACCGCTCGATGAATGTTTAGCTATAATTGTGATAGCAAATATTTTATCACGACTCATAAAACATTGAAATAAATATTTAAAATATTTAAAATACATATACGATTGTACAACTTGATAAGAAGAAACCTGTTAAAAAAAAACTCTCTTATTTTGATATATATTTGGCATGAATATTACACAATATGCAGGCTAAATCTTCACTAGACACAAAAGACAACGATGGGGTTAAATTTTACACCAAAGCGAAATACACTGATCCTTAGATTCATTATTCACACCTAATCAATATCATAGTATGCTAATCGTGCAACACTCATTCACTTCTTACAATCCTGTGAAACAAACTCATAAGGTAGAAGATAAAAAAGCTTAGATGCGACAACCGGCTGCTAACCACAGAGTATCTACGAACAAGTGTGCATTTATTACCCTATCAATAATTAAAATATATCGTCTAATTCTTTTGCTATATTTCAATATTTTGAGATGCAGTTTCGAATTTCTTTCACAACAAGAGTCGTAAACCGATTTCAGTCTAAGATTATGAAGACCGCATGACGCAATAGGGCATAACCGTGAATTACTATAGAATTTTGACAGAAGAAAAGCACGAGGGGAATACGATCTTAACTGAATTTCACTGAAACAAGTATAGATGAAAAAGGTGGAAATACAGAGCACATTTATGTTGATATGGAGAATAAGACTGATATTATTATTATTTTTATTCACAATCCACTGATTAAACTCAATAAATACATTGCTCTATATATTACTATTTTATTCCAATGGAAAATTAACTAACAATAAGCTCAACTTACAGGCAATACCATTCAATGAACGTAAAGCTGTTGTACGTTCATCTTTCGAAATAACAGGTGATACATTAGTCATACACTGTTCTAATACATCTCTACGTCCAATAGCCTGTAATGCTTCAGAGAGTTGTGTGCCTAGAGGAAATATGACAACATGAATTTATTGTTAACAATAATAATAATAGTAATAATCAGCACAAAATATAACTTAGTTTACTCTGTAAACCCACACACTGAGTAAAAAAAATAAATTCGCAGAGTATTTGGCAGAGTATACAAATAAAACATGATGACTACAATCGAAAAGGAACACTGCGTTTATAGTAGCAACTTCCAATACAATTGAGCCAACAGTAAAATGTTTTATGCGTACTATTCCTTTGATATCCATTATCAAAAGAAAGGAAGATGCACACACACACACACATGATTAATCGATTTCCTTCTCATTATATGTCTAGACTCAATAAAGACGCAGAAATTTAAATATTTCGTCTACTGATACATGAGCACAAAAGCACAGCACGGTATGTAATAGTATCAGAACAACAAAATTTACGTTGGAAAAAATCACGATACTGATAGAAACTATAATAACAGAAATCAATTTTTCTGCTTTTGTAAAAGTCACTGTGCAAAAGCGAACAGATTTGCATAAACTTCACTGTCACAATTATCAGGTCGGTTATTTGCCATAATTGAATGGAATGAAAAGCGAATATTGCGTTAAAGACAATATGCTTATCTCCAGTATAACTTTAACTACCTTCACCATCCCAACTGGAAATTTTTAAAAAAAACGCCTTCATGTTTCACTGAAGAAATTTACTGCTGATTGAGTAATCTAAGTTAGTCAGGTAGTCGTTTGTTTAACTGGATGCTTACCCAGGTTATCATTCAATCTATTTAATTTAGTCCATTTAACAAATTTTGGATGGTGTTATTAGAAGATTAGAGATTATCTGCAAAATATGATATTATTTGTGCAATCTGATAACACATACACATAGGATGGAGTAATAACTTTTTGCACGCGAGGGTGAGAGAACATATTCCCCAAGTGTTTAGAGAAACATATAATATATGTTGGTGGCAGACCACCAAATTCCTCTATAGCGAAACATTTAATTCATATGAATCATAAGAATGATATCCAGATTATTGATAGAAACAGTCAGAGGATAGCACACTGAAATACGCAGAGGTTATAGCTATAAGTAGAACGAAACCCCCAACCCACACACCTTGATGTACTAAAACTATTATTATTATTATTATTATTATTATTATTAACCGACCTTGGTAATTCTTATCTGATTATATTCCCAAACACAGTGTTTATTATCTTCATTCTTAAATACCTTATCACTGTTTATTTTAATTGGTCTCTTATTTTTCATATGAACTGATTTGACAAGTAAATATGTGATCAGATTGTTGGAAATGTATTACACAAATAGATCACATTTTTCTATTAACACTATCATTTAATCTCAATTATAATTTTCTTTTTTAAATGTACTGTTGTACTCACCCGAAAATGGATTATTACCAGTACGTTCTTGCCATAATAGAAGACTAGTATAAGCGTACTCTTCATCCGGTCGATTAGGCAATGAAGTGATATTATAAACATCTTCATCAGATAAGCCTAAGCATTGAGCTAAAATTTTCCAATCAGATTTCAGACAATAAGCAACTTGTCGTAAATCGAGTTCTGATTTACCAATTGGTTCACTGTATTGATCTGATCAATAAATACAAAAAAAATCAGTACAAATTATCAACTTGGTAACACTTACTAGTCACAAAAAGATCATGATAGTATATACTACTGATTACTTTATTAAAGTAGTTGGATATCATTTGCATAAAATTGTAGTGTTTGTCAGACAGATATCACGGTGATCTAAACACTGAGCGACCGAGCTAATCAACGATGTTCCCTGTTTGCCCCCTGTTCAGAGGACCGAATCAATTCAAACCACCAGAATTTCGATTAAGTTAATTTGGACAAACTAGTAATACATTGAATCTAATCTGCAATTCGCCAATTAATCCATAAAAGAGTACAAATTGAAGGCAAAAGCTGAGGAAAACGATGACAATCATGTACACGACGCCAGGAGTGGGCAATTTATCAACAAATACATTGACAAATCTAGTGGCATTTCATGGTGAAATCATTTATAAGGTTTGATAATCATATGTTTTGGAGAAGTGAGTTTAAATATCCCCATCAAAGACAATAACTTCTATTTATTTATTTTTTTTATTTTTGATTACAGCTTGATTCCACACTGTATTTTTGGTACAAGTATGGAATTTTCAGCATGGATATCGGTAGCCCAAATTTTGCAGGCCGACCATAGATATCAGGTGTGCGTCGGCAGGGGATCGAACTTCGGACCATGTGCATGGTCGGCGGGAGTCCTAACCACTGTTCCACCGACGCACACATGAAAGTAAAGTTGTAAAGCTAATCAGGGCAACTTGCATCAAACACAAATATTATGTCTTTACTGAAATTTGTTCACATTTAATAATAATGACAATTATATCCCTAAGTAATAAAGAAGTTCAGGTATATTCATGTGCTGATTCTCATACATGATTATGTACTTCTCAGAGAATAATCCTACACTAACTAAAGTGATGAGAAACCAGAAACTTCATGCATTTATTCCCCTTGATGAATTTGAATAAAGCTAGAACAGTGATTTCTGCAGAATGTTATGGTACCATAATTTATTTCGTTGACCTCTCATCAGCTGCTTACAGCCTAAATAAGTTATTCAGTTTATGTACAGAAAACTTTCAACATACTAGCAAATCTTACATGATGTCAGTTCACAGGAGGTTCCGTTAATAGTGAACAGTGCTCAGGAAATTACGCTATACAGTTTTTAAACAGGCAGTTCAAGTTTAAACAAAGTAAATGTATGCTTACAATGGCAAGGTAGTTACGTAATAAGGACGAAAGGTGTATAAGATGACGAGTGACTGATACATTAGGTAACAATGTACTGAGTTCAACTCAAAGCATAGAAACAATGGACAAGAAAAAGACACTATTTCAAAGGGGTGAGGTTAAAGCCGAAGGTCACGTAATCAAAAGAAAGAAATGTCTTTATTCTCCCATGTCTCTTGTTTCTATGATATGTACAGTACATTGTTACCTAATGTATCAGTCACTCGTCATCTTATACACCTTTCGTCCTTATTACGTAACTACCTTGCCATTGTAAGCATACATTTACTTTGTTTAAACTTGAACTGCCTGTTTAAAAACTGTATAGCGTAATTTCCTGAGCACTGTTCACTATTAACGGAACCTCCTGTGAACTGACATCATGTAAGATTTGCTAGTATGTTGAAAGTTTTCTGTACATAAACCTCATAATTTATTTAGGCTGTAAGCAGCTGATGAGAGGTCAACGAAATAAATTATGGTGCCATAACATTCTGCAGAAATCACTGTTCTTCCTGTTTTTTCATATTGTTTTAAGTAATCCAAATTAGTCAAGATATGAAAAGATGCGAAACTATGGCTTTCTCACAGTAGCCCTCTGCCTTGCGAAATGCAGCAGGTAAACATGCACACGATAGATCTTCGCCGGGTGAAATTAGAGAAAATATTCAGAAAATTAAGAGAAGTAATGTGGAGGTGAACAGGAAATCAAGTAGTCAACTATATAACGATCATTTCTCTATACTACGGAAACTCAAGCAGAAATGCTACCCAACAATGAATGTATCAATATTATTCTGCACAAACCACTGTTGTTCTTGCTTTATTCAAGTAAACCAGGAAATAAAATCTCAATATCCAACTGATAAACTTGTAAATATATACCTGTGTATACAGTTTAACCAAAATAGAATTACAAAGAAATAGTACATTTTTCTACTCACCTTGTTTAGTAGTCCATACTTGTGGAACAGATTGAGTATATGTGGTACCCTGATAGCCAGTCTGTCCGTTATACTCAGGAATATATGAGGGTATGTCATCAATATCAGTCGTTTTTAAAACAGCACCTGGTGGATATTCACCCAATTCCTCTGGTAATTGAGCTTCTAGAACTGTCGCTGGTTTTATAGGCGATCTATAATAACAAGAATGAAATAATCTCAATATACAAGATGGTAATAGTAATGAATATATATATATATATATATTATTCTCTTGGGCTCCTAGTGGAACATAGGGCTTCAACTGTACGTCTCCACTTGCTTCTGTCTTCCTTCTGCTGTACTTTTCACCTGCATCCATGTTAGTCCATACTGTTTCAACTCCTCTTCACATGATCTCCTCCATGTCACCCTTTCATATATATATGAAATTTAGGGCTGCAATACATATCTTAGATTACGTTGATGTTGACCAATTTCCTCAGAATTAAACAGAATGTAACTGCAAACTGCTTGGGATTCCGCAAGTTTTGATAGCATCACCAAACAATTCAATAGACATGCGTAATCTCATGACACAGGTACCTTGAATTGCTTCTTTTCGAACGAGAACAATCAAGAAGCACATCTGCAGTAAACATGTATGGCATTATTAGAGATCGAATGTGTATCAAAAATGTGGCCTATTTGAGCAATACGTTTCAAACAGTATGACCAAACATTTACCTATTAAATCACAGTTCGCATGATAAACTGAGAAAATGAAAGCCCAATTAAAATAAACACAAGAATAAAGGATCGAGATAACAATTAACGCTAATATTCACAATACAACCAGATAAGGATAACCAAGGTAGGTTAAGAGGAATAATACATTTCTTTCTCGTGCACACACGCACACAAGGAAGGGTTGCCGCCTAAGCGTATCTCAGTATGCTCCCCCGCCCGACTATCCTCACACAGAAGACTATGATAGCTATTTTGATATTAATCTTATGATTCATATCAATCAAGTGTTTTTTCTACGGGGACGAGGCTGGCAATCTGCCACCTGCATTATTTGACGACGTTTCACAGTTAACATTTTTCAGATAAAACTGTCCAAATTTACTAGAGAGACTAAATGTTTTAAGGAAAACTTATCATTAACACCCATTAGTTAGGGAATGATAAATATATAAAGTAATGTAGGGAGCCAAAATTATATCTAGTAGATTTTCGGCGTTTTTTCCGCATAATTTATTATACTACTATTAATTGTTTTCAGTATCTTTAATTTACTCTCATATAATATAAAAAGATAAGCATAAGTGAAAAAGTCTATCCTACCAGCCATATATATATATATATATAATCATTCACTGAGGGAAGGTAAGAATATTTTAGCAAATAAAAAAGGCTCAAAAAAACAAGAAGTGAAGAAGTGAGACAATGCAAAACATTTGAAAAAATAATAATAATCTTCACAAGAATTTTTTATTAGTTTGAGAAATACGCAGAAAGTGGGACAGGGATAGAGAGGGAAATAAAAGGTGAAGAAATGGCGACAATTCTACTAAATTATCCACTAAATTTTATGCTGATAAGAACAAAGTTATACAAAGTTACTTACTGCCTTTTCATTTAATAAAAGAGAACGGCGGCAATTATAATGATAAAGGAATTAACCAGAGTAAGATTAGATTGTCCAAATAAATAGAAATACTAAATAGTAAAAGGTCAATGCAGTGTTATACAATAAATGGGATCTGCTAAACATTTAATAACGATGAAAAAAATTGAAGTGAAAGACTGTTCAGTATCCCGCTAATGAACGTGCTTGCACTAATCTCGTTGATAGAACTTTGATGATCAGTTTTTTGGACGAGTTGTAAGATGTGACTAGTGACTGTGTGTGAGGACGTTCAACTCCATTTCACTAGTGAATGGAGTAGGCATGTCCTCTTGAACTGCACGTCTGTGTTAAATCACCGCTCACTTATTTATCTCTCCGATGAACAGTTTAAATTCGTATCTAATTTGTCATTGGATTAGTGGTGCTTCAAAGTTTAGACTCATTTTTACAACAACAAAAAACCAAGTCAAGTAGAATTCACTTCTAAAAGGAGAACAGATAATAATGTTACTTTCCGTCTTCTGATTATTTGACTGCTATTGAAAGCAATTGTTTAAAAAGTTATAAGGATATCAGTGTGTTGTTATGGACTAAATAGGCATTTAACACCCAGACCCTGCGCTCTAACAATCACGCTTAGGTAAGTCAGGTAGCATCAACTACCGTCACACCATGAGCGTTATGACAGGCATTCGACAGTGGACTAATATTTCCACTTATAGAAGCATAAATGTATCAACATGTGGGAATTAAAACCAAATTTTTAAAGGCTAAATATTTCTAGTCTCGATAGAAAATATGCGCAAGTCATTTAACGTCAAGTAATATTTCTATGATGTCAGAAATTATGATTTATGAGGAGAAATTACTTCGGACATGTCAAAAGTTGATCACCTCCAATCTAAGCATCCTATTATTATTAGTTTCATAGGAGATGAAGCGGTTTTGTAAATTAAACAGATCGAGTCCTTACTCTGTAGTAATTATGAAACCGATAATCTACTCTACTGTAATAGAATTGTTGATTCGACGGGAACATCATAACCTAGTTTTGATTCATATCACTATAGCTCCGTTAGCAATTGAAGGATTACACCAAATAATCTTAAAATTCCTAAATGGCATTCTTAAATTCAGAGGACTGATAAATCCATCAGATACCAAGGCGTAACGTTCTTCAAAACCAAAAAACAACTGTCTAACGAAATATTGAAATGAACGACAACATAAAGTAAAATAACCAGAAGTTTTTTTTCCTTTTAAAAAGTGAGAATAAATAAATTACCCAGCAGACTGCAGAACAGCTCGAGGATGGCGCATAAAGGCTAATTTTCCAACAGCTGGTTGGGAGGTATCTTTGACACGTACAATCATATTTAGCCGATTCTCACGGAAAGCATGCATTCCCAATTGTAATTGTTCTTCAGTTTTAGCAACTGGAACTAAATTTCCAGCTGTTTCAATCCAATGCGGATGATCATCAAGAACCTTTTTTTAACCAATGCATAATACAAAAAAAGCAATCAATAAAACCTATTCACACTTTGTTCAATGCATAAAATGATTAGATAGAACGAAATATCATCATCATATAACTATATACCACACATGTATAATTTGAAAGTAAAATAAATATTCAAAGCATTGATTTTATCTCTAATGTAAATGACTGATATATATTGCATCTAATTTACATAAAAAGATGTACAATTTTGAGGCAGACTGAAGTGCTCAAATAGACATATGTAATAGATATCTACAAATGTTAATTTACACGGAATCGATTGGTTTCAGGTTAAACCAGGAACTGATATTAGTTAGAGAACTATTGAAAGCCACAGACTGCTGCTGAACAGTCTTTTCCTCCCAGTTGAAACTCGTGTAATTACGGGGGATAGAACCAAGGTCCTTCTGGTGAACGCAATGACCGTCACAGTCACTGGGATGCAATCCAACGAACGATGAACTCTAACTTCATCTAATTCATGGCATACAGTGCTACTGTCACAGTTAACGTATTTACCTTCATCACTCGACTAGGTGAACCCCATTCGTCATGAATTATCACTGGAACTTAAAGCAACTTCGTCCTGTAGTAAGTTATTCATAATCTCACCTCGTAACCTGGAGGTTCTACGTTCGACCCTCTGCAGGGTCCATAGGCACACGATGTTGAGGAATCCCACACTAGGATGAAAGAGCTGTCTAGTACTTCTGTCTGTTCTCTAAGTGATATCACAACTCGTGGTTCAACCTCCGATATAGCATTGAGTTAAGCATATTTCAAACGACTCCTAAAGTTTCATTAAAAGTATGTTAGGCGGCTACCTAGCAAACTAATTGATAAAGCACACGATGATCGCACGGGACCAGATAACAGTCTTGACATTCAGAACCCAACTAGCAACACAATTATATGTCCGAAACATCTGGAAAAGTTTTAAATTACACCGATTTCTTTATTAGCATTCATGATCGATGTGGCGAAAGAACATTTTTGTAGAAAGAGGTGTGTGAGCGAAAGAATTTATGTTTTTTTGTATATCCTTAGTAAAGCATATTTTCCTTTACCAGTTTCTGAGACACCCCTTGAGCCACTCGAATACATCCATCGATACCTTATTCTAACAGATGAAACAGTCATATTAAGCACAAGAATTTTACTAATCATTTTCATTTCTAGTTTGCGTTAACATAGATTTCCCATCACAAAGTGCGTGCGTATTACTCCACAGTAGTTTGCTCTAAAATGCTATACATATGGGAGATAAGGCTGAAGAAAATGGATATGAAAAGATTACATTAGATGGAGTAACTGGTTAAGATAATGTTGACATTGGACGTACACTGCATAGAATAAGAAAAAGAAGTTAGTCAGTCAGTAAGTTAACATAAATACAAATTTTGACATCCGGTACTGCTAACAACAGAACCCACAACACATGGAAAAATATTCTAATCAATAATATATATATATATATATATATATATATGCATACATCTAGTCATAATCATAAAATCAAAATTTGTACCAAGCCTAACTTTATTCATCTACTTGCATATACTTGTATCCTGTAGAACTACAATTATTTTATTTAAGTCGTTCAGTTTTACTTAAACCAACTTGACAAGTTAATGTGTCCGATCACACCGTTCATCTTCCTTCCTATTAAACTTCTAAATTCTTGTTTACACATTTTCAGCTCATGCTAACTAGATTTAGTAATACAAAATAACAGATCAGCTTCAATGCCTATAATTTTTTCATTTCAGCTTGATTCCACACCGTATTTTTTGGTTCAGGTATGGAATTTTCAGCATGTGATATCGGTAGCCCAAATTTTGCAGGCCGACCATAGATACCAGGTAAGCGTCGGCAGGAGGTCGAACCCCGGACCATGTGCATGGTCGGCGAGAGTCCTAACCACTGTCCCATCGACGCACAATGAATATGGCAACAACAAAACAAAAAAAGGATATCGATAAGTAAATCAGTATGAAAAGGTATCAAAGTTAACCATTGCACACCTCAATACATGGCCCTGTAGCTATGCGTTGAAATCCTTCTTGTAATTCAAGTGTTTTTTCTGCAGAATCATCAGTAAGACATAAACAACGTAGTTGAGCTTCTTCAGAATGGAATCGACGCGCATACACTACAAACTGTCCAATATAAGGCACTGCTAACGATTCATGATAGACACGACTGGCCAATTCAACAACTTCAGTTATATTAGGACAATCAACGAGCCACAATCTAGAACGAGAGAGAGAGAGAGGGATACAGGATAGGTATTAACAAGAATTACACTAATTTTTATTATAATTACCACAATATAAGTAATGACCTTATACAGAATAAGATTGATGAATACAAAATTTAATGACCGGGTATTTAATTATATCATGTGAACTGGCTGTGACTAATACTCATTATATCTAGATAGTATTAATAAAACTGTCTGTTAATGATTTCAGTACACAATGTGTGTATGTGCCAATAAAACCAGATAAAATATAAATATTGATGACACTGTCCTGTAGTTGGTTATGATACAATTCACGCTTGATAGCAATCCATCAGCGAAGAGCGCCGATAACAATGAGGTGAACTCAGTATATGTGAAAACTAAGCATACATTTTGACAGGACGATATAGAAACATTGTTTAAAATTTGCAAAGGGATTTTGAATAGGGATTATTAAGATACATGAGAATATATCGGATAAGGCAGAATTTTATGAGGCGGTAAGCACAACATTCGCCTTACTCGACCCAGCCATATTCAAGTGTAAATGTAGAAAGTGGTTAAATTGACCGGTAAAGTATGATTTCAAGACGGGTAGGACAAGTTGGAATAGTGGCAAAAATAGAATATTATAGATGCATTTATGAATCGGTCGTTCGATAGTTGAATGCTAGCTAGCCACATAGGAGGCTCGAGTTCAATTCTCGGCCGATACACTTCTAAAACTCGGAAAACAGGGAAGGATGGGACTTAGGCCAACTCTATCCCAGTCCGGTGAAATTAACACCACTTTAACCGAAGCTTGAAGCCCATTTAGAAAGTAAGCAATGAGAGAAAATCCGCACATTCCCTATGAAAAAATATCCCATTTCTATAACAAATTTATAAATGGGTTATTATCCAAATGAAGAAATAGGTACACTGTTATAAAAGTATTCTATGAGCTAAATAATGGATGAAGCTTCATGAGAAAAACAGTCCAATACTGCCAGTATGCATCAATCAGACTATTATTTTCTACTGCAACCATATCACTAATATAAAATGCAATCATAAATGTTATCATTAATTATCGTATGTACCTTGCAGATACAGTAGAAGTAAATGAAACTGCTGTATCATGTGCAGATAATGGAGAACTGCCAGTAATATCTTCCCAAACAGCTGGTGATGAACCGCCAGTGATTGAGCATAATAAACGAAGACTAGGTGAGTCAACTGTTGAACGAGATTTCATACTACCACTTGATGATGAAATAGCTGTTTTTGGTAATGGTATAGTTAAAGTAATTGGTTTATGAAATTTACGTCGTCGTGGTTCAATTGTTACAATAGGTGATACAGAAACACGTGGACCAAGCATACGTACAACAAGTTCATGATCAACTGGATGTACTTGAAGGCCAACACGTATACGTTTTTGTAATGCACCTTGAGGAAAACGAACATGTACTTCAGGTACTACACTAGATGTTAATGTACCACCCTCTGGACCAATAAGAATTAATTCTTGTTTAACACGTGTTACAAGTGCAAAATACTGTGGTAGATCATATGTTAATATTCGATGGATTGATTTTTCGCGTAACTCTTCAAACGATCCAGCATAATCTAAAAAACAAAGGAGTAAATTAGACATAGAAAAATCTTGGAAAGATGAAATGCGAAACACTACATACAAATAGGCCAGATAATAATATCTTAATATTCAAAGAAATTTATCTGGGTTACTATTTTGTTTATTATTGCTTATTAAAACGTCTACTTCCTGTTAGCCACAAAGATACACACACCTGACACAACAGCTTCACAGGTTGATGACTATGTTATCATCTATAGTTGTGTTGCCTGATACTGGCACACAAAAAAACTTTTAAACCCCATTTTATCCTGTCACTAGGCGAACCAACCAGAATGAATACACCGGTATAATTACACATTCACTTTACAACATTTAGAAGAAATAAGGTAAATACAATTAAAAGAAGAAGAAAAATACACGAAAACTTACCGAAATGACCGTCTAACGTATCTTGAACAGCTTGATCTGTTGCGTCTAATGGATGCTCTTTCCATGTTTCACCATTATCTGAACGCAGAATAACAATTTCACGATGTTTGCCAGTTAAGAAAGCATAATGAGGTACTTCTAGGAGAATAGGTGAAGCAAAACGTATGCCAGTCGGTCCAATTTCAATTAAACTGTGGAGATGAAAAAAACAACAACAACAACAACACGAGTGATGCCAGCTGCATGAAAAATACACAATTCAATGTTGGGGAAAATATTATAAATTTTTCGGCATCATAGTTTAGTATCAAGTATAAATATGCATTACAATTGAAAGTGGAATGTTACTTGTGAAAATATCTGATGAAATCTATTTTGTTGGTTTATTGGATAAGCCTGTCTTCCTATTATAGTTGACCACAAAAGCATTTAGTCTGCAGGAATTTGATTAGTTTCAAATTTCATTAAAGGTTGATATCAGTTAGAGGAACATTGGGAACATTGACTGGCGGTGGTGCTAGAAATCGTGAATTGACAGAACTTAGAGTTTACGAGCTATTGGATTCCACATCGTAGTGTTTGAATAGTCAACAAGCTCATCTCGTAACCTGAGTTCGAGTCCCCTCCTCTTTGTGAGGTCAGGTTAGGGGTGTGTGTACAGATAAACAGCTCAAAACTAGGCTGAAACTACTATCGACCAAGAACACTGCTAAAAACCTATAGACTAATAATTAATGGAGTAAAATCAAGAAATGATAGATAATATCAGAATTTGAATAATAAATAATAATAATGATAATAATAATTAATGATAATACTCACAAGAGACTTCACTTACCGGCAAGCTAAACCATCACCATCATTCATGATAGGTGGTGAATTCATACGCTCAGGATGAACAAGACGACAGACAATACGTACTGGACCATTAACAACATTCGGTGGGATGAATATTTTCAGATCAGGATAACGTCGAGCTTGAATTAAACCACCACGTGCATCCACAATGAATGAAACTAAAAATCTACAATCACAATATTTTCAGAAATAATAATGATGATAATAATTAAAACTAAGGTGGATGCAAAGTTACAAAGTTAAACACCAAAAACAAAAATATGGATAGATTATTTTAAGACAAGTTTAAAAAAAGTATACCTTACAATAAATAATACTTGTCAATAGGTTCTGTTTCAGCAAATAGTCTGTGGACATTCTGATTAACAGTGAATTAATAACAGTTTCCGGTGCTCATATACAACACAATGGTTAAATCATGAGATTATAATTTGAGGAGGGAGTAAAACGAAATGAAACGAAAAAAAATAATATGCAACATAATAACCGTTTGAATTGCACGCCACAGGTTAACTGGTGCCTATTATATATTTGTAAAAGGAAATACACGTCTAAGCACAATGCCAGTCAGAAGTGTGGCACTTTAACCTTTCTACTTTGGTGTACAGCTCAGCACATACTTTCTGTCGATATGTATTACTACATTTTTTGATTAGTCCGAAACTAATACTGGTGTCTGTGAAATGTCATTCATATGCTACCTTAGTATATTCTTAAAAAGGTGCTAATTGTTACTGTTAGGAAAATAATCTTACCCTACGCACCACTATCCAATTAATCATTGTGAAAGGGACTTTTTCATATGACTTTTCATACGCAATGACACTTGACTCGGGTAATCAATTTACACTGTTTCCAATTATACGACAACAAAAGTCACCATGTGAACAATACTCTGCATGCATAACCTGAGTCCTAATGTAACGGTAGAAGGTAATAGGCTAGGTAACGGAATGCTTATGTGGAATTTTATATCGCTATATAGCGGGATTATATTCACCTTATCTGAAAATGGTCATTTGCACAGATATTGCTTGTTGTGCTACTACTTCTACCTTTCGTATTGTGTTTCTGTCTTCTTTTCGTGTCTCCCATCGTTTGTCACAACACCGGTTCAATTATTCTCTTGACGTCAAATCTATTTCTCCGCTATTTGATACTTTTGTGCCGATAAATGTCTCTTTATATACTACCGATAAATCCTATCTGTGGCACACATCATATTATCTCCCTCAAACAACAAAAACAGCAAGTTAACTTGAAAATAATCCACTTCTTTATGAAAGAAGAAAAAGGTACATCACGCAAGACTTCACGATATTTTTCATTTCTATCCTACACACCCACCCTATTTATACAGTTTAAGCTTTAGCACATACTGTCATGCTAAACCCTATATATACCCTATGATAACTAAAATACAATCCTCCTACATTCAGTGCATTAAAAAAGCTAGCCGCCAACTTAGAAAAATACTAAGTCGCATCATCCTGGAGAGAATAAAAGATGCACTGCATACAGAACTCTGCCACCCCCACCGGAACAAGCTGGATTCAGGAAAGACAAATCATGAGCTGATCAAATTGCAACTCCACGTATCGTTATCGAACAAAGTATAGAATGGCAGTCGAACCTCTACCTCAACTTCATCGACTTCGAAAAGGTCTTCGACAGACATCCTTGACAGAGAAGTAATTTGGAAACTACTCCGACACTACAGTACACAGCGCCCAAGTCTTTATCAACCTCATTCAACAGCTAGCAATACGACAATGCCACGTGTCAGTCACGTGATCCACAATGGAAAACTCTGCGAGGCATTCGAAAAGCATTCAGGAGTAAGACAAGCTGGCTGTCTATTATTCTTAATTATGGTGCTCGATTGGATTAGGCGTCAGACTGTTGGGAGTGAGGAGTCAGGAATACGTTGGACGACCGATAAGAAGGCTCTAGAAGATTTGGATTTCGTGAATGATTTATGTTGAATGTCACACAAATTCGAAAACTTGCAAGCGAAAAGCAACAAACTGACTGAAGAAGGTGGCAGAAAGACAGAACTGCAGGTGAACATAGAGAAGACAACAGTGATGAAGATAACCAATCAACTGCAACAACAACCGGTATCATCACCATCAACGGGGGAGGTTCAACAGAGGTTACCTACTTCACTCACCCAGCCAGGAAGCATCGTTCCAACTACAGGCAGTCGGAACGGACGAAGACGTCAAAGCCAGTCAGAATCGGAAAGGCAAGATACGCTTTCATCAACCACAAACCAGTTTGGAAATCTTCTGCCTCACTCAGCCTGCATAATAAACAAGATTCGGATTGTCAACACCAATGTGAAGTTAGACAGTTCTTCTATACGGGTCAGTAACTAGCTTTGCGTGTCACAAAAAGCATTTCCAACAGGCCATCGCAGAACTTCATCAACAGCTTCCACCCTCGTTGGCTGGCTCCATACTGAAGATCAAATGGCTGGCCAGACGGAATAAGCAACTAGAAACTCTGTAGTGGAACAAAACAACAGGCAAGAGCTGGTCGCTTAACAAACATGTAGGAGAAAGTGGAGATGGATTGGGCATACATTGAGAAGGCCACCGAACGGCATCGCACGTGAGACCAGTTCTTAAGTGGAATCCAAATGGGGAGCAACGGCAGGGGTCGTCGTTGTTAGGGTTACATGTAGGAGATCGTGTGAGGAAGAGATGAGAGAGTTTGGTCAATCGTGGAGCCAGCTGGAGAGCACGGTAGGAAACAGAAGCTGAAGCTTTATGTTCCACTAGGAACTCCAGGAATAATAATAGTAATAATAGCCGCCAGCTTAATATGTACAACAATGTTTGCCACAAAAGTAACATGAAACCACAGTGTCACTAAAGTGCGTCAAGAAAGTTTAATAAAATTCAAGAGCATAACAATAATTGCAAGAATAAGCAAATCGAAATGAATATCCGCAATAATAATAATAATGTCAGTTAAGGAGAAAAACAACTAAAAAATGGAGAGTAAACAGACCGAGGGAAAAACAAAAGCAAGAGAAAAAAGAATAACCGGCAGAATGACTCATTATATTAACTTTTCGTAAGAAGAATTCAATTATTTTCATTATTTTCCAATTCAATAAATGTGTATGTGTTTATATATAGGTATAATCAGTTAGTAGTTTTAATGCAGACTTCGTCAGCAATGGACATCAGTCGGGAAAGCGATTGATAACAGTTCCCCCTGAGGTGTTTAGCTTTCAGTGATTTTCTGCCTAACATTAGTGTTTCATTCACAATTGCGATCTCGCCAAGAATCAAAGATGTTCAAGTGTTAGCTTGTGGGAATTTGATCCGTTTCAAGTTTGATCACGGATTGAAAACAGTTGGAGAACCAGGAGCACTGGATTGCTCTTTTGCCATTTTTAGGGTCTCTTCAGTAATAGACACCCATGACCCTACCAACAGGCATCAAACCCGAGACCCAGACATAGACAAAACAGATATTCAGTACTCCCTGATCTCCAATGGTTCTCTAAATGAAGTCAGTTTGTGATCAATATTGAGGACTAGAAGCTGTTCAATATATTTTCTAACAAAATGATATGATATGACGAAATCAAAAGTCTCGGGCAGAAACAAAAGAGGAGGTAACAGGGCAAACTAATAACAAACATACAGAAAGAAACATACCCTGTGTTAACTGGTCTTTTAACCACTGTGGTATTCTCGGATTCTAAGTCCCAATCTCCACCAGCTTGTGTACTTTCTCCAAACATTTGAGCTTCAATCTACAAACAAAATTTCGAAGTGAGAAAATTATAGATCATATGAGAGGTGAAAACACGATCACAAGTCGCACAAATGATTGCGTTCTAATGTCTCTTTTTTTCATTTTACAATACAGGCTAGTCACGATAAACGCACCTCAGTCATTTACTGATTATTTCAACAGAAATGATCGTTATCTTGTTAAGAAATATGTCCCCACCCTCTCAGAGTAGGTGGCTTGGGTTAGATTTAGGCTATCACACGATCACTTGAACAGGAACTGATAAGCAGGAAAAAAATATTTATGGTTGAAAGTTGCATCAAGTGACAGCTTATCTGTTTATTCGTACTGATAGAAGCGTTTTCACTACACGCTCACACACACATACTCGCGGCATAATTCCACACGACATTTTCACAAGATGGATGAGTTCGTCTTTACTATCAGAAAATAACGTCATAACCACCTGATCAACACCAATTAATCACTCCAAACTGACGGAATTTTCTACGAAAAACACTAAATACAACATCATCAGTCTACAGCCTGACAAAAATGTATGCTACGACAAGTATAGTGTAAAACCTTTTATTTGACGACCAAAATATCTTCATCAGAATATAGCCATATATAACCTTAAATCCAACCGAATTCATCACTGCAACACACACAAATAATTTAAACACAGTCAAAAATAGGCAATTAAGGCCAACCAAAGTAGATGTTGTACTAAAGAGAATTGGAGACAATTACACAGCTCTAACTATAAACATCATTTTTGCGTTTGTGTATCTTTTTGTGTGTGCATGTGTATTTGTCGCGACAGGCATGAGAGAGTAGAGGGAAGTTTCTTCAAGAAAAACAAAAAAAAATTATAAAAGATAAAATAGAATAATAAAATTAGATCTAAATAAAAAAAATAGAAAAAGTTATTTCGAAAATTATACTTAGAGAGGGGGCAATAAAACGTCCAAACCTTGATAAACAAAAGAGGCTAAACGAATTATATGTGGGAAATGAAAACAACAGGCGGAAAAAGAAAGAAAATAAAAAATAGTGAACAGTAGACGAAATGAGGAGAGAGAGACTAGTGAGACAGGATGAACAAAAACAACAATAATAACGACAGCACCGATGACGAACAATGACTAATGCATACAAACCTGCATTAATTAAACATAAAGAGAAATCAATTTTACAGTTAGGTAGAAATATTTGTCTTTAAAAAAAGTGGTTTCAAAAATAGGGAACAGTGGGACAACTATTTATATAAACACGGTAGAATAAGTTTCGAAAACAAATAATAAAATAAGCCATCTTTAATCTGTTTAACTTCGTTTTTCTAAATGCCCATTGATTGAATGAATATATGGGACAGAAATGTTCGATTTCTGCTGACATGTTGGCTACTACTAGTACGGACGCTTCGATAATGTCTAGAGAGTAACACTACTGTTATTAAGACGATGGTTAAAAGCAGTGGAATCTGGGACTCACATTTCACCCCATTTGGGACTTTTTAGCTGGATGTACCTGTATCCTAAATGAAGGAGAGTAGCCGTTGAACAAGAGGTGGTTCTCATGGCCTACTGAATAGGTGCTGCGTTCCAGTCTCAATACCATCATTTTTTTAATAAAGTGATGACTGGCTCCATGCGCGTTCAATTAGACAAAAATGGCTCGTATAAGCTACTTGGCAGTGTCTATAGGAAGACGAAATCAACACGAATGTGATAAACAGTTTTATTGTGTAAACACTTATCAAATCCAATTATCTATACATGGTTTCGTTATCTTTATCTACTTGACCAATTTGACAACAACACAGAAATTACCTAGCGCTGAAGAACGATGATTAAGTTGTTATACATAAGCTGAGAATGTGTAACTACTGGTTTAATAATACTTTGATAAAGCTATTAGCAAGATTAAATAGTGAAATGTCAGCGAAAGCAATATCGTTCATTGTTTTTCATTCAGTGGTAAATACAAAACCATTTATAATAATGAATATACCTACAATTTTTCAATTTGTAAAAAGTGAACTTGGTTTTTTGGATATATATATATAGACATTTCGCCTAGAAAGAAAAAATAGGTTGAACAGTGTTCTTTTGGCAAACAGGTGTGTATGTTAACACATACAATATACTACTGTATAGACAATAAACAGTACCATAAACTTACATTATGTACAGATTTTGGAGAAACTGTTTCCAGAATAGAGCTCGTCTGTGTAGCGATGAATTCACTTGTATTCTCATCACCTTTTGAAAAGAAATATAGATATCCTAAATTCAAGTAGTGCACAGAATCCAATTGGTTAACAATTTAATGTGAAAGATCAATTTGTTAGAACTGCTAGAACAGATTATATAAGTTGAGGTCAGTTGATAGAGAATGTTTCAGGCAAATCGGTGAACAGAGTGGAATAGTAAAAAAAAAAAGAAAACTATTCATCAGCTACTTTTGAGCAGTCGAAATACGGTGCAGAAAATTTTCAACTTCTACGATCACAGAATAAAATTAACACGGAAAAAAATGGAGTGTTAACTATTCTGGTACCTCTTTTGTTTCACTAAAGATGACTCGTTAAGTAGACTATTACTACAGTTTATAGCTCAGCAGTTGTTAATGTGTTATGTTGTATTAAAGCCAAGTGTATATCGTAACACAGAAATTTCAGTGAATTCAGAAAGGGAGGTTTGTTAAGTGCTACCGAAAAGAAAATGAAATTAGACGTCGGTATACGAATCCAAAATGGATCACCTCACTAGCTTATTTATAATGAGAAGCTTCAATTAGGACTAATTATAACAAAATGGTCGCTTCAGAATTTAGAACTTCAAGTTACCATAGCTTTCAAATAGATGCCCAACGGAGAACTGATCGAAAAGAAGAATGACACATGCATAATGGAAGTAAACTGTTTTTCAGTCAATGATGAATTTCCAACACACACGTGTCAATGAGACAATAATAAACAAATTCAGTTTCAGGATTTCATCATGAGCTGACATTAGTTAGAGAACCATTGGAAAACCTGGGAGTACTGGACAGCTGTTCATGTCGTCCTAGTTTGGGACTCTTCATCAGTACGCACCCACTGGGGTTCGATGTTCGAATTTCTCAACAATTAAACCTTGACTGAACTGAACACTTCAGTGTTCCATCTCTGGGATATATGGTTTCTAAAACGTAATTTGGCTGATGGTGACTAGCAGTGGAATTCATAAAACGCATCAACTGGGTGTATCAGTGGTTTCAGTCAGTAATGAATTAAACAACACATTTAGTAATGTGTGTAATATGTGTTATAGGTAGTGAAGAAATATTCAATCTCAGCATTTGTCAGTACATAGAACATTTTAACAATTATGTATATATTAATTTATCGTGCACTCAATTCTCTGCTGATAGTAAACAGATTATTATGTAGAGATATGAACAACTTGAATAATAAGAATACATCTTCACCAGTACAAAATAAAGTCATAATGATATAATGACAGATATACTTGCACTTTGTGAATTCGAGAATCGAGTGCTGTGATTGAAAAAAACATTCAGGTCGTTTAAGGCATTATTAATTTTGCTATACCTACACAGTTAAGATAAATGAGATTTTCAGTACTATATATCTGTAGGTTCCATTTATGGGTTGAAAATTGGTGACCAATACGATGACGATCCACTTTAGTAGGTTTGATCATCATGTGTACATATATGTTTTCGCGAATACACACAAAAAGAATGCCATTCCTCCTGCCCGAGAATATATATATATATATATATATATATATATATATATATATTCTGCTGGTGGTTAACTGAACAAAGGAATACACATAAACACCACACGAGAAAAACGACTATGTGTACATAACTGAACACTGATAATCAGAAACAAATTATTTACTTATGCTCAACGCAGAAGAAGCACACATAACACAAACACCCACATAATCAGAGTACGCAGAGTGTGCCAAATAATACAGACACACACACACACACTATATAAAACGCAAAAGTAAGAATATATATATATGTCATGCATTCATAGGTTTCATGTTATATTTTGACGAGAGTTCTCAAACTTGTTCATATTTCACTAATTGAATTTATTGACAAGATGGAAAGTTTAGCAAAAAGACTGAATTATATCATCCTGTAGTGACCTAACCTGGAATTACACAAAAAGCCAGTGACGAAATACCTCACTCATAAAACAGAATAAATACTGAGAAGTCGAATAGTCTGACTGTTTTGCATCCGACATTATGTATTTATTATATACTTCTAATGTTGATAAAGAGAATTCGCCATCACGAAAAGGAGAACATTCGAAAAAAAATGCGACATATATGAAGTAAACGTTGGCTTAGCTAAACTGATGAAACAGTTAGTACAAGACATATAAGCGAACAATATTGTTTTCAATTAGATCTTCACCAGGCTTTACTCTAATTTATATAGATTTATATATAAAAAATTTTAGCCAATGACGGTGATTTTCCGGATCAAATAATCTTAATAAAAGTAATAATAATAATACTAATAATAATGTGGTAAATTGCATGGAGGATTTAATCATGAGCTGACATCAGTTAGAGAACCACTGGAAAACCTGGTTTTGAACGTTCTATTTTGGCTCATTTGACTGATAGCGGTCATCAAGTGGACAAAAATAGCCCCTTCAAAGTTATCTGTCGCATTCTACCGAGCCTTTCGAATCCGTTTTTTACACAAAGCTATGGGAATTCGAGAGAACAATCCTAGTCTTTGAATACAAAAGAAATTTGTTCTACCTTTGTCTCTCCCTTGGCCTAGATGAATTCTATTCAAACCCCCCCACCCTTTCTTATTTTCCATCTCCTTCGTATTTTTATGATATTTATTTAAACTGTGATTATCTGTCCACTTCACCTTTAGTATTACGTAACTTTTAAGATTTGACCTAATTTATTTATTGAGTTATCTACATATACACATATTACTACCTCTGTTATTCTTATCGCCACCTGCATAAACCTTATTATCAATATTTTGTTATCATTATAATCATCGTTATTAACCATGTTCAAAACATTTACCACATTATTATTATTATTAATATTATTAAGATTATTTGATCCGGAAAATCACCGTCATTGGCTAAAAAATTTTATACATAAATCTATGTAAATTAGAGTAAAGCCTGATGAAGATGTAATTGAAAACAATATTGTTCACTTATGTCTAGTTCTAATATTAAAAATGGGAATATTTTAAGATTTGAAGCAGTTAGTGACATGCACAACTCAAAATGCTTATAATTTGCACCATTTCACCACACTGCGTTTTAAGCAAAATGGTTATTATATGTTTATGGTATTAACATTATTATTGCATCTACACAACCGAAAAGGAAAAGTCTGCAAGTTCGTTATATCACAGGGAAAGCATGAAATGTATCGATGCACCGATCCATAGAGTAATAACAACAACAGATAACTTTCAATTATGACCAAGGTTTTTGAATCATCCACCCTAACACAATAGACATAGCTGGTTCATAGAATGGTACATGGGAAATCTGTTCCGAGTAATTAAGTGAGTTAATTTTGAGCTATCAAATTAAAATTCAGTAGGGCATAGAACTAATCAATCTTCTGAATGCTTCCTTTCTTAGAATAAATTTATCCTAAGCGTTCACAAAAGATGAAAAAAACGCATAGCACACATACTTTTGTGGGGAAAAACCCTAAACACTACGTTTATTCTATAGGCTGAGACACGACCACGTTAGAGTAAGGAGGGAATGATGCAGAGACAGAAAGAAAATAGGAGAAAAGAATCAAACTGAAGCAGAATAAGCATTATATGTTAACACGAGCAGATTGAATAAATCACCAAATACTTGCAAATACCAAAATTAGGGTTTTTTAATTTATCCATGCATGCGTATAATATAAATATGAATGTATCATGCATTAATTAGTAACGCAAAGTGATTGGAAAAAAGTGACAAAACGCTTTTTTATTAAAAATGTGCGCTTATATTCGCATACCCTTCTGGCTGGTTATTCGATCAGAAAGTGTACCTTGAGGACCTAGATTAATAAGGTGTACACAACTTATAAAGTGGAATAAAATCAAAATTATCAAAATGATAGCAGATAGAAATACTTTGGTATTTAGTACTGTGGTGGTGTGATACAGACAATGTATACCAACGGAATATAGTTCTCACATATTCCCACAGTTCAATATTGCATTAGCAACAGAATACCAGATGTATATTTGAACATTCTAGTTTATTTCTTTTGATGTAAACCGAAATCACACGCTCAGCAATTGGTTAACGAACATATATATATATATATATATATATATATATATATATATATATATATATATATATATATATATATATATATATATATATGAACAGCGGTTTGATCAATGGAAAATATACCTTGACATCTGTGTCTTCCCTTCTGTTGTCATAGTACTAGGTTTCATTATGATTACACAACACCGTCTGCCGAAGTTCTATAAGCAAACATGCCACACTGACACCCCTAATGCAATAAAAAGTGTATCACACCTGCATGCTCTAAGTTTTGTCGAGTGTTGTTAGCTGAAATGATTAGGGGGTTGAATAAGAGTTAGTGCTGATCAAACCAAAACCTGACACTTGTCCATGAAGTCTTTGACAGTTTGCTTGACCACAAAGGGAAGTATCAACTATCTGGTTTGGGGGCTCACTCACTGCTAAATCCATTAAACCCTCATGTTTCGCCATGTTACCATTCTGGTTTGTGAACATTACTCCTCATCACAGTTCGTTTGATTTTTTTTCTCACATGGAGTGTGGTGACTTGGACAGCTGCAATTAGGTAGAAAGTTCTATGCTGAAACTCGACCAGTCAAATCAGTCAGTTTATGAGTCAGTATTTTTCATGGACAGGCTTCAAGGAAATCTATCACCCAAGATCCCTGCTGAAAAATTACAACAAGAGGATTCTTTTGGAAATCTCACTCATACATACTGACTGATGGACTGGTTTCAACGTAGAACTTTGCAAAGATGCGCACCAGTTCGAGTCGCCACATTTCACTTACCACACAATGCAAGAGGAGCGAGTAAAGAGATATTCAAAAGAGAGACAATAAAACACAGATATCACGCAAAAAGAATTCTAATATGCAAGAACAATACAGTTTTATTGGATATGATAAGTCACAAAGAGTGGATCCATCTGAACCACCACCACCACCACCAAGAACGATTCTCAGCCCCATCACCAACTGTCTCCAGTCTTCATTGGTTTTTACCGTCCCGAAAACACCAACGAGTCAGGAAGTCTACACCATCCTAAGAGGCCTAAACTAACTTTTGTGGATTTCATTGACCGATGAAGCCATGTTTTGGTCTGACCACCACCACCACCACCAGCTCTTTTCCAACCTGATCCATCCTATGTCAGTTACACATTCCCCACTCTCGATGAAGACGACCGATGGCTAGGCCTGCGTAACACAACACATGTCCTAACCATCTCAATCGGTGTAATTTCACAACTTCATCGATTGATTTCCCCCCACCCCCACCTGCCTAGCACTCGATCAATACCTAACCTCAATATTCCTCACCCTATTACACCACTTCACACGGGAGATTGACCACCTATGATAAGAGACAACCAGACTTTTAATATCTTCCACTATCAATAGCGATGTCTCACAGCCATAGAGGAGACCAAGCGAACTGTTCAGCAGTACACTCGCCCCTTGGTTGACAGCCGGTCGGATATGACTTCTACGCCGGAGACGGTATAAAGTGGCATAAGCCAGACAGGCATTCTGCATCTGTGCTGAGATGTCGTCAGCGATCAACCCGTTGGGACCGATGCAACTTCCCAAATGAGTGAAGTGGTCAACATGCGCTTGGTTGGTGTATATATTTTTAAAATTTCTCAAAATTCCGTTAACTGGAACTTGTGAATGTGGAAAAACACAGATTTACACAAACATGCTTGCATTTTTATTAACAAATGGTGACTAGTACTAAAACGATTATGCATTAATGCCTGCTATAAATAATAATAGTAATGGTTTTGCACCCGATAAACCGTTTGTTTAAGTTTCATTCAGTGCCTAAAATGCACAAATATTAAGAACTTGAATAAATTATTAACTCGGCGTTATAAGGAAAGAAAAACAAACGCAGTGTCAATATGTTTATTTTCACACACACACACACACACAGATACACGAGTAGGCAGACACGCGCTCACTAGAAAACAGTAGAACGTTTCACTGTAATACGATTTACGCGCAACACACAGATACACACATACACACAGTGATTTTCTTGATAGAATATTGTGCACAAAAAAAACGTGCAAACATCACTGCCTCTGCCAACCAAGTTCAAACCTATATGTAGGTGTATGCGTGTTTGCACAATGGCGTACACATAAATAATAATATGCTTTTAAAGAAATGTTGATGCCTTACCCCAAGGTCATTTATACGTGTTTTTTAACTTTATAAATGTATTCATCAACACTAGATCAATAGACTGTGTGGCACACACTCTGTGCCAACTTACGCATACACACAAACAAAATGAAAAAGACTAGAGAAAGACAAACAATCATAAAAATCAAACAAAAAGGTTTCATGAAAAACTAAACTTTGAAAATGAAACAGGAAGCAAAAGGACTGAGATCCTCTCATCGTCATTATCATTTTTTCTACCTGTGTTGTTAACTGTACTCACCGATATTGAAAGTCAATTATGTAGGTGGGTTGAAGACACCTTTATAACAGAGCACAAAGAGTGCTATTGGCCTAATCTCATTAGAAATTTCAAGAAATTTCGTTTATAATAGCTGACTGACTTTCACTGTGAAAGCATCTAAGACTACCTTCATCCCCAGTCGAATGAGCCATCCTATTTCCGCATACATAGTACAAAATAATCAACAAAACCAGTCATGTCTTGCTTTAGCAACAGTTGACAGTGAAATACTTAGATATAGAGAAGAAATATGCAGGAAGTATACAGCCATCTGCTCATGAAGAAGGGAAGAAGTCAAACTAAAACATGGATTGAAAATTGATGACTGACAGCAGTTTACAGTCTGGCTGGCTGAATTATCACAAAATCTATGTTAATCTGTGGTAAAGTAAATAATAAAGGGAATAGTTTGAGGCCTGGACAAGCTATAAAATGTGAACTTACTTAACGTGGTATGCATATACTCCAACTGTCCCCAAATATCATCATTCTCAGTTTCAGTTATCATAGTATTATCGAATGCTGCATTGAAAGGGCTAGCAAGATCTAGAAAGATTTATGGGAAAATAAATAAATAAATTTCCTCGACATTTTATGATATTGTAAATACAGAGGTTGAAAGTGGAAGAATAAATGTTGTTACACTGTATCAATTTACAGCTTAATAAGGACACCAGTGAAGTGCAAAAACTGGTGTGTAAAAGAATATAAAGCGAATCGTTAACAGATTCATAAGATTAAGGGACATATATTTTCCTCGAGAGATCAACCAATCACAAATACTGTATCATTGTGTGTTATTATATGAAATAAGCTTAACTAATATACGAATGGATTCTATCAGAGCGACCGAAATTCACCTCTTACAAACAAATAAATGTAGCTCAGAAGTTGTCGGTCCGGTCTTGTTAGTCAAATCCCCACGCGTTTGGAAATCGCTCCGTCGATCGAAGAAGAAGAATACCCTAGTATTATAAGCAGACGCCTAGTGTTGACCAACTGCGTGAATATCGATCACTAACAAAAGTAGGTAGTGATAGGTAACTGTGGAAAGCTGAGGTAGTACAGACTAGAATGATATGCATTCACTATTAATCCCATAAGAAAAAACTTCATAAACACACAAACAGAAAGGACTCAAGTTCAGAGGACAATACCACCCACCCCCTAATCCGGGAAACATTTGAATCAGAATACAATAGCACAGCCAATTCTCTTATCCATGTTAACATCTTAAATAGTATAAATAATTTCTTAGTATAAAAAAGTAATGAAATAATAATACTCATAATGAAGGAGCTTACTTTTTTGATCAGACATATCAGATGAAGCCAAATTATCCTCACTAGTTTTTGTTTTTTTATTAGGCAATTTGTGCGAAATAGCCGGTGAGGGTGCTGTTTTAATCGAACAAAGTAATAAGTAAACAAAATGTGCGTAAATAATTTATACAACATAACGTACAGTATATATGTATATATTCCTTTACGTTTCCAGTGGAACATAGATTCCTGTTATTGGCTTAGCAATGTAAATGAGTGAGTCAGCAAACATTCTACCTCTGTGCCACCGACGCACACGACAAATATATATATATATATATATATATATATATATCGGCACTACGCACCCACTGGGGTTCGAACCTGGGACCTTCCGGTTACAAGGCAAACTTATATATAGACATGTTATCAAATATGTAACATAATTTCCGACTAAAGGGGTCATCACTACTATATACAACTATAACATACTATTGTTACTATCAACTAACAAATTCTAGTGACTTGGACACACCCCTATCACATATCTACACATCTCTTCCAAGCATAGTTCACGAATGTGCGAGATACTTTAACCCATTCTCCGCCATTTCATCATGCATCAATTCACTTGCTCACTTATATTTATTTATTATTACAACTTCACTATTGACTATAAACATCCTGATTCATGTTCACTTACCACATTGATGATTAAAGGAAAAAATAAGAACTACTGGCGTACAAAAGTGATTGAATAACAGCTTGAAATTGTAGTATTACACACCTCTTGTAAAAGTAAAGTAAAACTATTTACTTACAGTAGAATTACAATACTGTTTAATACTAATTAATACTTAATATGGTTTGATGTTATTACTGCCTAAACCTAACGAATCCTTTATTTGTACAGTATAGTTAATACTACATTATAAATAGTGTTTTGAAGCTTCAGATACTTTATCACTATAGATTCAAGCTTTTTAAATATACAAATCTAGACAATATAATGATAGGCATATTGTCTCAATATTTTAATATTGTATATGATGAAATATATCTTATGGGGTAATTAGACTGTTCCTTCACTAAAAAATGAGGAATTGTAAAAATACACCATAAGCATTGCGTGATAGGTCATCCAAAAGAAGTATCACGTGTAACTATTCTAATCAATTAAATATACAGATAAGAATGACAGATTATAATAATAACCATATAATAATAATAATAATCCATGACGATAAAATTATCTAATTAAAACAGAATAATTTATAAAATAATAACTGGGAATACATTCAGTACATAAATTCAAGTCAATAGAAATAAAAATCTGTAGTTTATGCAAGAACGATTAAAACTATCGAATTAAACAAAATCTTCCGTAGTCTATTTAAAAAACACAAAATGTGTTGCGCATTTTCACACATTTAGTCCAGTGTTATGCAAACGAATTCGGAGATGAGTCAAAATTACCGATCAATAACATTAAACGATGCCAACACCCTAGTCTTTCAATAAGCAGATTCAGTCAACATTTCTGATCTACAGTAATCACGTGACTATATCCAATTAGTTCTCCAGTAAAGAATATAAGTATGATAATAATAATAATAAGGCTTCATTTCACAAATAGTATGAAGTATATTATGTGACAGCGTAGTTGGATATGAATATATAACCAATTCTGTATATCTTTTCTTCATATCATTGAAGAATTAGACAGTGTTTTGTTGAACAATAATGAAATAATAAGCACACGAGTTCATATAATGATCATGGAAGTTTTCAGTTTGATTTAAAACAATTAGTCCCTTTTAAAAATTTTGATAACGTTATTAGAAGACGGAGACTATCTGAAAAATGTGATGTATTAGCGCTATACATTTCGAACAATCTGATCACACATTTACTTGTCAAGTCAATATATATATATATATATATAAAGGTAAAATTAAACAGTGAGAGAAAACGGAATTAAGAATAATTAACACAAACGTTTGGTAATCCAATCAAATAAGGATTACCAAGGTAGGTTAAGAGTAATGACAAACTGTTTTTGAATGCACAAGAGGGGCTTAAGTCTATGAATAGCTATAGCCTCAGCGTATTTCAGTAAACGCCCTTGACCGTTTTTATAGATGACCTTAAAGACTGAATTAACATCAATCTTATGGTTCATCTCGATTAGATGTTTAGCTATAGACGAATTTGATAGTCTGCCACCTGCATCTAATAGCTTGTCACAATTCATCTGTTTTTCTAACCATTTTGGGATATAATAAAGTATAATTATATTTTAATAGTTTACACACAATGATAAACTATTAAAATATAATTATACTTTATTTGATCTAATCCACAATGCTCAAACTTTTTACTGATATTAATTTTGGGATATGCTGTCCCACCCTCACGTGCATATCCTAAACATCTAATCGAGATGAACCATAAGATTGATGTTAATTCAGTCTTTAAGGTCATCTATAAAAACGGTCAAGGGCGTTTACTGAAATACGCTGAGGCTATAGCTATTCATAGACTTAAGCCCCTCTTGTGCATTCAAAAACAGTTTGTCATTACTCTTAACCTACCTTGGTAATCCTTATTTGATTGGATTACCAAACGTTTGTGTTAATTATTCTTAATTCCGTTTTCTCTCACTTTGTTTAATTTAACCTTTCTATATATATATATATATATATATATATATATATATATTGACTTGACAAGTAAATGTGTGATCAGATTGTTCGAAATGTATAGCGCTAATACATCACATTTTTCAGTTTGATCCCTGATAAAGTTATGAGTGGCAATGTCCAAGAGCAAAACATGTTATTCGGCGAAATAAATTATATTTCAATAGTCTACACACAATGATATTTTTTGTCTGGGTAATATTTCGAGCAATATAACTACCCTTGATCACAACAACAGAAGTTAGAATTCATCGGCCGTTGTATCGGGACCCAGTGGCTGAATGGTATACGAGCTTGCCTTGTAACCGGAAGGTCCTCAGTTCGAACCCCAGTGGATGCATACTGCCAATGATTCCAAAACTAGAATGAAACAGCTGTCTAGTACTCCCTGGTTTTGAATGGTTCTCTAACTGATATCAATCCGTGATCAACTCGTAAAAACAAAATTTATAAAAATTCTAACAGTTAGTGTGATCACGGGCAGCAATACTGCTCAAAATACCACCAAAACAAAAACGTATTTTATCTATTTCACAATGCCCCCATACTTTGCACTGGCAGTAAAGCAATCTGGCGTCCGAGCATAGTTTCTGACAATTCGCTAAATGATCTAGACTCAATTCATGAACAAATCTGAATTGAAATTTACCTACTTAATCGGGAAGCCGAGAAACACATTCATCAACCTGAAACCAATCTGGAAATTTTCGTCACTCAGTATCAACAACAAAATTCGGATTTTCAATACAAACGTCAAGCCACTTCTTCTATACGGATCAGAAACTTGACGGGCGGGTCACAAAGAATATTTCCAACAGCCTGTTGCAGACATTTATCAACAACTATCTTCGCTATATACTGAAGACCAGATGGCCGGAAAGAATCACCAACAAGAAACTATGGGAACAAACAAAACCAGAACCAATCGCCAACCAACAAATATGCAGGAGAAAATCGAAATGGATTGGACACTCGCTGAGGAGGCCGTTGGGTGACATGGCGTGTCAGGCCCTTGAGTGGAACCAGGCCGAAAGGGAAGCGGCGAGTGGGACGTCAGTGCAAGGGTGACATGGAGGAGATCGTGTGAAGAGGAGATGAAACAGTATGGACTAACATGGATGCAGGTGAAAAGTGGAGACGTGCAGTTGAAGCCCTATGTTCCGCTAGGAACCCAAGGGAACAATAATAATATTACTAAAATCACTTAGAGCAAGTTTTAATTACAAATCTATTTAAAAGTTCAGTACATCAAGCACATAGAATATATTAAACTATTGAATTTATTGATTAATTCGATTAAGATGAACTGAGTTGTGATTACATCTCAAGTGCTAATGACAGAGAAATATTGATTAATTTAATCTTTTTTTGTTTACTCTGAGCTGAACTCATGTTATTTCATATATGCAAATGTTATACAGTAACAATAATAATAATAGCTAATACGATTCCAATAGGATTTAAAATATAAGAGTGCAGTGAGCGGTACACACAGACACTTATTATAATGTCTGTCTGGTCATAAATAAACACCAAACTACTTAGCAAAACTATTGAAATGTGACTCGTACACTATTATTCCTCAATTTTTCCTCTATACTTGTATATACACAGAGGAAAGATCTATTTTTTATTGTCAAAGCCCCGAAAATCGTTGGTAACTGGTTCAAACGGACTTATATGCATATTTCTACACTGAAGGGAGTAACAAACACTGCAGCTGATTCCAATTCATCTTATTACTTTAATCACTACATAGAGTATATTGTCACATAGCCCATTTGATACTGTTTATATATTAAGGCGAAAGGAAAGAGAGTAAAAGAAAAGGCATATGTAAACCTCCAGGAAAGTAGTAAAATCTAGAAGGACAGAGAAACAGATATGTTTCAGTATGGCGCCATATTTATCTTGTAAAGAGTATATACCTCAGTTTAACTGTTTGACTGACTAAGATATTTTTGCATTGGGCAGTAAGCTTCACTCCGAATTACCGACTTCTCTCGAGTTTGAAACACAGGAACACATAACTTCACGACTTATAATATTAATTAGAAAGATCGGTGAAACTTTATTCATATCACCTCTTCAGTGAATAAGGGGAGTGTCAACATAATATCAATGGTTTCATGATCTTTGGGGACTGGAAAATATTTCTAGTTCAAAGACGACATTCTACGACTGAATGGAACAATTCTTCACCCAATTTAAACGAAAATCATTAGAATTTGACTAAGTTGTTACGTAAAATGCATAACACTGTGTGTGTGTGTTTAAGTTTGACAGTGAATGGAAATACTAAAGTGCGAAAATATTGATGTATGGGAGGGGGAGGGAAAAATAAAGGTTACGCAAACACACAAGATGCAAGACATATATATATATATATGTATAAAGGAATCAATGTAACCAAATACATTTTCAAAATACTCACCAACACCATCTTCGTCGAATTCAGTAAATGGATGTTCACGCATAAAATCTGGATGTTCCAACATCAAAGTCTGATCGAACTCTTCGCGTTCCTCTTCCCAGCTGACAACAGTTGTAGTCACAGTTTTCAATATATCGAATATCGTAACATAGTGCTGTTTACGTGCTATATGCGCTGGTGTTAAGCCTTGCTGTAGGAGTTAAACATTGCCCATAAATATCATATTGTAGTTTATAATTCAATATGAAACAAATAAGATAAACAAGAGAGAGAGAGAGAAGTGTGTGAGTTTCACCATAAATTAATATCTGTGTTGTGTAAAGAGAAAAAAATAGAAATCATCTTTAGCTTATATATGATCATCCAAAACATAAAAATATGCAGTATGTTATACTTATCTATACACACCACCGAGTAAACGAATGCCCACACTCAGAAGGTATATTTGTGGGGATTTCATTTTTTCAAACAAAATGATTTGGGTTACTGATATCATAGGGTAATAAGCAGTTGATTTATTCCAAATGAGGGAGACTTCATTCCCTTGTGACTCTACAGTAAACCACTCAAACTCCCGATATTCTAATGAATAGTTGAGAAAACCTGACATATATTACAAAATCATAAAATTATACGAACACATTAAAACGTCTCCATGCCTTAGAATATCACATACACTTGCTTTAAGTCCAGCTACTATTCTAGACAGGAGTTAAAAGTCAGGGAGAAAATGAGACCTGTAGAACTTTAAACCTGTATTATTATTATTATTATTAGATCCTTTAATTCCTAGATGAACATAGGGCTTCAGCTGCGCGTCTCCATTGCCTTCGGTTTTCTGCCAACTTTTTCACTCCGCTCCAAGTCTTCCCATATGCTTTCATCTCCTCTTCACACGACCTCCTCCAAGTCACCCCACCCTGGCACTGACGACCAACTCGCCGCTTCCCTTTCGGCCTGGTTCCACTCGAGCGATGGCTTGTCTAGTGATATCATTTGATGGTTTCCTCAGAGTATGACCAGTCAATCCATCTCCATTTCTTCCTGACTATTTGTTTCACAATCGGTTCCTGCTTGGTTCGCTCATTGTCAGAGATCTCTGTTGCTGATCTTTTCTGGCCGGTCATCTGATCTTGAGTATTGTGTGAAGACAACTGTTAATGAAGATCTGAAGTTTGTTTGAGGTGCTCTTCATGACGCGATGACCAAGTCTTTGATCCGTATAGTAGCACTATCTGACCTCACATTGGAGTTGAAAATCCGGATGTTATTTTTGGTGAGTGCTGTTGACCTCCACACAGACTAAAGAGTAATGAAAGCTTGTCTTGCTTTTCCGATTCTGTGCCAAGCACTTAATACCCCGCCATTGGGATTACTGTTTTACAACACAACATGTTTACCCAACTTGCTGTTGAACAGATTATTTTCAGCATATAATCAATTAAGGGATTATTGTAACAGAGAAAAACATTGCAATTAAATAATTTTCAAGTGAATGCGCAATGATATCCATACTCGAATAGTTGTTTGCTAGAAGCAGTCTGACTCAGAATACTTCAAACTACAGAGGCGATGGTCAAAAGAAAGAAAAAACAATAGTCACTGGAATCAGGAAATACTCTGAAGCACTAAATTACATGAAACACTGTATGCGTCCTGTCAGCACTGTTATTCTCATATTTCTTTCATGAAAAATCCCCCATTCCAACATTAATAGAGAGAAGACCAGTAGTTCAGGGAAGAGTTTCTTTTCGATGAGTTCATTTTCTCAGCTGTACAATGGTAAATATATTTATGGTTATTTTGTATGTGTGTGTACATTAACTTTGTCAAGCGAAAATACAATTAGTAAGTTTTTGGTGGAGTTACATAATACGAAAAGCATTCAGAGGAATTCGATGTTGATATAAGAGAGTAGTAAAGAAAGTGTTGAGTTGTCACAAACGATTGTTAAAGAAGAGTCACGTAATAACATGAAGAGTTTGATGAAAGAGTTGTGCTCACTGTGTACATGGAACCAAAATAAATTACGGAATAACGTAAGTTTTAAGTAGTTAGAAAAAAAGCAAACAAGCAAAAGTTAAGTCAAATCAACTGAGTTGTTACCGTGATAGTAGAAGTGGCTAAATAATTTTCTTTTATATGCATAGCTCTGATTTTTCTAACTGAATCGCTAGGGCTTCTGCAAGGCACAGAAGATGGAAAAGTGTTGTCTTTGGCAGGTTGTTCTTCATTTTGTAGATTACTTTGAAGTAAGAGGCGTTTGTTGAGATGGAATGACCAGTGGTGACGAAATGTTCGAGTATTGCACTCCTTATGCGGTCACTACTTCCCTCTCTGCAGCCACGCTGGGTAGTGTTCTTTAACCCTTTTTGACAGGATGCACGTCGAACAACCGATGTGCTAGGCTCCACCTACGTAAGTCTACCAAAAACTTAGTAATTGTATTTTCGTTTGACAAATTTAGTGTACACACATACAAAATAACCATATATATTTGCGACTGTACAGTGGTAAAAATTAATTCGTCGAAGAGAGACTTTTGGATGAACATATTTCTTTATCTAACGCTTCATGCATATACACACAAAATCCTGTTATATTATAGTGTTTCCTCTACAGAATACCATCCGACCTTAACTAATAGCATATGTAATTAAACTGAATAATAGTTCAGATTCAATCATGATAAACCAAACAGTTATTTACCATCTGCAGTATTTAATATGAACTATTCCGAGTAACCTTAGACACATTATCTTATATGTACACGTATATGTACTAACAACTAAATGCTGTGAAAATTCGAAAGTGAGGTATTTACCATTAATCACTTTAATAATAATAATAGTAACAATATTATACACATTTTCAAGTAAAACTTTATTACTGTTAGTCAAAAATAGGAACAACTGTAACAAGCGGACAAGGCGAATTGGCACCAGCTGTAGCAGTGAAAAAAGAATTTACTATTTGGACTATCCTGTAACGACTAACTAAATTATTGTTATCAGTGTTACATGTACTAAAATAGCGTTACACTAAGTACTCGTTTGTTTTGCAAAAAAAAACCCACATATTTTTTTCAGCTTTGTACAGTAAAAACTTGGAAAGCTAACTTTTTCTTCTCTTGTACAATAATAAAACTGTGCCAATAACTTAAGTGGTAAATTTCACCGATTCATTATGATTTTTTTTCAAGTATTAATATTATTACACAGTGACTTACAAAAAAAAAAATTGAATGTGTAATTAATTAAGTATCAGCTTTCCGTGTGAGACATTCCATAAATAAGACAAAGTAGGGCGTAATTCACCTCCTTGCAGAAGACGCTAAACACACCAGTAAATCGACATTAATATTATTCGCCCCTTGAGATTGAAGTGAAATACACGGTTTCAACAACATAGTCAGTACGCTAATCTAAGTCACACAGCTTACGGCGTTACATAAATCTTCTGCGTTTCATCACTCGTTCCGCTGAGTTAAACAAAGTGAATATCTCAATACTGAAAAAAAACTATTTGTATAGATTGAATATTTAAAAAAAATCAAGATTACTCATGCACATACAATTTGAAAAGAGAAAATGCATACAACATTAAGCAACAATAATAACCAACCTGATTTCTAATGTTACTATCAGCACCCATTTCTAAGAGAAGACGAACCACTTGTGAATGACACTGTTGTGCAGCTAAATGTAATGGTGTGAAACCCATTTGAGTACGTTGATTAATATCAGGTGCATTGGGTAAATCTAATAAATACCGCACCATATTAATTTGTCCAAAGTGACATGCAGTGTGTAATGGACTATAACCAGCTCTTGTCAACGGACTGATCTGTGCACCAGCTGATATTAGAATTTGTGCCACTGAAACGTGATCTTCTTGTGCTGCCAAATGTAGTGGTGCAAGACCATTCTAAAATAAGTGCCGGGGGGAGGGGGAAGAAGGGTGAAAGTCATAAACTTAGATCACAAGTCTATGTGTAAAGTCTTTCATAAAAATCAGTTTTTTTGTGTGTGCAAAAATGACAACAACTTCAAATCTAGTCAACATAGTTTTGTATTTATTTTGAGTCTTGTTGTTTCCTCCTTTAGGGTTTCTCGCTTACCATCAATCTCTACATATCGGTGCATATATTGCTTCTTCGGCAGGCTCAGTTACGAGAAAATTCATAACCAATGTTGAAAATGTTTTGCCAGCATCAACTCCTTAAAAATATCTACACAAGTGCTAAGGAGAGGGACTGTAGTTGCAAAATGGTGAATCACATCGTCACTGACTAACTAGTATCACTTGAATATTAAACAAACAAACATAAGCTGCTGCAAGAAAAGATTGTTGAACAGTGAGTGTAATCGGTTAAAACGAGAAGTATGATAAACTGTAATGTCTGTTGGTAACGTTAGAATGTGTAGAACCGAATCTGTTAAAATAACCCTATTATAAACAACCTTCAGAACAGATTTAAACAAAAGCAAATAGCACTGATGCCCCTGGACATTCGTTCCGCCTCTTTTTCAATCACCCCGCTAGTGTCTATGAATGGTGGTGCGCGCACTATTTTCTGTAACTAAGTAGCAGTCATACAACTGCTCTTTTGTCGTTTCACACACCATTTACTTTGTGGCTTTTTTTATTCCTTCAACGTCCCCCGTGGAACATAGGACTCCAAGCTAGACGCTTGAAGTTTCTGTAGTAGTGTTTATTTTTACAAAAATGGGGGCGCTAGCCTCATGCCCAACGTTTCCTCTTTACCAGCTTTATTACTGGCTTAGCGAGGGAAAGGAGTGCGTCGGTGGCCGGAGATCGAGCCGGGGACCATGCGCATGATCGGCAAACGTCCTAACCGCTGTGCCATCGATGCACTTTGTGGCTTTTAGTAGTAGTCATTAGTTTCAGGAGAGAGATTCTTCTAAAATAACTACATACCAGTAAAACTCCGACTATTCTGTGTTGAAGTTTTCTTTAAATACGTTTGGCGTTTCGACTAGAGCATAGGGCTTTAAGCTTTTAAGTTTCACTAGAGGTGATGGTGGAATGTGTTTTCAAACTACTAGATGGGGGGGGTTGAAAAATGTGTTGGTCGAGAATGAAACACAAAGCTCTCTCGCATAGACGGCGAACATTCTACCACTCAACCATCCATTAACAATACTTACTACTCCGTGACTCACATTTTATCGGAAGAAAAACCAGAAGGAAATAGATGAATCACTACAAGTAATAATATCGATGGAAACATACCTTAGACTGGTGATTTGGATCAGCTCCATGCTGCAATAACAAAGAGACCATATCAGTGTGACCTTCTTGTGCAGCTAAATGTAACGGTGTAAAACCACTGCGTGAGAATGCATTGGCGATTTGTACGTGATCAGATTCATGAGCCAGTAAAAGTGTGGCGATATCTAGGTGATTTTGTTTGGCTGCCATATGTAATGCTGTATAACCGTTGCCAGCCTAACATGAACGAGTACAGTAAAGAAGAGAAAGGAAATCGCAAGAAGTCTTAATAATAAAACAAAACATGATAAACAAATCAAGTGAAAAGAAAAAACAGATGGTGTTGTGACTAGACCATTTAGCAAAGTAAAAAAAACTAGCTTCCAAATCCAGAAATCTAAATAGGGCTAAATATGTAAACTGACATACTGAAGAAATATATATTCAGGAAGAAATTTTTTTAAAAAAAGAATCCCAACATTTTTGCATTCACGTTGTTTAACCGCCTTAACAAATCTAATCATCACCATGTCAATCTCCCTATCTTTTTATTGTGTGTGTGTGTGTCAGATAATGAATCCTTACAGTATTCCTCTAAGTTTCTCATTGTGAAGTAATACAACCAGTAGTCGTGTAAAACGCATTGATTTCTCTTCTCTTTCCTTCCCCTTGTTCACCGCCAAATGAATAATATTAATAATCAAGTGTTGACCACCTGTTGACAAGTAGGAACACTTGTATGAACATATGCAATGGGCGCGTAGAACAATGAGAAATAGTGACTATAATGCTCAGTATGAGTTATAATCAATCAAGTCATTGAATTTCATGTGGTGCGATTGGAATACAAGTGTGAATATCATCATTTGACTTTTAACACTAAAAATATGAATGGGGGAGGGAGTGGAGACGGTTTGGTCATAGTGGTATATAGAAAGAAAGAAGTTATACTGACAAGAAAATAAATCATACAACTTAAGTCATGTGCACAAGGAAGTAGTCATATGTGTGTAAATGTTGTATTAATTATTTATGCATAAGAGGAGAAACATGACAAAAGAATTTCACGTTTACAAGTTTTTATGGTGATTTTATGCATTTAACTTTTTCTTATTACCAAGAAACTACACATTCAAGAAAGTCGGCTTTAAGTTATTACGCTTAAAAGCAGGAATAAAAAGACAGGTAGTTTAGGAGACCTGAGTTGTATTTCCAAGGAGGTACCCTGCTAAAGTCACGAAAGAGGAGAATACTTGACGACTGATGAATGTTCCTTCAATGGATTTATGCTCGTGAAAGAATATGCACAACGAAATCAAAAGAATGATAACAGCAGTTATAAAATTTACGTTTTCGATGGATAAATATCTTTCAACTAGGCAAATTATTCGCAAAATATGTCTGCTTGTTCAAAGCTCAAATGGAATGATTATTGAGTCGTTGAACACTTGTTTCTACCGAATGTTTAAGAAACCTTTTTGTTAGTACAACAGAGAAGTAGTGACCTGAGAATTTATCAAGACGCATTCAGCGTAAAAGAAATATTATAAAATTAGGAGAAGACCACTAGCTAAAAACAAAGATTTGCTACCAGATAACGGGAGAATGAAGAACGAACTGATACAAAAATACACAAAACTATTCATATAACTAGTCACTTACTCGGCAGTCAACTTGTGCATCACTATCAAGCAATAATTGTACGACAGGTAGACGATTATAATGTGTAGCTATATGTAACGGAGTCAAATCATTCTGACCAGTGGCGTTGACACTTTTAGGTTGAGCATAAATCAACTGCTTAGCCACTTTAGCTTGACCTCGCTTAGCAGCTAAATGCAAGGCTGTAAAACCCTTCTGTAAATTTGAGAAAAAAAGTCAAAATTGACAATAACTCAAGAAAAAAACGTCTCTACCAACATAAACATTGAACTAATTACTCATTATTTTGAGAAAATAAGCCAGATATCAGAATTTCTTGTATAGCTAAATATGATAAGTTGGAGAGTTTCATCATGAACTGACATCAGTCAGAGAACCATTAGAAGACCCGGAAGTACTGGACACCTGTTTCTTTCTAGTTTGGAACTCTTCACCAGTACACACCACCGGGGTTCGAACCGAGAGTCCCGAACTAGGAAGAAACAGATGTCCAGTACTTCCAAGTTTTCTAACGGTTCTCTAACTGGATATCAGCACATGATGAAATCCAGCCAATCAAACACAATCCCTACAAAACCAGTACTTGAAAGTTTCGATAAGTTAAAAAAGAAACTTATGGTAGTTTGGATTCAGTTACTCGGAACAGGCTATAAGCCATGCCCATCATGTGATGGGAAGTAAGGAGGAGCAAGACTCGAAATTGAAACCCATTGCCTACACTTCAAGTGCTTAAACCAATGATATGACTGACCTACAGCTAACAAACTTTTAATGAATAACCAATAGGTGTAAATTAATACAGTATGCAGGTGGGACTACTTATAAATAACCCCACAAAGACTACATTCAGGGCGTCACAGAAGTCCCTTAGAGATGTGGATCGTTTGCTTGAATAATGCTTTCACTTTACACTGATAACATTTTAGGTCATTTTAATATATACAATGAATTTATGGCAAGTTGATGAATGACTGAGAACTGAAATTAGTTAAATATTTGTAATCATAAATCTATGAGAAAGCTCAGCAATTCACGACCATGAACTCATTTCAGTCAAGGGTAGAAGAAACCTAGTCTCAGTTTTATTCATGTATCTAACCAGTTTAAGATAAAATAATGGTAATATACTAAATGCGAACGGCTATAGACTGCTTCAACGTAGTTTCATATATTACTTCTTATAGCAGAAAATTAAATATAGTGCCAAAAAGGTCAAGGTTTATTTTATTCAGATAGAGTCGATAAATAACTCAATAAAGGGTGGGCATAAAAACACAATATAAAGAAGAGGAAATGAGAACTAACCTTTGTACGAGCATTTATATCAGCACCAGCTTCCAAAAGTTGTCCCAGAATATCATGGCGACCTTCTTTTGCAGCGATATGCAGTGCTGTATAACCATCCCGAGCGGGCAGGTTGGGATTAGCCTTGCAAGATAACAGGACTGAGATTAATTCAGGTGTCCCGGTTAGACATGCCACATGTAGAGGTGTTTGTTCATCCTAAAAAGAGCAGAAGTGAAAAATGACAAATATATTGACAAATCGTAAAACAATTACATTGGTTTGCTTTAACAGAACTGAAATAGAATCTTATCAATGCTGTCAAACAGCAGATCTCGCTAGTTTGAGTTCTACAGTGTCACAGAAGATATGCCTACAATTCAACTGATTAGAAACTAGCTTATGTTGAATGAGCCTTAGTTAGAATACTGACATCACCTAAAATCGATATAGAATCTAAAAGAAGAAATAGCAAAATGTGTTGGAACGCCTGTTCATGAATTACAATCATAAAGAACGCCTGCAGGATAAATAAAAAGACTGAGCAACTAGTTTATTTTGGATTAAGACTATGTAGCATTAGCATTCTATACATCAAGATAACGAATGGCATAAAAAAATTTTTTAATGTAAAAACAAAACACTTCAACTTCATTCTGATTAACTTGTGATTCACAGAAAAATTGGCTAGAATATGCATCTCCATTTAACTGCATAAATTTAATCAAAACTAACAGACTACGCATAGACCATACACCACAGAGTAATAACGAGGTTGGATGAAAATCTTCCTTGATTAGAGCAAAAGTGAAAAAAAAACCCAACGCCTTTAAGTTATGCAAAGGTGAATGTAGGATGACAGGTTGACGACATGAGCAGTCCTCGCAGATTAATAATATAGGCGCCAACGATTGTCACAAAAAAATATTACAAAGAAGGTATCCTTTAATAAAATATAAACGACAGCTTATTCATAGAATTAATAATGATTGAGGAGGAGGGGTAGAAAAGAAAGAAAAAAAACAGAGGGATAAGGCCTCCACTTCCTTATCTTGCATGGTTTTGGCATGTGTCATGCAATGCATGATTATTGTTGTCAAGAAAGATGATTGATTGAAATAATAGTTAGTCTAATATGACCAACCATGGGATTCATAAATATCGACTCGCAATACGTTTACAAAAAGCTGAATTATCAAATAAAGCTAGCAAACTTTTTTCGTGTATCGGATACTGAAAGTTTTGAGAATGATTCAACAATTTCCACAGAAAAATAAATTAACATTCCTCACGAAAGCAAGAACCTCTTCCACTACTACATTTTCCCGCATTCTATCTCTTTATGGTGTGCTGAACTGTATCTATTCTGTTCGACTGCAGCTAAGCATGTCTAACAGCTAACAACTGGGATAACAATGCAGAATATAAAATGTCAATGCATGTAGTGGTTCGTCAGTGGTTCAAGAGGAAAATGTCCGTCAACTATGCACATGTTTACGGTTTGATACCTGGACGATGCAGTTCTAATCCTTGCTAAACAGGTAGAGTAAGCCCAGTATGGAGGGAAGGTTGGGCTAACAACTCCATTATCGCCACTGAAACTTCAGAACTCAACATTGAAACCTATATATAAGATGAACTCGATTAGAGTAGTGGGTACGTACTACGGAAGAGCCCCTAACTTCGGAAAAACATCTTTTTAGTACTAACTGTTTCTCAACAGTTCTATTGATCTAACTTGTAGCATGCACAGCTAAGCATTAGGCAGGCTCAATACATGGGGATATTCACAGAGTATATACTGAGGAACATTATTCATCACTTATAGAAAGATATTAGCAACAACATCATCGTCACTGACTGAAGCTTATAATTGTCAGAAAAACTTAGACACAGATATATACATCACAATACATCTACAGTGTATTGAGAGGTAACGACTGACGCATACTGCTCTGTCTCTCTCCCATCAATTGCACATTTTGGTAGCATTACATTTTTATGTAAAGAGACGATAGCGGGGAGCTGGTGACAGTCTGGAAAACTCCCTTACATAATTTAAAACTAAAAAGGTCAGGCGATTTTACGAAACAAATGGGCACAGTACACACGTACATACACAAATATCAGTTTAACACGTTATATAATGAAACAAGATACCGTAGGAAAAAAACAGTGAAAATGTCAACCAACTGTGGATATTTATGATATGGAAGACAAAAGTGAACTATAGTTCACATATGAAGATTGTAATGAATAATATATTTCGTTTGTGGAGCGTCACTGAATTTGATTACAATTCAGTTGAGACGAGGTCACAATTGAAAAAAATTATAAGCAAGGTAGGCTGTGTCTAATGTGTATCCTAGTAGCCATGAGGATAACATTTTTAGTTCATCGCTTCGAAATTTGATAACAGCTCAGTAAAAGTGAGGTCAAAAATGAAAAACCAAAAACAAATTTGATAGAACATATTGGGCCATGTTTAATGCACTTTATACAGTCGAGGGAATACATTTGTCATGATTTGTGTATACGAATAAATGATAATTATTCACTTATGACAAGCCCACGGTTTAAAAGTTCAAAAGTATTTGAACTTAAATGGATTAACTACAACAAATGAAAACATATACTTATCATTACTGAAATACAAAGAAATATGAAACATGAGTTGGATTTTGGGTGTATATTTGTCCAATTCTATTATAAGGAAAACAACTCCGATAATGTGTTAAATACGGGTATTCAACATTCTACAACAAGTCGTAAGAGAAGAATATCTTCTGGCAGACTGCATGAATGCCTTGGATACAGCTACTCAACATTTTATAGCCGTCAAAAACGGTTACGTGATGCAGCATTTAGTGACTGGGACTTGTGGAAACGTTACTGCTCATCTACAGAAGAGGTGGCAAGGAATAATACAGTAACTTTGCCTTCAAGTTCAACTGTCCAGGGAACAGTGGGTTTACCTAGTACTAGTGAGACCGTCGCTGTTGTTTCACAAATTGAAGAGAATCGTAACATTTATTAATATGTAATAATTAATTTCTATATAACTTCAGGTTGTTCCTAAAAAGATGACACAAGGAGAGCTGGTCAGAAAGTCAATTATGGAATTGTTCCTTCAGAACAATGTAACAGGGGCGCTTGCGCAAAATATCTTGGACTGTATTCGTAAATTTAATCCACATGTGCCAACAACCATAAGAGGCTTGCTAAAAGATAGTGGCATGTGTGTACCTAGACAAGGTGTTTACTATCACATTGGACTGAAGGAAAACCTGAAGCGTTATCTAGACAGTTGGGTTGACTACGGTACTTTTCAACATATTGGCTTGCAAATCAACTATGACGGTTTATCTATATCAAACAGTTCTTCGCAGCAATTATGGCCATTCCTAGGTCGTATCACAACTCCATACGTCAGTGACGTTTTTTTAATTGGCATACATGGCGGTTTGAGAAAACCGAGCAACTTCAATGAGGTTGCTATGGACCTATTAGCTGAATTGAAAGATCTTTATAAATACGGTTTATATGTTGAGAAGTGGGGTAGGAGTGTGACTGTCAGTGTTCTAGCATTTATATGTGACACGCCTGCTCGTTCTAATGTAAAACAAACCGTCGGTCACAATGGAAAAACAGGTTGTGATAAATGTGAAGTTATAGGTTGTTGTTTGGAGGGTAGGATGACATTTCCTAATGGGAACCATACACTTAGAAATGATAGGACATTCCGTGGTCAAGTTCAAGCAAGTCACCATCGGGGCAGAAGCTGTCTTGAGGAATTGCCACTTGATATGGTAAAATCGTTTCCCTTGGAGCCAATGCATCTAATATACCTTGGTGTTGTTAAGAAGTTAGTGTTCCTTTGGCAGGGTCTTGCAGCACGGCGAGAGAAGCAAATGGATAGTAAGATTATCGCAGATATTAATAACGGACTGCAAGTAAGTAGGAAACACATCCCTTGCGATTTTCAGAGGAAATGTCGGTCGTTAGATGACGTTAGCCAATGGAAAGCAACTGAGTGTAGACTTTTCTTACTTTATTTGGGTCCCGTCCTACTTAGAAACACTCTACCATGCCACCTGTACGCTAATTTCAGGAGATTATCCCTGGCAGTATACTTACTGTCGAGTACCAAATACAGCCGACTGTTTTTGGATGCTGCTCGGACAGATTTGAGTAATTTCTAACTGCAATATGAGAATTGTTTCGGAAATGAACATATTGTTTACAATATACATTCTCTGAAATATATAGCGGATGACGTCGAGCTGCATGGGCCATTGGAAGAATTCAGCGCATTTCCCTTCGAATCCTATATGCGCAAGATAAGACAGTCCGTACACTGTGGTAATGCTGTGGCTAAGCAGGCAGCTCTGCGCTATGTTGAACACGTGTACTTAATGAAAATCATTGGAATTTCGCACTCAAATCGGATGATTTGTCAACTTTGAGGATATAGAAAACGTATCACCTGCCCAACCATACTAGTAACGTATCTGTAGCAATTAAGTCGATCTGGGCGACACTTACTGAGATCTTTACAAACAACTCAATCTTTAGATGAGTAAATATGAAGAAAACAGAACATATACGATATTCTTCTATGTACAAACCCTTTTTCCATGCATTCTTGATAGTTATGATAAACATAAAATGACGCGCTCCCTTCTTTCGCGCTAAGTATATAGCTGAAGAAATTTATGCCCAAAAGATATTTTCGTTGAAATCCCGACCAGAAGTTTCCAATAAAAAATATTTCGGTGGGGATTTGAATTGTTTCAAGCTTGCCCACAGATTGATGCCAGTTAGAGAACAACTGGAAACCAGTATGGGACTGGACAGCTACTTTGGAACCCTTCGGCAATACGCACCTACCTACCTACTGGGTTCAAACCGCTGCGGTTTCGTACAGTGAAGAGTCTTCGACTAGGACGAAATATCTTTCCAGTGCAACATGGTTTCCAATGGTTCGCTAACTGACATCAATCTGTGATCACTCCAAACTAAAAATGTTTTATACACACAAACGCATTCACACATAAGGATACATTAACAGAGAGGAGTTCTACTTGATGTGAGGATCCAAAGTTAGTCAAGAAATACGGTTAACCATAAAAACTTAAAATAATTAAACTTAGAAAAAAACGAGAATATTCAGTTATGAGCTAAAAATCTGGTTTTCTTATTCTCAATGGATTCGGTGTACTAACTGAACAAAGCAGACATCGATGGATAAACCTACAAAATCACAAATCACGCAATATATACTGAGAAATTTAAAAAAAGCTGCTCAGAGGTAATAAACAGACTGTAAATGAACAGAGCTATTGAAATTGTTCTCACTGTTTTTGAGTTATTCATTATATTATACCATCACTGAGTGCTAATCATATTAATATTTACTGTTAGCAGCAAAGTACATCTTTGTGTAAGGCAATCAAAGTGGCGACATTGAAAGAAATCCATAAAAGTTCAACTGTTAACTATCTTAAGCAACAGGGAAAATATATTCCAAAAATAAGGCATGCTTTGGAGAACAAGTTAAGCTGAGGGAAAATCTCAGCGATGTCTGTGTACACTGTTCACAAAAACTTCTTACAGAAATAAGAAGCACAAAGACTAATAACAGCTACATACACGCCACTTAAACACTTCGAAACAATCGACAACATGACCATTGTATGACTGAAACCAAACCACAAAAGTCAACTAGCTTAAGATATTACAGAAGTCTGTAAGATTATATCAGAGATATGAAATAATGAAGAGTAATTTTGTCCTATAGCAAACTGCATTGAAAATCAAGGACATATTTAATAAATGATTCAGGTTTCACATTCAACAACATCAATGGCAAAAGCTGTCCCCCAACAGCTAAGTGGAATCTCCAATAGTTGAATCCTTTGATTTCCCAGTTTTATGGAATTACGATATACAAGTGAAAACAACAATTATCGTATAGAGTCGAGTTGAAGTCTACAATATCTTACAAAATTTCGCTCCACCCACGAATGCGGACATAAGTTTGTGGCTTTGTGTATACACACATATATATCGTACAACAACGATAAAACAGACATTAACACATCTTACCTGTGAAAAGAAACATGCAATTCTAAAATTATATGAATAATGATAAAATCACTAGGTGATATTAGACATAGGAGCACGACAAATTCTCCGATATGTTAACAACCAGAGATATTTAGTTTTATGAATCATATACGGTCTTAAGCATTCGCTAGGGACATGACAACTAGTAGAAATTTCTGATTGCTCGAACCTCGATGATTCAGATAGAGTTTAAGCTTGCAATCTAGTGGTGAAAAGTCGACTGTCTATATCACTGAGCAACAATTCAACCTGTCAAATTCTATTACACCCCCTGTCGAATGCACATGAAAGAGGATGACACAATAACCAAGTATATTCAAAGAGAGGCGCCCAGAGGAAGGCAAACAACCTAAAAATATAAACTGGAAAAAGAAGTTTCAACATTTGAAGAAGAACACCCTCAATATGACAATGCCATTAAATAACCAATTACGACCGAAAGCTGCTACCTTGACGTGGTGGTCGGGCTTGAACACCGCAATGACCTAATCAAGTTATACTGGCTGAGACTTATGTCTCTTGAGGTCTTACCATGCCAGGCAGGTTGTTTGGATAGCGGTTAAACAAAAAGCAGCTACCTAACCGAACATTATGATAAATACAAAATCACAAAATTTCATGCCGGATCGGCCGTGGTCCGGATTAACAACGACCGCGCTTCCTGTTGCCGTGTCACAGGGCAGGAGTGATAAATACGCTACTGAGACACACAAAACAATTACGAACAGAGAGACCCAATTACAAATCAAAGTGAACACTGCACATCATACTTCAAAATGCTTACATTAGAGATTATAACCAGATAGCTCATATGAATAAACACAGATGGAGAAAAACAGCTGAGATAGAAAAAGAAAAACGGATGACTGAGTAGTGTATTGTTGTGCATCTAGTAAATGATTACAAAAAATTCACATAATTAATGATATAATCAGTAAACATGCTGATTGACTGTGACCCGATAATTTCGCTGGAAATACATACTGTTTAAGCACAAAATAACGGTCACTAAATTAAGTGCGATAATGCCTAGGTTATATCAATCAAGTCATAGTTAGTTAGTCCAAAAACCTTATCCGCCCATCAAATTAAATTAAGCTTCTCTAAATAACCTAGTCAAGGGACATTAATTTTCTGCATCATGAGGCAATGGGTGAATTCAAGTGCGTCATGATACATGGCTGGGAAACCGAACACACATCATAACAAACCTATAATAAAACTCATTTCTCGCGCCCTTTTCTTTGTCTTCAACTACTCAACAGAAATATTACCTCTTAACACTGATAAAGACGGGAAACAGAATAAAGTAGAAATTTGTAAAGCGCTTTTCTGTTTTTTGTTGCGAAACTACTAATTGTCCTATCACATTCTAATAGTTACGTAAGTACAAGTGGCTAATACCAGTGCCCATGACTTTCTTTATCTTCAATCATACATGTGAATTACTGACGCTTCATGGTAAGGTAGTAAGAGCAACGAACAGAAAGATTTTTATGCATGTTAGGCAACAACTTACAACAAGGCTCACTTGCACTCAGAAAGTAACCAACACTTTCATACCCAGATGTTAGGATTACGGAGTGAGGCAGTGAAATGAACAAACGGACGAATCATTATACAGGAGTATGAATCAAAAACTTCAGTCCTGGATGTCAATAGAACTCTATTGATTGGTATTGCAATGTGATCCTAAAGTCCTAGGACGTAAATCATCATCATGCCTTTCGAATAATCTTGAGCATTATTCAGATGTAGGAAATAACAACGGAAAACAGTTTCACGTAAACTTTATGTATGTTGGTTCACTGCGTCTATTCTACACTGATAGGACAGAGTCAACGAATTCTAGCCAGGTGTGAAGCCATAAATGCGTTAGACAGTAGTCTGACGTATCGACGTATATGTATATCAGTGACGGATTACAGAAGTAGATTCACTATCGGTATCACTTTCAAAATTAGTAGCTGGCAGATTATGAGATTCTGTGCCCAATAACTCTCTATGATTAGTTTTGCTCGTCCACACTAAGTACTGCGTAAATGCCACTATCAAAAATAACATTCAGTGTCAAAGTATAAGTGGCTTACACAATGGCGAAGGATTGAAAATTTGTAAAGGTGGCTGAAATAGATGTGACAAAAGTGAAGTATTTCTCGATCATACACACATAACGCGTCAAGTTTCTCAGAATTCAACAGCCAAATATAATATTACAGGTACACAAGTGTGCATGAGATATACTAAGCGTTTAGTCAGAAAACAGTGTATCCAGTTGAACAATGCTGTTGAAACTAGATAACTCCATAAAAGCGTGTCAATGCCTTCCACAATCTTGCCCTGAGCACGCATGCAGTGACTGAATCTTGGATACCATAAACACTGTTTATAGTTTAAAACAAACCCACCGGTTGTGAGATAATGACTAGTAAGTAAGAAAACAACAGTTGCATAATACACTTACAGTTCGAGCACGAAGAACAACTTAATTGGAGGTCGCTTGATGAAACTGTGCACTTTTGTGTCTTTGTCTTTACCGATATTAGTTTCACGAACACCTTCAAATAAACCTTTGAAACATAAGTTAGTGTTTTAAGGTGTCAGTCAGAGGACTGGTGTTGTAAAAGAAACACATAAAGGGGTGGATAGATGCAAACATCAGTATGCAATTTACTGAAGGCAATTGAATATTAGACTGAAAGACTTTTCTGAGATGAGCTATTATACACATACAGCATAAATTCTGCATTCTGCAAGTGTCAACAGTCAACTAGGCTATTTGTGAATGTTTTGTTTGTTAAACACTTATTCAGTGAATAAAGTTTCAAAAAGATAACAAGTATTCTCTTTAATCGGCTTTGTTTAGAAAATGTTCAACGATTTCTACAAAAAAACACAACAGGTAACACATTTTATTCTGATTGGACACTAGTAACTGGTGTCCAATCAAAATACCCACTACAGTCCTACAGGAGGTCAGTCGCGAGCCCGAATAGCTTAGTGGTGACGTCTGTGACTGCAGTTCTCACTGGGTGACGCGGGTTCGAGTCTCAGAAGGGACATAAGTTCCTTCAAGGTTGCAGATACGCCTTGCTAACGAAAGCCAACTAACACGAAACCTAGGTCCAAGGCTACCTGCCGATTGCCTCCAACCATCTAATAACACTTTATTCTAATATTCGAGATCACTTATTTTATTTTAAGTAGGGCCAGTGTTCGCATTCAGTCATGATGATGACTGCCACACCTGTTAATCATATCCTTTGGCAGTTCAACTTTTATACGGATACGTATGTTAACATGTATGCTAGAATGAGGTTCTGGCTAATAAAACCTAGTATTACACAAATACATACAACACACATGTGTACGCACATACAAGTCATCTGTCAAAATTCCACTATCAGCATTATGGTAGAAGAAATAACCAGTGTTTATCAAGACTATCACACCAAAACTTTACTAACAGATGACATATATATATATATATATATATATATATATATATATAGAGAGAGAGAGACAACACAAGCATCCAAAAACTAGGTAACATGTCATTAGAATATCTGAATTTAGAGAAATCCGCTACTGTTTAACTCTACTGACTAAAGCAATGAATCATTGAAAAGAAGAAACAAAACTAGTTTCATGAAATTGTATTGATGAATAATAGGTTCAACTAACTTATGCTAACGTTAATACTGTTGTATGAATGTCAATTAAAGCAAGTAGAAGTGAAATTCCATTCGTCAAAAAATAATCGCGGTATTTTACATGCAGAGAGGAATACAAAACAGTGGTGAATTAAATAGAGAAAAAAATAACTGAAAAGCAAGAAAAACTGAATCTGGTAGCTTTAAGCATCACAAGAGCAGTGAATAAAAAGCAAAAATACCAACAGAAATTGTTACTCACTCTAGCCTTGGCATTTACGGACGCTCCATGATAAATAAGTGTTTCAGCGACATCAACTTGTCGATTACGTACAGCCAAGTGTAGTGCTGTTTCACATCGCATTGTAGCCTGATTAACTAATGCACCATTTTGTATTAACAGTTGAACAATCTCTGGTCCACCTATAAATGCTGCCACATGTAATGCTGACAAGCCAGACTGTTTATTGAAAAAAAGTAATGAGAAAAAAAGAGAAAAAATGACAGTAAATAACCAAAAAGAAACAATAAATTATGCGGAATAATGACACTGCCAGATAAACGTAAAAAATATGAATTTTTCTTCCCGACTGGAATTTGTAAACTCTGCCAACTCAAATCTTCGTAACTGTTCGTTTTTTCCCCTCGACGTCACTCTCCCGACCCGACATCGGAAAACGTTGTGCCTTTTTGAAGCATGAATTCTTGAGTCGACTTTAATTCCTACTGTTAATCGTCCAGCAACATGTCACATCAAACGAAAAAGAATACCGAAAATGATTCACACCTTGGAGTCGATTCACGTAGATCTTTCGTGGTCATCGTTAATAAAAGATTCGCGTTGTACTACACACCTTAGGAAGAAGATTTAACAAATTCTTTAAAAATAAGTTAATCATACGCTTCACACAAACACGCACATATGTTTCAGAAACACATACTAAGATTGAAATCTGTGGACAGAGGAGTAAAATAAGTGAATCACCATCAAACATGGTGTATGATCGCCCCAACACGCCTCCTCTTCCCCCTATCTCCCTCTCTCCCACATCATAAACACTATTTACGAGTCAACGGTGCCGATAACCAAGTTATGGAATACAAAAAATATTTAAAAACTAGATTAGTCACAATTGTGTACACATGCGTGTTACCAACTGGAACCATGGGCCGCAACAACTATCCTAGCAAGCATATATTCAAAACACATGTGACCTTGATAGGTAAGAAAGACGACAGATAGTAGGAACGTTGGGTCAAACAGAACACAGCAGCATAAAAAATATTCACCAGGCAAAGAGAGAGATAGACAGAGACAGATGTGTAAATAATAAAAGCCAATGGAAAGTGAATTCAATAAAACAATTATTCGATTCCTTCATTTACATTCCATATCAACAACTTAAGTGTGAGAAAATTTTTTCAAAAATTAATATTAATGGTGATATCAATATGATTGGATTAGCATAATACGCAGCGCATTCAGCAAGTCTACGAGTAATCAGAAGAATGAATCACTAGTGGTAAACTACTTACATATCTATCACTATCAGACAATGTTTACGAAATATCTTCTGTGGTAGTTTCTAATCGCCAATTAAAAGTCAATTTAGTAGAGAACGTGAATTCAGAAATGATTCGAAAGTAAGTTTATAGACACAATGCATTAGTAGCGATTTGCAATAAAAAGACTGTAAAGCGAATCTCAACTAAAAAAAATTGATTCACACAACAACAATAACAACAAGATGAGAACGTTAATACAGAAACGAGGTGAAATTCAAATTCAAACTTTCCAATGTCTCTTGTCAGTAATTACTTTAAGAAACAATTAGTTAACAACGTGATGACGAAAAGGCAGATTCTGAATAACAATGCTTTCCATAACATCAGAAATTGGACAGTAAGAGTATACATCTGTAAAGATCACTGAATACCACACAACCGTCTAGGCTTTAAGCACGATATCAAGAAAATATAAAAGACGTGAGGATCACTCCTTTTAATCATGATAAGCTGATTTTCAAGAAATCGATAAGAACACAACCTGCTCCCCTCCTACAAACATACACACACAAACACTGATCCACCAACTCACTCAACACACAATGCAAGAGGAGCGAGTAAAGAGATATTCAAAAGAGAGACAATAAAACACAGATATCACGCAAAAAGAATTCTAATACGCAAGAACAATACAGTTTTATTGGATATGATAAGTCACAAAGAGTGGATCCATCTGAACCACCACCACCACCACCAAGAACGATTCTCAGCCCCATCACCAACTGTCTCCAGTCTTCATTGGTTTTTACCGTCCCGAAAACACCAACGAGTCAGGAAGTCTACACCATCCTAAGAGGCCTAAACTAACTTTTGTGGATTTCATTGACCGATGAAGCCATGTTTTGGTCTGACCACCACCACCACCACCACCAGCTCTTTTCCAACCTGATCCATCCTATGTCAGTTACACATTCCCCACTGTCGATGAAGACGACCGATGGCTAGGCCTACGTAACACAACACATGTCCTAACCATCTCAATCGGTGTAATTTCACAACTTCATCGATTGATTTCCCCCCACCCCCACCTGCCTAGCACTCGATCAATACCTAACCTCAATATTCCTCACCCTATTACACCACTTCACACGGGAGATTGACCACCTATGATAAGAGACAACCAGACTTTTAATATCTTCCACTTTCAATAGCGATGTCTCACAGCCATAGAGGAGGACCAAGAGAACTTCTCAGCAGTACATCCGCCCTTTGGTTGACATCCAGCCAGATATCATGCCTACTAAGCCAGAGATAGCGTAAGTTAGCATATGCCAAACAAGCCTTTACAGAATGGATGATCCCTACTTTCAAAGCTCGAAAATATTGTCTTCTGGCATGAAATAAAAAGAAGGGGGAATGAAAGTCACTTACTTCTGTTGTCATATTAATCTGAGCCCCGTATTGTAGAAGCAGTTCTATAACACGAATTTTTTGTTTTTTGCAGGCAATATGGAGCGGAGTAAAGCCATTCTATTATGCAGTTAAAAGATTAATTTTACAAAAGAATTATAAAAATGAGGGTAAGAGTAAGAACAAAAATAAAAATCAAATATTAAATACACTGGGTGAAGATAATACATGTATCCCTCGTATGTCTCACGGATTGTGATTACCAGTACTTATCATAATGAAGCAGCATATTTCGCTGCTAACATATTTTTACAACAAACAGATTTACAAAGCGGTCCACGGAGACCACTAGTAGACGCAGCGATATTCAGTAGAACGTCAACATAAACAGACGAGTTGAATCAAACACCTTTATTATCATTATTATTCCTCACTTACAGTTCAGTGTAGAATGCGCAGAGCTTCAGCAGCACATCTCGATTTCACTCTGTTCTATGCAGTTATTACCTCCTTGTAAGACCCCCCTCTAGACCATCCTCGCGCATTCAACTCAGGATTTAGTATTGGGGTCACATTTGAGGGTCTGATGCTTGGTGTCACTCAGGGGTCTTATCAGCGAGTGTCCAATACATCCCCATTTCTTTCTGCATATCTTTTGAATGACAGATTCTTGACGCGTTCTCTGTCTACCAGAGTACCTTGTTTATTACCTTTTCCAGCCATCTGATCTTCCACATTGCGTAAAAGCAGCTGGCGATAAAAGTTTGTGGTCTGTCGGAAATGCTTTCCGTGAAGTATACACAAAGTCTATGAGGCATGTAGAAGCACTGACTCATTATGAGTGCTGAAAATTCTGATCTTGTCTATTGTGTGGAGTGTGTTATAGATCTCTGCAGTAGAGTAACGAGTGGAAGTCCAGTTTTCAGGACCATTTTAATTACATTCATTTTTATCTTTAGGATAATAAGACAATTCGTGAAGCCGTGTGACTAAATCCAAATGAGTATGAGTAATAATTTATGCTTGAAAAGTCATCCAGTTGTTAATACTGAATCACTGCGTAATACTTAAAATAAACTTATCTAATATGGAGTTACATTCCCCCACAGTGCCCAAGTTCTACACTTACATTAGGATAATAAATAGACCCAAAATAGTAGACAATAATATTCAAGTGATGGATTGCAGGAATCGAATTTTTTACCAGTTCGATCACGAGTTGACACATGAGAGTTGGAGAACCATTGGAAAACATAAGAGTGCTGCACGGTTGTTTCGTCATCAGTATGCACATAATATTCAAAGAAATCATTGATACATTAAATCTCATACTTGCACTGCATTCATTCACTGACAATCAATGACGAAAACAACTAAACACTTTATAGTTGTGTAATGCAATACACGAACGAAAAGAAATAAGTATGTTCAGAAGATAAAACAAGTGTAATAAATCGTATACTGAAGAATATGTCGACAGAAACTTACTAAAGCACGAGCATTTACATCACATCCATTATCTAATAGTACACGTGCAACTTCTGCATTTCCACAATGAGCAGCTACATGTAACGGAGTTAAAGAATCCTTTAAAAAAAGAGTGTAAATAACAGAAATAAATAATTAGATAGGAAAACGGAAAATTGAGCGAGTCATAAAGTGAAATGCAGCGACACCCAGCTGATGAATCCTAGATAGGACGAAATGCGCATCGTGGATTCCACTGCTAACCACCATCCACATATTAGAGTCATAAAGTGGTTTATAGTAATAACTTTGCAGATTAATCAGTCCAGTTTAATGCGATCCTGTGTTAGAGGATACAAACTCGTCGCGTTATGTTACGATTTCACTGAACTCATCAATTTCTGCGTCACTGGAAACAGGCATTTTGTTAAACTGTGACACTGAAGCTCAAAAGTCAGTTTTACCTAGATACTTTCTATACGAGTTAATGAATTATTTTTTTTTAAGATAAATTCAGATACTGATCTAAAAATCATACACAGGGATGAAAACCAAAATTCATTGACAAATGGAGAATTGTCTGTCCATCAACTAAACTCTAAGCGCTTCACAATCGCCATACTCACTATTTTCGATTTTCGTATGAAGTCAAAACATACGATTGCATAAAAAGCAACTTTGCGAAAGCATCTAACATTTCAATTAACAAACACGGTATCTCCAAATTTAGTTTTCATTAAAATAGCACTGTATTTCTACGTGACGTGTCAGTGATTCGGGATTCGATCATCGACGGCCGTATTCCTAAACCTCACTTAGAAGATAGTAAGGCCGGTATAGATTGAAGGTTGGGCGTAAGACTAGCAACCTCACGTCGTAAAATAATACCACCGTTACTGGAACTTCAAAACTCTAATGTCAAGCTCTATATTCCACTTGAGACGTAAAGGAATAAAGAAAAGACGATTTATACCTGACCCTTACTTCGCATATTGTAACATATGTGACAAAGGGTCACACCATCGTCGGACTAAGTAGAAGTAATAATAAACTTATCCTTAACATATACACATATGCGTTTTGTCATGATAACATCTGTATGGGCAATTTCACTTAACAATCAATATACATTCATGTGTAATGATGATGCATTGCTATTACATTCATTCCGTAGAGTATCAATGAACGAAAGAATTGACTAACCACATTGGAATTTTATGTGACTCAAAGTGTTTATCGGTGATCACATCACTTTACACACAAAAAGAATTTCTTTAAAAGTGTCAAAGTGTTCCCGAAAAAACAATTTTATTTATCGTTATCTGGATACTGGTGAGAAATATTTAAACAGAAAAAAAGAAGCATCTCACACTCGAATACTGAAGTGCGCCAGTGAATGCCACACAATGGTTGATCAGTCTACACACTTTTATATTTATCAGTACGGAATGTTTGGTTTGGTAAAAGACCACTTTTTTTATATATACTTACGAGAAAATAAGAGTCATATTACTTAAATTGAATCATTCATGAAAAACTGAGTACTAGTCAAAAACGGATTAAACACAGATTAGTTTTACAATTCCACCACTAAAGTTTAATCCACAATACTATTATAATTGTGAAAGGAGATGAGAAAAGGTCACCAAATACTTTCTCTGCATGTCAATAAAACAATTTAGTGAACAGCGCTATGCTTGCAAAATACAATGCAAGTTGATGATAGAAAAAGATCAATACTAAAGACCAGGACCGAAGTACATCAACTACTTAAAGTTAATGGCAAGCATTAAGATAAATGAAAAGTCTATTGATATTCTCCTTTTATAACATCCGATGAATGAATCAATGACCTAATGGTTTACTTCAAAATGATTTCTCATCCTGGAAAATGTGTATCTGAAGTTATAAAGCAGCCTGGGTTGCATAGTTTTACAGTTGATACATAATCCTAGTTAAGTGGTACGCATAGAATATAAACTGACCAACAGAAAATCTGACGTTAGCAGCCTTTAATCAATAAAGCAGAATTTCTCGTTATATCTTTATCGCATATATCTGAAATTATCATAATCTATCTCTCAGATGTCGTCTATTAATAGAGTAATAACGCAGAAGAAGAACAGAAATGAGCTATGCATTACAAATTACAACACGCAATTAAGACAGCAAAGGTGGATTTAAAAAAAAAAGAAACTAGAAGGCTAACTATGTAAGATGATGTACACACCTATCAGCAACATCGCACAATGCATCATTCTAATTGACGTTACCTACGATGATGGCAGCCTACTGACATAGATATACTACTAATATATAACACGCAAAAATAGAATTTATTATTTTACATTTCTCATTACTATGCATTGCCAAAAACCTACGGCTCTATGCTTGGTTTTTACTTATCTCATTCACTAACACACTAGTACACATACATACCCAGTAATATATGCGTATACACAAATATCAAGGTGGATATTATATTAACGAAGTTCTGAACACAAACAAAACATACAGTGAACCTTTTAAGATTAATTAAGCATTCACTGAAAACAAACAAACCGTAATAAACACGTTCAGATCTATTGAAGCCTATAGTGAAAGTAAATAGCCTTGTACATATTAATTAAATACAAAAGAAACAATTAAACAGTATTAACAATTTGAATCATACTGTGACAGAAAAAAGCGGTAAAAAAATTAGTACAGATGAAGAATAAGTCATACTAGGGATTTAAGAAGGAAATACTTAAAACTCGAATTGCTTGGGCAAGTAAGCCTGTTAACATATCTGATGAAATTTGTTTTATTTTATACGTTTTAAAATCTGAGTGAAAACTTACTCCAGTTCTATCGGCTACACTTGCTCCACAAAGGATAAGCACTCGGGCAACCTCTTCATTATTTCCTTGAGCAGCCATATGCAAAGGTGTTAACCCACTCTAACAAATTAAAAACATGCAAAAAAGATGCATAAATTTCACTGAAAAGAAAAAAATACAAACAGTAGAGGTTGAAGTGAAATTAGGAAGCGTAGGCCAGTTGGTAGAATTTTTGACCCGAATCCTGCTACAACCAGGGTCTTTATTTAAACTGTTTTCGACTATGAAACTCAAAACATATACGATCACGTTGACAGTACTAATACACCACCAGTACGCTAATTAAATAGACGACAGCTTATCCTGCTTTCAAGGAGTCGAACAACTATGATGTATGGTTAAGTTTATTGATGGAGAGTTCATAACGTTAGCCACGCTCACATACACGAGTGGAATACTCACTACTAACTATGCACGTAGTGTGCAGTCCGATTCCTGATTGATGCACTCCCTAAATCTCACTTAGCTGGTCGTGGGCACAGTATAGAGGGGAAGCGGGGCGTGAGGTTAGCAACCATGAAAAAAACACCACTCCTACTAAGACTTCAAAGATCATGCTTGAGGCTTCATGTTCCACTCAGAACCCATGAGAATTATATATATATATATATATACTAACATAGAAACCGACTGTATAAGAAAGACGGCGACAAAGTCAAACATTTAATTCAATTTGGAGCTATATGTGCTTGTAGTTCGCAGATTATACACAAAAAGAAGTATTTTGCTATACTAATTACAACTGGCTAGGCATAATAAATCTACATACTGAACTACAGAGGCACAGAGACTTTATGAGTCTAACTACTGCTGTCCTAACAGAATTGCTGGCACCCAGTGACAGCAACAGCAGAGGTTCTGAAATCCGACGATGTATATGTTCACACAAGGTGGATATCGTTTATTAATAAATGATGCCTGCTTGGGATGCGAAAATCAGTGACTTGGACACATGTTACAAATGCCATTCCAAGAGACACCACTCATGGAAAACAAACTGTAGTGGCCTGATAATATAGAATTATGAGAACAACAACAGATGTGTTGGATTAGTATCGGTTGATTCATCAAGACTTTTCTGTGGAGAACTGAGGTAATGCACGATGATAGCTTACAAAAATGTCGATCATGCTGCAATGCGCTCATTTATTTTACTACTGAGAACAGTATGGAAGTTATGAATGCTTGCTTGAATTTATTGAAAGTATGAAGCATACCTACCTTTTTCATCATTCTGTTAATTTCTAACTATCGATTCACTTTAATTTATATCGTTACTAGATTATTTTGTATGGTATATTTCTTAGTGTTTGTAACTTCCTAACCATACGTTAATAAACATATGGTAACCACACCATAAAAACATCTTGGATAGTAGTTCCATGTTACCAACAATCCATTCGTAAAGATAACGTCACCTTTTATTCTTGAGTTATAAAATACGTTGATCGGTATGCGATATAGTGGCACACCACGAATAACGTTCAACAAAAAGTTATCTGATATACAATAACTCAAAACGTTTTCCCCGATTTAATGTGAATAATAGCCGTACATTAGGATATAATTCAATACAATGCTGTCGGTAAATGAATTATGCACTTAACTTGGTACTCCGTCTGCCCGAACCCCAGTAATGGCTAAGTGAAGAGGTTTTGGAGTGCTTTTTCACAACACTTCATAATAACCAAATCAGAGACTGGCCAACATTTCGGCACAAAATAGTACAGAAACAGCAGATGCTGCTACCCGAGATTGTTGAATTCATGTCAGCATACAAGCACAGATTACGCATAAAACTGATCAAATAGGAGTAGGAAAGGAAATGTTGATTTGGACTTTCTAATTCTCTGAAGTAGGGTAGTTATTCACTTACTAGGATACAATTTTAACGTTTTGTTGTTTAGCCCTAATTCAGACAAGTGAATAATCTACGACATACACACTGAGTCAGGAGTTAAAGCCAGGAGGAGAATAAAAACCAAGTGGCTTATTGTGCAAAATTATTACCACACATGATTTATCTTCATGTAAGAGGAGAAAAACAAAATATGAACAATTATATTAAAACAGAGTAACTATGACAACCTCAATCAATACATACAAATAGGATCAAGTTACTCAGACGAGAAGACATTCTCTAAATCGGTTACCTTGGTAACGTGTGACGTATGTAGCATACTTCGGGACATGTGGTATTTCACCACAATTATGTGACATTTAGAAATAATTGTGGTTTTTATAGAGAAACACACCCACAAAAGCATATATATAATAGGTTTAGGAAAGAGAATATTAAAAAGCAATTACCAGCATCAAGATACAGTGAGCATCAATCGATCAATTACTAATTTGATATATATATATATATATATATATATATATATATATATATATATATATATATATATATATATATATATATATATATATATATATATGATGGTGAAAATAATTCGTCCGAATGCTTGCTTTTATTTATTTTTAAAACATCATCCTTTTCAACATAACACTACACTACCACCGGTGAAAAACTGCGCGAAGAATAAGTAAGCAGTTGTCCTACAAGTGAACAGTTCTCTAAGTGCTTAGCAGTGGTCACCTCTGATTTTAAACCAACTACAATATGTCACCAACATAGTCTCCACAGGAAAGAGATGATACACTACTGCACACGCAGTAATTGGAATGGTCAAGTCGGAAACAGTTGTGGCAGCTGAGCAGAACTGTGTATATGTTGAAAACACCGACAGAGGATGTAAGTCCATTGGTCACAACAGCTGTCATGAATAGAAGAATTAATATACCCGTTTACGATAAGTATCCGTATCTCCATGAGTTAACTCGTCCATTTAATACAGATAAGAGAATCAATAGAGGAAATGAAGAACTAATTTAGAAATAAGCCTTAATTATGACTTCTAGTTATATTAAACGGTTTGGACAGTCAAGTCACCAGTTGATACTCACCATTATCCACAATAATGAAGTTGAGAAATCTTTAACCTATAGGGACTATATGCATCACCTTGTCAATGATAGACATCTCTGCTTACAAACTACTACATATATTGCTTGAGCGTACAGTCTTAAGGCCAAATATACACACACATACCATGTGACCACGGAACAGGATAGCTGTCAGTGAATGAAATAAAAACCAATTGTACTATTAAGAATGATAAAACAGTGGAGAATAAGAATATCTCACTTGTAATTACATCATTCGCAAATGAATTAAGTAGACATAAAGCTAATATAAACAGTCATGTAAATACGTGTTAATGACTGTTATTCAAAAAATAAAGGGAAACACATACCCTTGTTTTAGCCGATGGATTCGCACCAGCACCCATTAACAATGAAGCCAGTTCTGCATGACCTGACCTTGCAGCGCAATGCAGTGGCGTTAAACCATCACGTGTACGACAATCAACCAGGGCGTTTGCACTTAATAGTAGCTGAACCATTCCACCACGACCCCATTTTGCGGCAACATGTAGAGGCGTGATATTATTCTAAAAAAAATATACAAACAACGAAAACAACTGAGAACAAATAATGGAGAAAACGCATCGGTGCACAGTGTCCCGCCCATCTCAATCGATAAAGCCTCACATTCTCACTGACTGACTTTTGTTTCTTAGTTTATATCTTATGTCTTATCTTATCATTGACCAAATTGTACAGGTGATATGAGATTGAGTGAACCTATCGCTATCCTAATAAATTCTGATTATTAATTATTCTTTACCCTTGCATTTTTTCTTTTTATTATAATTGGCATTATGCGTCGGCGACATAACGGTTAAAACGCTCGCCGACCATTCACATGGTCCGGGGTTTGATCCCCGGCCACCGACGCACTCCTTTACCTCGCTAAGCCAGAAATAATGCTGGTGAAGAGGAAAGGTTGGGCATGAGGCTACCAACCCCATCTTGTAAAATAAACACTGTTACAGAAACGTCAAGCCACTAGCTTGAAGCCCTATGTTCCACTGGAGAACGTGAAGGAAAAAAAATACTTGCATTGCATTTTTGCCTCTGTCGTTATATATGCTTTTATGAAGCACGGTACCTAAGCACTGATACAGATAATAAACTAAGACTACGAGGACGGAGTGATAAATTATTATGAATACTTTGCAAGTATTGGTTTTTGTAGGGATTTTGTTTGGTTGGTTGGAGGGCTTCATCATGAGCTGACATCAGTTGGGGAACCATTGGAAAACCACCTGGGAGTACCGCAAAGCAGTTTGGAATTGTTCAGGAGTACGCACTCAATGGAGTTCGAACCCCGGACTTTCTGGTTATAAGGCAAGGATGTAGACATTTATAACGACCAGGGTGAGCATAAAATAAATACGCATTAATAAACAACACATGAACTGTTTACCTTTGCTTGAAAATTTACATCTGCTCCACGATCGATTAGCAGACGTGCCACAGTCACATTACCATAATGTGCAGCAATATGCAGAGGAGTGAATCCAGGCTTTTATTAGGAAGGAAAAGGAAAAAGTGACATAGTCATGAATATTTTTAAATAATACGGAACTATTCAACTCTGAAATACAACAGCTCTTATAACACTGAAAAATTCACTTAATTATGATACTCTGTGAAAAAGCATAATCTTCAGAACAGATTGGTAGTAAAAAATAAAGAGAGGACAGAAGTGTGTGAAAAAACAGTCAAGTTATGAGAGGCACAAAATAGTCCAACTAAGTTACCTTATTCATATATAAACATTATTCAATTGAATATGAGACAACAGCAACCGATAATTAAAGGTAGTGATTTTAGTTTTAGTGACTGTTCATCGCCTATCGCTGTTATATACTGTCGTTTCTTTTCGAGGTTCATTTGAAAAGGCTTTTGTCTGCTTTCAGGTATGAAAAGGCCGAATATGATATGTATCCTGCAATTCTGCCTATGGCATATAAAAGCATGCAATTCCGTTTCTTTTTATTTACTGTACGTCGGGAAAATTTCCCCAGCCCGCTTCAGATTCACTTTGTATGAATCACTTTCACAGCTAAAAACTTCTCCATGAGTCCATATCAGGGGGTGGCGGCGAGTGAGGAAAATCACTCAGGAAGACAGCTTACATATATTCAATAATTCACTGCATTTTGTTTTGTCCCCTCTATTCTCCTACCATTCGTTTCTTTTTGTTAATGGAGAATAATAACTTGGACAGGTGAAAAGTTCGAAAGATCTTAGTAGCCCAAGTTTTAGGCAAGCCACCACTCGTCCGTTTGTAAAACCTACAGCTAAAATGTTTGCTCTGCATTCTGTATATTACGAAAGTGTTAAAAACTACTTTTATATAAATTAACAGTTCACAAACTTTTTTATGTAATGGAAACACACATATTTTTCTTATTTCATATGAAACACTCATATAACAACTGCTAAAGTTCAAAGGTCAAATACTCCTCATGTTAAAGTCAATCATAAGAAAAATCTGAAGACCAAATGAATATCTAACAAAGAAAGACAGTGATGTAAACCAACTTATTTGTATACAACACTAGGCGAGGTCAATGATTAATATGAAAAATAAGTCAACAAATACTATAATTAAAGGTGAATATATGAGAAAAATTTCAATGAACAGTTAACATTCAGTATTTGTTTACACACATACACATACACACACACACACCAAAGGCTGAAAAAAGTGAGATGGAACTACTTTTACGAATAGAAGCACAGAAACTTAAGTCTTTTATATAGGAGATTGAACATTATATCAATTGTATGAAGGTTAGGGAAAAAGTATCTGTTATTCAAATTTTTAACACAATGGCTAACGACAGATCACGGAAAATATAATGCAAAGCGAACAGATCCACGATAACGTAAAGAGTAGGTAGTCGGAATGTCGAATACATGAAAGATAATTGTCAGATTATAGGGTTTGTAGTGATTTTTGATTAATTCCCACTGTTAGATTTTTGTCATAAACCAGCATCTTGAAATCTGAATATCAATAGGCACCCCGCTGATGGCTACTAGACGGATTTCCTGAAGTAGCAATGGGAGGTCGTAACCAATGGAGTCGTACATCATATCAAGGTGAAGTGGATGCTCATGGAATGCAGTGGTGAGAGCAGCGCTATGTCACGAGTTGACAGAGTTAGAATTGGATGGAGGATTTGATCATGGACTGACATCAGTTAGAGAACCGCCGGAAAACCTGGGAGTACTGGACAACTGTTTCGTGCTAGTTTGGGACTCTTCCCCAGTACGCACCCACCAATACTTGAAAATCAATCTGATGCTCACTAGCGACTGGCCCTATTCAGGCAGTGACCCGGGGTTCTAGTGGGAAGCCGTAACCAGTAGGGTACATCAGGTTGAAGATGAGGCAGTAACTCATCGAGGAAGGCATTGCGAAATTGTCGCGATATGTTGTGAATTGGCAGAAGTTAGAATTCATGGGCCATTGGATCAGGTCCCAGTGGCTCAACGGTCTACGAGCTCGCCTAGTAACCAAAAGGTCCTGGTTCGAACTCCAACGGGTGCGTGCCGGGGCGAAGAGTCCTAGACTAGGACGAAACAGTTGTCCAGTATTCCCAGGTTTTCCAGTGGTTCTCTAACTGCTGTCAGCTCACAATGGAATCCTCCATCCAATCAAACAAAATTCCTGCAAAACCAATACTTGAGAGTTGGTAGTCACCCGTTACTGAATTCCACGCAAAGCAGTTGAATGGTCACCGATCTTGGTTCGATCCCTGGCGCAGGTTCATGTGTGAGAAGTACTGAAGCGTCTTCAAAACAGGACAAAACAAAAAGTCCAATACTGCTTGGTTTTTAATGATCTCTCTGACTGATGTTGGGGTGTGACGAAAACCTAAACAGTTATCTCCATAATGACCGTTTCACACAAGGCTAATATTCATCAGATTATTCATCTCACTAATTTCAAATGACCTAAACTCTCATCCATGATTCATAAGAGAAAGGTATTCCAAACTCGTGTGACACTGTGAAAAAAAACAGTTTATCTTCGTTCAAAAACATAAACTACAGTGAATAAAAAGATCGTATACGCTATTACACTGGAAATGAATGTCTGCATTCAATGAGTCCTAGTTACTGAGATGTTTACACACATCGACTGAATGTAATTCAATAAATTATGAACAAAAAATAAATAATAAATAGGAAAATGAATCAGAAATTACTGTTATCAGCATAATAATAATAATAACAATAGTAAGCAGTTCATATACCACCAATTCGCTAGTTTTAAACTGATTTTAAAGCCAAACGAACATAGCACACATCAACTACACTTTTCAAAAGAGAACTGATGTCAAAGAGTAGTACTGCATAATTTACAGACAGTATTCTCCTTTGTCCACCTTGTTGAATAAAACGATAGAGAATCATGAGAAGATGAGCGAATAAAGTAAACAGAGAAAGATAAAAGTTGATTTATGGTCAAATTGACTCTACAAAATTAATTTCTTTTTTTTAAACTCATCAAATTTCTTGTAAACACCGCGAATGAGATTATGCTAAAAATTAGAAAGCATAAACAAAAAAGAGAGTAAAAGCGAAAAACACTAACATAGATCCCATACCAACTTACACTACACTCCCATATACACAAATTTAGGCTGAACAACTAGTAAACAAGGTCCAGAGTGGTGAAGAATGATGAACACTTTTGACAAAAGTTTACAATTACGGAGATTTTTCGGACTTGATACTTATTTTAGAAAAGAGGATGTAGATGATGTACGGTGTGTTCTTCTTTATACAAGTAAAAGGTTTCCAAAGGTAAACACTACAAGAACAGACCTACTATAGAGATGAATCACGGCGGGACTTTATAAAATAAAACCATTCGAACTTCACACTCTGCCACAATACAAAAAATGGAAATGAGCAGAAACAATATGACAGAAATATAAATACAAACTGTGATGACATCATGAGTTTTAAAAATGAAGAAACTCCATCGACCACGGTATATCACATTGTGTGGTTGGCAACTGTGAATCCGAGACTGATTCTGATCCTGACAGTTGAATGCATTTGGATATGTTTTAATTATACACAAAAGAAGCATTTGAAGGTAACAGAAAGTGAATGAACCTAATCGCCTCAACGATATGTCAGTGGAGATCGTGGATAAATAAAGGAGCACACTCGTCAGTGAAACAGCGTACTGTAATAGATTCAAGGACAGTGAAAGTGTATTAGTATCAACGCACACATACACAAATTAATTATGAATGTGTAAACAAAAATATTTTACACCTATGAACTAAACTATATACAGGATGAGTGTAAATAACATTGAAACTGTAACATTAAAACAGTACTAGTGGTGGATATTATGCTGTAAACTTGAATAACCATCATAATCAACCATGTGAACGGAATTTGAAACTAATTACCAATTATTCACATAAAAATTGTTTCACAGTAAAACTGCAGCTTGGATGCATTTATCCACTTAGTAAGAAATTTCATGCGTTTAAGTGTGTACAGCAGAATAGTGGTTTTAGTAAATCAGAGTTTAATATCATAAAATCTGGGGGTGAGACTCAAATACTAGCCAAATGAACTAGGATTCGAATTGACTCCATTGGTTTAGCCAGGATCAATAAAATACTGGAAAAAATTCGGTAGATTGAATAAAGCTTAACGGCACACAACTGAAATCAAATCAATCCATTTATTGTGTAGTGAGTTGTATTCAATTAATAATTAGTACAAATTAATTAATCACAACGTTTAAGAAGTAATGCTAAGGTGAGGAAAAAGTAGTGGTCACAACACAGAACTCACTTGAGATTGATGGTTGACATTGACTTCTGCATTATTTAACAGAAGACTGACAGCATTTGCATCATCTTTTCTGGCTGCAATATGCAGAGCAGGCATACCACCACGACTACGGGAATCTCTTTCTAAAAGATGTGCAACAACACGATCATGACCTTGTTGTAAAGCCACTGCTAGAGGAGTGAAACCATCCTATTGGGGGAAAAGAAGACAACAGTACAAAAGTTTTAACTCGTAAAACAGCATGCACTTTAAAAAGAATGTGATTTTTTTCACATAACTTCCATTTATATAAATTTTGTGAGCACTCCGTTTCCACAAAATAAATAATACTAAGCACGAAACTTCTGTCACATTAAAATTTCCTGAAATAGCTTTCATGCATAAACTGACTTATATCGCTCACATTTAAGTACAACGATTTCGGTGTGAATTGAAGTTTGATTGAGCGTTCTAGTCTTAATAATAGATCACTGATTCCGTCGGTAGTCAGTCGGAGAGTTGCCATTTATCTGAACACTCTTACAATTTAAATACTGTTCACAGCATTATAATCACTGAAATCTACATGTGCATGTAATGAAAAATAAATGAATCTTTCCTTCTCGTTATCTGATTTTACTGTTTACTAAAGTGTTGTAATACAGTGTCGTTTTCCTTTTCTCAGCCTAATTACTACATATAAATATCAATAATTACATCATATAAAATCTAAACAAGGAGGACATTATTATAATCCTATATGAATAAAGATAGAGAATACAACAAAACATTAGGGGATAAATACACACTGTGTTGTTTGTGTGTATATGTGTATATATGTGTGCATGTTTACATTTGTTTGGTTTTGTGTTTTTATTTTACAGAGATATGTGGGAATATTTCATTGAGTTAACTGAAATATTTTATAAGCTAACTTTTCCTATAATAGATTAATTTCCTTTTTCCTTTAACTGAAACTATGTTAATTAATACTTAGTTGTTTGTACATATTTCTGAATTACAACAGATGGACAAGAACCGATGCATAAAATACTATATGATTATTCCCTTTTCAAGCTACTATTACACAATCACCCTTCCTTCCTATCCTGTAATACAATCTTGATTTGTCACCAGTCATTCATACATACAGCTTAAAATGTACTACAAATCGAGAAAAATATCAAAAAACTGAAGTCACCACTTGAGTTAAAATACAAGTTACCCATTTAAATTAATGATCACTAGTTAAAGCTAGAGCATGATAAGAGGTTGGATTAAAAACAACTACGCAGGCATTAGAGTCTGGGTACCTCTTCATCAATTGACGACAATAACTTAACTCCACGTCCAGGTATACACTGCCAACATTTTGTGAGTATATACACTGTATTCAAACTAAAATGGTGCCGGTAAACACTAGGCAGACTTAGGAAAATAACTAAATCAATAAAGTATTGCCTAACTTATTAAAGTGCATCTAGTTGTCCTTTTAATTTATCAAGACTTTGGCAACACTAGTAAGCACTGGTCACTGCCAAAGCGACGACAGCCATTTATGATTTGCTAACTGTTAATTAGGCGTTTTTCTTACATACACACCCAGAGTGTAATACTACTATTCACTCGACACGTTTGTTGTATGATAGGACAATAAGTGTAACTTACACAAGTTAGAACATCTGATATCTCAAGATCACTGTCACAGATTCAATAACAGTCCCTACTTAATACATCAACACACACACACAATCTAGTATAATACGAGAAAATGTTATGGGCATACTGAAAATTCTACTTGCGAAGTATCTCGGTATCTGTAGCAATGATTTCTTTAGATTATTCAATATATCAACCATGTGTTAAAGTCTTTATAGGGGTTTTGGGCAATTCATGAAGGTCATCAGTCAACTGACAGTGTTTATTGGAGTAGATAATGCAGAAATAAGACTCTTCTGCCTGTAGAGATTTCGACCGGAAAATTTGCAATTTTGACAGATATTTTGCGAGAGAATAGACTACAACGTTGAACAAAATCTCATTATAATTTCTTCCCTGCCAATTCCTCTTCGTCTCTTTTCTACTTTTAACACAATGTCCCGCTTGATTGATTTTTGAGGTTCTGTGAAATGTGACAGCTTAAAACTACCTCTCTTTGCGTAAAACTCAATAATCTTTCCTGCTCTTTCTCCCTTTTTCATCACAATACTAATGTCAAAAAGTGAGAATAAAGTCTACCAAGCGAAAACAGAAACACTTTAAAAGTATTCTTGGTAAATGTTGTAAAAATAAAATTTACCTCCGTAGTTAACGCCTGATTAGCACCACGTTGAAGAAGGAGGTCAACAACATCAAGATGATTTTCTTGAGCCGCCATGTATAACGGAGTGAATCCAATCTAGAATATGCAAAAAAATTTTTTTCATGCTTACTTTTCCTATCACTCAGTATTGACTGCTGAAAATCAATGCAGTTCTGAATCGATTACTTGAACCATAAAATAAAACACACTTGAGCTGAAAATTTACAGCTGAATCAAAGTTCACGACTATTCATTTCTAATGAAAACACTAGTAGTGAAATGAAGTCTTGAAAGTATTATTATGCAATCAATGCTATCAATCGTAAGAACACGTAATAAAGGACAATGTTATTGCGTCTATATGGGAATTAAAGAATGCAAATTGCATCATAATTGAGGTATGTTGGACATGTAACAACGCTGTTATATTAAGCACTATATACCAGTCCAAATAGTAGATTTTCCCAGCAAACAAAACTAGGTGATAAATGAATATGCTTTAATCTTTCAAGTACAGAACTACTACATATACTTGAGAGGAAAAATTCAAAACAGAACTTTTGTGTGCTATATTCATTTAACAATCAGTCTAGAAATGGTTTACAAAACATCACCTGCATTCAACCAACTCCTAATCTATAAAGTTATACGTCAATTGTGAACGACAAGCGTAACACAAAATTAACAATCATTTCAAGAAATCGCTGATAGCAATGTTCACTGATCTATGTGATATTATGAGGAAGGCGTTTATAAATACTTGCTAATGTAATAAGATTAGTAATGGTGCGATGTTGACGTTTTTCTTACCTGAATAATGAATAGAGATAGTTCATTCCTGGACTTTATATGCAAACAGATTATACTGAGTTGCCATTTTAGTACGGTGGAGACAGTTTACTGTCTGCATTAAACTGAAGTTCTAAGCAGCGTCTGCGAATCAGAGGAAGTCCCATCGAGTTGGTGTAAGTCACTGATTATCCCCATATACAAGAAAGGAGACAAGTCTTCCTGTGATAATCACAGGGGGATTAGCTTGACTAATATAGTATCTAAAGTCCTAGGCTCAATAATAATGCGTAGACTAAGTGGTGCTCGGGAGGCACAAACACGAGAGAGCCAGGCAGGCTTTAGACCAGGAAGAGGGTGTATTGATCATATCTTCACCCTCCGACAGATTCTAGAACATAGTCATTCCTACCAGCGTCCAACAGTCATTATATTTCTTGACCTAAAGGCAGCATTCGACTCTGTCGATCGAGAAGTTCTCTGGAGATGCTTGGCTGTAAAGGGAATTCCGAGAAAATACATTGCACTGATTAAGGCACTCTACTCGTACTCATACAGCCAGGTGAGGGCTTACGGCGAGTTGTCATCTGAATTGGTGACGACTAGTGGTGTCCGTCAAGGATTCCCATTATCCCCTTTTCTATTCAACTTCATCATAGATGTACTAATGGACTTAACCCTAACTCACTTCAGCGACTCAGGGATCGACTTGCTACCGTCAGGGAATAATCTCGTTGACTTAGAATATGCAGACGATATAGTCCTTCTAGGCGAAGATGCTGACAAAATGCAGAGTCTTCTGAACACCTTGAACTGCAATCTACGAATGTTTGACACGAGATTCGCTCCCGCCAAATGCAAGATGATGTTACAGGACTGGACTACACCGACTCGTAGATTAGAAATAGGAAGTGAAGTGGTAGAGCACGTTGACCGCTTCACTTATTTGGGAAGTACCATCAGCCAGCGCCAACGCGTTGATCTCTGACGAAATCTCAGCTGAGTATGGATACAGGGGGCTCGTTTCGCATTTGCCAGTTTACGCCGTCTCAGGTGTAGACGAGATATTCGACTATCGACCAAAGGGCGGGTGTACTGCTCATCAGTCCTCTCCGTCCTCCTTTATGGCTGTGAGACCTGGCCACTGAGAGTGGAAGACATGAAAAGATTAGCTGTCTTTGATCATAGGTGCCCCCGTTCTATCTCCCATGTGAAGTGGTATAATAAAGTGAGCAACATTGAGGTTAGGCGTCGAGTTCTAGGTCAACAGAGGAAATCAATCGACGAAGTCGTGAAGTTACAAAGACTGAGATGGTTAGGACACGTGGTACGTATTCCTAGTCATCGCCTTCCTCGACGAGCAATGTTAGCGGATACAGGGTCAGGCTGGAAAAAAGCTAGTGGAGGTCAAACAAAAACATGGCATCAGTCAATGAAATCTACAACAGTTAGTCTAAGCCTGTCACGTAGGAAGGTGTAGACTTCCTGGTTGGGGTCCTCGGGACGGTAAAAACCAATGGTTGGAAACAATTGGTGACATGGCTCAAAATCGTTCTCAATGGCTGGCGCAGATGCATCCACTCCTTGTGACTTGATTTCTAATGAAACTATATTGTTCTTCGTTATTATTATTCCTTTATCTCACACCTCTGTTTACTGTCTCTATTATGCATTTCTTCTACCTTTTTCTCTTGCTTTGTGTGCTACAAGGAGGGAGTGTGGCGACTTGAACTGCCGCACATTTGTGCAAAGTTCCATGTCGAAAACAGACAGACAGACAGACAGACAGACTTAACCAAAAAAGCATGCTACCCTTGCGAATACTGTCAAGTATGTCCCTACCGTAGAATAAAAATGTGCCCATATCATGTAACAGAAATGGAACAGTAGTATTTGTTTTTACATTTTAGACCTGTTCAAGCTCTCCTTAATGTAAGAACGATGAACTCTAGCTTTGTAACTAATTTTTCTTTGTACGCAACGGTTCGATGTCAATTAATTTGTAAAATATAACGCTTTCGAAAAGGTTTTCTGTAAGTACCCCAGTCAGATGCTATCTTTGCTTATCGAAATACATTTTCCCTCCAAGTTAAAAAAATAACCTACTGAATTGAAGACAGAAGAAAAGTCTTCTACACTTCTGTTCAGATAGTCATCCGTCCCATATCACCACTAATTCTACATATAAAGGACATTATCTAATGTGACAATCAAATCCACGATGCACTCAAACAGATTAGGTAAACGTAAGCTATCGATAGAGAGGGTCGCTAGAGGACTTAAGCTCCTTCTGGAACATATATGTAGACTTCGATCACCCACTAGTCCGTGCACGCATATACGTACGACTGAATGAACATAGAAAAAAGGTAGCTGCAAAACTTCTGCACCCCGAAATTCTTGATGACAGCACAGTCTTTATCTAGAGAAGAAATCATTATACGCGTAACTAAGACTGATAACGAAATCCATCGTAAAGAAAACTAGCCAGCTGTAAGAACAGTGCTAAAGACTGTTGATAGCCTAAAACCAACCAGTCAATACTAGTGGATAGCTTCTGTCCCATCCAGGCTGATAAACGCAAAAATACTGATTCTGATGGGCCTCGAACAAGCAAAAGCTGCTCAAATCTAAACCAGTCTACGTAACCACCGTGGACATCAACGGGTGTTAATAGGCGAAGGTAGGAAAGGCGTTGGTACTAAGTAGTGCCGGACAACTATTTTGACTCATTAGGTCGAGATGTAGAAAAGCTAATGGTAAGTGGAAAACTCTCTAGGAAAACGGTGCTCTACCTCTCAGGATAGGAGAATTGAATACAGAAGGGAGCACCTTGAGGGGCTACATCAAACTTGTCCAATATCCGACACCTACATGAATGGTAGTGGTCTTCCAAATGCAGTTGAAGTTAAAAGCGCCACCTCTCTCTAAAGGCAAAGTAGCGTGACCTAATGGAATGACTTCAGAGATGCTTCCAGATGTTGGTGGCTGGCTATTGTCTGGGTCACTTAAGATAATTGATGATATGGGGAGTTAGAGATGATCCTGTTGGACTTGTGTAAATCATCGACTATGCCAGTGTGTCGGGAGACAATTCTTCCAGTTATAATAATATGGGGATTAATTTGAATAACATTTAAAATTCTAGGTTAAATAAGTGTTCGTGGTCTAAGTGGCTCTCGAGAGAAACAAACAGACAAACCAGCCTCGAACAAAGATGTATTGATCTTATCTTCACCCTTCGACAGATTCTGGAGCATAGGCATGTTTATATGCGTCGAACATCATGTTCCTTTATTTGTAGGCGGTATTTGACTTTCCACCGACAGGTGCTGTGGCAATGTTTGGCCTTAAAAGGAGTGCTGTACTAATCAAAGAACTCTATTTGGATTCACACAACCATTTTAAAGCTTATTCAGAGTTGTCAACTGAAGTGATGACTACCGGTGGTGTGCCTAACGTCCCCATTTTTATTTGATTTCATCATAAATGTACTGACAGATGAAACCCTAATAGACTAGAGCGACTTAAGGATGGATTTTTTTACCAGGGGACACTGGTCTATTTAGAGTTTGTAGATGGCATAATCCTCCTAGGTAAATACGCTGACAAAATGTGGCCTGTCGGACTCGGTGAACAGGAATTGTAGTGTGTTTGGCATGCGATTTGCCGCTGCCAAATAGATGATGCCACATGTCTGTACCTACTTTAAGAATATGGAGTGATGTGTCTTAGACCACAGGTTTTTGCGTTCTGTCTACACTGCTAATTGGTGTAATATGGTGAGTAATATTGAAACCAGGCGTATTTTTAGTCAAAAAGCGTAAGATTGAGAAGCTCTGTCTGTTGAGATGGCTGGTACACGTTTAGCACATGTCATGTCACCTCCTTTGTCATCGTGCAATTCTACCTGACGTTAGATTGGGTTGGAAAAGATTTAGAGGTGGTCAAATCAAAACTTGGCATAAATCCACCAAGTCTCTAAATGTTGGTTTGAGTCACCATAGGAAGCTGCAATCTGTCAGAGTTAGGTGGGGCTCCAAGAACCTAACAGTTCTCAGTGGCGCAGATGCATCCACTCCCTGTGACTTATGATCTTCAATGAAATTGTTTTGTATTTCTTTATTACTCCTTTGTCTCACACCTCTGCTCACTGTTTCTATTATGCTTTTCTTGTACTTTCTTCTCTTGCTTCGCGTGCTACACGGAATGTGGCGACTTGAACTTCCGCACATTTGTGCAAAGTTCTATGTCGAAAACAGACAGACAGACAGAACAGCCAATGGCTAAAGATCGCTGGTAATATGACTCAAAATCATTGTCAGTAGCACAGATAAATTCGATTTGAATAGTATTCCAGACCCATTAAATTCTCATTATTCTCCAGACCTATATATATATATATATATATATATATATATATATATATAATAGGTAGTCGGACGCTGCACCGTTCCTAATAATGATGCACGTCATTCAGTGTTAAAGAAGTCTTTCGAATTCACTCTGAGATATCGTCAAAATCAAATCAATTAAATCTGATGGACTTCCCTTGTGAACATGTTTAACCTCTCCACTTTTTGTCATTAGGCAAAGTATCAATACAGATTATTCCTGAGGTGATAAATAATAATAATAATATACCAAAAGCAGATATTTCCAAATTACTCTCCAGTGTTTAGAAAATGTATTTCTTCGTATCTGTTCAAAAGGATGATTTTGTTATAATGACAAAAGTATTTTCTCGTTATGAAGTCAACCCCTGTTAAGTTAGATGGTGAAAAAGAATACCTAGACGAATGAAACTAAGAGTTTCAGACTGTTAAACATTTAGGAAAGAGTTGCAACCTTCTGAGGTTACTTTCCATTAAAATACACTGCTAATGGTAGCATGGATCAATGTTATCAAATATCATCTGATAAGGAAAGGCTGCTAACACCAATACACAGACACCGACAGGTGTTCTCACGCCCTACGAACTTACAGAGGACAACCATTTGTTCGATAAACCAACAACATGGCATCACATGTGCTTGGCTAGTTGACTGTGGTTGCACATTATAATATTATGGTTTTTAGAAATTAATGAACCCAAATTGTAGGTGGTTATCACAAAAAGTATTTTAATTTTCAGAAAACTATGGAAATCAGCCTTTGAAACAATCCAACGAGGATCCTATTCGACCTTACTGTTTTTACATATATCTTGACTGAGTTTCAACATAAAACTTAGCACAGAAGTGCAGCAGTTGAAGTTGCTACACTCTATGGTGGCACAAAAAGGTAGAGACAGGGGAGGGAAAGAAATTCGAATGATCTATAATGAGCAGACATGCAAGCGAGAAAACCTAATAATATGAAAATATACATGAGGGTGAATTCATCTACGCCATTGATAAAGGTTTTTGAGCTGTTCTTACCAAAATGAAGTCACTTTCAAATGTTTACATCCTATATCAATATCTCATCTCAGCTGGAACTGTAATGCAGGTCATTCATGACCAGGTAAATCTTATTCAAAATGTTTTGCCCTTGTGCATGAATTATTTAACCATTGCTTATGGTTTACAGAGTTTTCCAATATAGCGAGTGAAAACTAAAATCGGTTAGCACTACAAAAATGCAATCTGGGAACTTTTGTTAAACCTGTCGCTCCTATTCAGACCCTCAAATATTCACTCACAATGATCCCATAAGAAAGCAATACTTCGGGAGGGAAGTATATATATATATATATATATATATATATATATATATATATATATTGTTGAAGACGAAAATAAGAATACCGATAATAATAATAATAATAACAAACTTACAACTGACTGACGGTTTAAGTTGGCACCCGCATCCAAAAGTAATTTGACTACTTCAAAATGACCAGCCAAACTGGCAATATGAAGTGCAGTATTCCCTTTTTTTGTAGGGGCATCGAAATCTGCTCCACGCTGAAGTAACTCCTCTACGACGCGGACATAGCCCTCTTTTGAGGCTAAATGAAGTGCAGTCAGTCCAATCTGAAACCAATCAGATAAAAACCATACACTATTTAAAAGAACTTTAATAATAATAATAAAAAGCGACATTAACGATACAATATGAATCTCTCAGTCTGTCGACTGACATTAATAAAAATCAGTGATGCAAAGAATAGAGTAAGATATAATGCATCCAAATCCACGTAACAAGTCTTGAATCACATTTTATGTGAGGTCTGATGATGCTAACCAGTTACCCAGGCTGAAATAGGTGAAGCGGGATTCGGAATCGGATAGTACTGGCTGAAAATCGGGCGTTCAAACCAAAGAGCTATATTTTCCACCTTTTGCTAGATTCACCTGTCCTGGAAATATCGAATATTTTATGATCACTCAGTTCAATTAAATCTAGTTACTTAATGACCACCAATGACTTCTACAGCGGTTTCAATTTCATAGACACAGCTTGCAACATACAAATTCAGTCAGGAATATTTATAATCAAAATCAGTTGGTTGATATAAGAATAAAACTTGTGCACTGTGGTAGAGTATAATTCCATTATGGGTAAATTTTTGTTTTGATAAAGTCTCACAGTGTTATATAGTAATGTTTACTGATGACGTTTCGAGCACAATTTATTGCTCACAATCATATCAAGGTACTCACACGACTTCCTAACTTCACTTATATAGTTCCATTATTTTTCACTTGATTTGATTGGCAGTAGTATTTTCCATATTTCAGGTATGAGTGATGAATCATTCCTATTGCATGTGTTTGGTGTAGACTCGATGAACAAGGATTCAGTAATCAACCTCTCTCTCCATTCACTTACCTATATTACATTTTAGAATTTTAACCCTCTCCCACCCTGTTGTGTGTTAATGCATGCATTGCAATTGCTGAGCTTTTTTCTAAATTACTTATCTTTTCAGGGTCAACCATTCTTACATTAGCTAAATTCTTATGTTCCGACAATCTGACTAACCCTGACCTGCTAGTTTGACCTATGTAGTTGACTTAGCTCACAGTCATTGCAGGGTATTTTGTAAATTATATAATTTTGTCTAATTACTGTATAACACTGTGAGACTTTATCAAAACAAAAATTTACCCATAATGAAAATCAGTTGGTACCTAGTACAATTTACTGTCACCAAAAACGGTGGTTACTGTAACCAGGTGCATCAGTATGTTAAGTTATACTCTATTAATCCAATATAAAATATTATTTTCGTGTAGATCATTTGTATTACATGGCTGACATGACTACAAATAGCTGACTTCTTATTTACAAATATAAGTCCTGAAACTTACGGCATTTGAAAGATTGATATGTACACCGGCATTTAAAAGTTCTACGACTCTAGCCAAATCTCCAGCTCGAGCTGCACGCAGAAAATTCTGTTCGGTTTCACTCTGTCAAAAACAAATGTTTACGTTCAATACTTAATGATCAAAAAATGCAGGAAAAATAGCTTGAACTGTATAAGTAGGTGAAGAGTCCGTTAAGTACACTAAAACATTCACTTGTTTGTAGTGTCAAAAGTTTAGTTCTCAATCTAAAAACATGATTTTACGTCGACCGGTGAGTATCACTCAAGGCTGTTAAGCTATGTTAATTATTATTATTTCACAGGTAGTACACAGTCAGTTCAAAATCAGATTTTTGAATTGACACATCTTCAAGATCGATAAATACGCCTAACATTAAGTTTTGTCAGATTTCAGTCCAGTAACTTCTCTACTAATCGATACCAAACCTAAAACTTAGGTTTGAAAAATAGGCAATTATTATTTCTTCCTTGAGTTCCATGAGGACTATATACGACTTCAGAAGCACCCCACCCCCTGAATCAACTTGGCTCTCTGCCGTCACTTTCAACATGCTCCAAAGCTTGAAATCCATATTCTTACCATTATTAGCTGCCATTGGGTTGTAGATTTTTTGTACTCATGTATATTCGACTGAGGATTGGTATATCCGACGTTTTGGTAAAAACATGAGGAAATCAAGTCATATGAAGATGACACATCAACACTTCATTTTTCTGTTTTACAAGAAACATGAAAACCATTGATTGTTTGGTTTAACATACAAGACTTTTTAACAGTCGATAATACGACTCAAAACAAATAGTTTTTCTGAACTTATGAGTATCATTAAAGTAATAATTAATCTTACCAGTCACTGAATTACCGCACATCTGAGTGGTAAACTATGTGGTTTTTCTAGACTGACAAGTATAATGTAGGCCAGAGTGTGAGTCACGGTTAGGTTTTTATTTTGTGATATAAAAGGTTGAAGGACTGACTGTCTTCAAAAAACCACTATTCATAACTCGCGAACCATAGTTAAATAATCAAATCAATACCACACGTTATCTGTAACTCTAAAGCGTGTAGAAATGTTTTTTAATTTGATTCCATTTCGGTTTGAACTGCTATTCCAAGAAAGCGGGAAATTTTCATAAAAACGACACACGACTCCAGCTAAACTGCTAGAATTATAATGGTATTCTGACATCAACCCTAAATTTGCCTATTGCATTATTCCACCAAATGCAAAAAACATCACGAAGGCACCTATGGGACCCATTTCATATATTTGCTAAATGTCCTTTTTATGTGACTGGTGTCTTGTTGGAAGTTCAAGATGTTTATTCTGAAAAATTATTTGAGTTAAATGTTTCTTGAAAATAATGTGCTTTTTGTGAACTTTTCTTATAATGTCTGTCTGTCTGGATTCAACATAGAACTTGGCACCGAAGTGCAGCAGTTCGAGTTGCCACGTTCCAAATAGCACACAGAGGTAGACAAGAAGATGAGTGAAGAGAATCAATAGAGTTTGACAAGTATAAGAGTGAAACAGAATGGGTAATGGTAGAAAGGAATATGAAAGATTACAGAGACTGAATACATCTGCGCTGGCCATTGACAACGATTTTGAGCCATGTCACCTATTGTCTCCAGCCATTGATTCCTAGAGTCCCGAGGGCCCCAACCCGGGAGTCTGCATCTCCCTACCTGACTCAGTTTAACTGTCAAGGATTTCATGGATTGATGCCATGTTTTTGTTTGGCCACCACTGGCTCTTTTCCAACCTGAACCTATATCAGCTAGCAATGCCCGTCGGGGGAGGCGGTGGTTAGGCATGCGCAGCACGTGACCTAGCCATCTTAGTCTATGTAACTTTATAGCCTCGTCGATTGATTTTCCCTCTTTGCCCAACACTCTACGCCTAACGTCAACATTACTTACCTTATTAAACCACCTAACGTGAGACAGAGATCGCAGACATCTATGATCGAAAGCAGTCAACCTTTTCATGTCTTCAACGCGTATTGGCCATGTTTCAGAGCCATAGAGAAGGACGGAGCGAACTGATGAGCAGTACACACGTCCCTTGGTTGATAACCGGATGTCACGCCTACGCCAGAGATGGTGTAAGTCAGCGAAAGCAGCTCGAGCTTTTCGGATCCGTGCTGAGATTTCATCGCCAATCAGTCCGTTGGTGCTAATACAACTTCCCAAATAGGTGAAGTGGTCAACATGTTCTATCACTTCACTCCCTATCACTAAGTTAGGAGTTGACGTGGTCCAGTCCTGTAGCAGCATCTTACATTTTGTAGGGGCGAATCGCATGCCAAACATACGAAGATTGCTGCTCAAGGTGTTCAGAAGACTCTGCATTTTGTCAGCATCCTCCCCTAACAGGACTATGTCATCTGCATATTCTAAGTCCATAAGATTATTCCCTGGTAACAAGTCGATTCCTAAGTCATTACGTTCAGTTAAGGATACTTCCATTAGCATATCTATGATGAAGTTAAACAGAAATGGGGAAAGTGGACATCCCTGTCGGACACCACTGGTTGTTACCAATTCAGATGACAATTCCCCATAAGCCCTTACACGACTACGTGAGTTTGAATAGAGTGCCTTGATTAGTGCAATGTACTTTCTTGGCACTCCCTTCACAGTCAGACATTGCCATAGTACCTTTCGATCCACGGAGTCGAAGGCCGCCTTCAAGTCAAGAAATATGACAATTGTTGGACGCCGAAAAGTGTGTCTATGTTCTAGAATCTGTCGAAGAGTGAAGATATGATCTATGCACCCTCTACCTGGTCTAAAGCCTGCTTGATTTTCCCTTGTCTGTTCCTCCCGAGTTCTGCTTAGTCTATGCATGATTACTGAGCCTAGGATTTTAGAGACTATGTTCGTTAGGCTGATCCCCCTATGATTATCACACGAGGACTTGTTTCCCTTCTTGAATATCGGTATAATAAGTGACTTACCCCAGTCTGATGGCACTGTCTCTGATTCCCAGACTTTGCCTAGTACCTCAGTTAATCTACAAACTAGTATGTCACCCCCATATTTAAACACCTCCGGAATAATTCCGTCGGGTCCTGCCGCTTTGCCTCGTTTCAAATTACTGATAGCTTTTGTGACCTCACTACAGACGGCGGACCAGTGTCTATATCCCATTCGGGTGTGGGGGATGGCGGGGAGGTTCAGTGTGGCTGTAGGCAAGTTAAATTGTTCCTCAAAGTGTTCTTTCCAGCGTTCAAGGCGTCTATCCTGAGAGCTAATTAAGGAGCCATTTTTCTCAGAAATAGTCTCACTTATGATTTCCTTCTCCCACCCGTTTCTGATGAGTCTAAAGAGTTGCCTAGTGTTGCCTATCGCCGATGCTTTTTCCATCTCTTTCGCCTTTGTCACCCACCACTGTTCACGGTCCTTGTAGCTTTCGCTCCTCATTGAATTCGGAGCTCGCCGGAATAAGTCTTCTAGCATCTATCAGTTCGGATGAGGCAGTCGAAATCCAGTGGTTTTTACTCACCTTTGGATTTGCCTTATTCACAGCTTTTACAGCTGTATCTATAGCTGACTGAATATTCTTCCAGGCTTCTCCAGGGTGAGCACAGCTGTCGAATTCAGATATGCGTTTAGCTAGTTCTTCCTCAAATAGGGATTTAGTTTCCTGATCGAGCTGGGGACGTGATGGTTTTACCGCCAGCTGTTTCCTACGTCCGTTCAGTCGTAAGCACACACGAGCCCGGACCAGTGCGTGATCGGTATCTACACACGTGTTCCAGAAGGAGCGACAATCTCCTACCGACCCACGCCAACGATAGCTTATTGCTATGTGGTCTATTTGTGTCCAGCGTTGGTTTGATGATGGGGGTCGCCAGGTTAAACAGTGTCTCTCCTTGTGTTTAAAGTTAGTGCTTACAAGAAACAAATGATTATCTGAACAGAACTGTAGGAGACGGTCACCGTTGTCGGTTCGCTGGCACGGAACTCCATAGGTGCCACCGACATCCTTCTCAGATTGACACAATTTCCCTACTTGAGCGTTAAAGTCACCAGCTAGAACGACTATATCTGAGCGTTTAGCCTTTCTCACCAAACTAGACAGCTTTTGGTAGAACTCATCCTTCGTTTCATCCGAACTGCAGTCAGTGGGGGCGTAGGCGGAGATTACGAAAAGGCATCGGCGAGTAGTGCAGTCCTTTCTCCTTCTTACTGATCCGTTCAGACGGACAGCACACATTCGGCTATCTACTGGGATCCAGTCAAGCAATGTCTTTTCTGCCCTAGTACTCAAAGCTATCCCTACGCCAGCTAATCCTCGTGAACTAGCTGTGGCATCTCCTGACACCCTCAAGGTGAATTTTGAAGATTCATCCTGTTGGCCAGGTGGGGTTAGGTGAATAACCACACTTGGGTCTTGTATGCGTGTTTCTGAAACACAACATACATCAATGGCTCGGATGCCAGGGTCTTAGCTAGTGATGCTTGTTGTCCTATTTGGCAAAGTGTCCTAACATTAAATGCTCCTATATGAAATTGGTGGCGTGGCTTTAGGAGGCTGTCGGTGGTTTTTTGGCTTCCGTCGTTTTTAGTGGACACAGAGTGGAGAGGAAGTGAGGAGCTATCAAGTTGAGGAGTTGCATCAGTGGAAGGAAGGCAAGATGATAGAGATGAAGATGAAGACAAAGATGAGTGAGTAATAGAGAGGTTTCGTGTGCGTTTCGGATTGTGAGGGCGATTGTTACTTCCCGGCTGCCCACACCGTGGAAGTTGGTTGCGTGACCGCAGAGCCCAGGGGACAACTGCTTGAGGCCGGTCACACGCGGCCTGTTTTTGTTTGTTCTCTTTTGTTTGGTGTGCCTCAGTAGCATACTTATCACTCCTGCCCTGTGACACGGCAGCAGGAAGCGCGGTCGTTGTTAATCCGGGCCACGGCCGATCCGGCATGAAATTTTGTGAATTTGTTTGAATCATGGTATTGGATGGGATGGGGTAGCTGCTTTTTGTTTAACCGCTATCCAAACAACCTGCCTGGCATGGTAGAACCTCAAGAGACATAAGTCTCAGCCAGTATAGCTTGATTAGGTCATTGCGGT